GAATAAACTTTTCAAGCGTCATAGAATAAAAATAAGTTGATGTTTTGTATTATTTTATGAAAAAAAAATAACCAGTACTTCCTTACGTTTAGTTTTTTTTCGCGAAAAATCGGAAATGAGTTCAGCTGTTTTCTCAATCAACTCCAATGAAACACTGAAAACAACACACCACAATTTCTCATTTTTCATGTACCTGTGGATGAAAATGTGCAGTTTCTTGAATTCAATTTATTTTTTTTTCTTTTCAATTTTTGTTTTCGTGACCTCACAATTCTGGTATCTAATTTCGTTGCAATTCGATGCGCATTTAGAAATAGTTTTAAAGTCAGTTGGAGCAGTCGAATTTAATTAAAAATGAGAGGTCGGGTAATGATTAGGCTAATCAGGAAAAAAGAACCAACTATTTGAGGCGAGGGTAACGAGCTCGTCTTCTTTTTTCGATTTTGTCTACCGTAATCGATTCAATCTTTCATCACGCGATTATTTTCGCTTTTTTTTTAATATGTTGGATGGACTTTAGAAATTAAATGCAATCCATTTTAATCAAATAGTCTTCTGTAATATTGAGGAAGGACGAGCTCGCTAAATCTAATTCTTCGCATTTGTTTTCGTCTTTTTTCGTAGTTCGAAACGAAGCCAAACAATTATTTACTTCGGATGTCCGCTTCTAATGAATGACGATAGTTATTTTTGAATGAGGTCAATAGAAATTCTTAATCTAAGATTAATTCCATATTCTGTTTTTCTATAAGATTAGGAAAATGCGACGATCGCATATAGCCCACTTGAAGTGAATCTAATGTAAAAATGTTACTTTGATACCACAGAGAAAAAAAATGTCGAATCCCCCCCCCCCCTTCAACACGATTTTCCACTTCGGTAGATAAGGAAGCGACCATGAATGTCAATCGTTGTTTATGAGATACTGTAGAATTGGGAAACATTCTTTACGATCAGTTTTTTTTGTCTCAACGCGAGCTATGTTCAAGGTGTTCTTACGGTTGGTCTGTCCTTGAGAAAAAAAAACTGGTCTATATGAAAGAAATGCCGCTGAAACACGTTTGAAATAGTACGCCTAAAGGAGAAATATACAGAATTAGATGGCATTCACACCTTGCGAACAAATTCGAAAATTGTTTGTATCTACAGATTTGACCTTCATTTTGTGGCGTCGTCTTGTGAAGCTACACAAATATCCAGCCCCGTCGCTCCTTCTATTTCTTTCACGTGGTCCCGTGATGAGTTGTGTAGTAATTATTTCGAGAGCAAAGCGGGATGTCGAGGAGTTGCTCAGAATAATTTCGCATCGAGACATGCACACACACTCGCACAGGCCCAGATGGGCACCTTCCTCAGACCACGCGGGAATTCTTGCTATTGACGATTTAACGACTTTGTTTATGCCAAGGAAAAGCGCGTTTTTTTGGTCTAAAGTGCAAATAATGTAGTTAGGCTCCACTTATTTTGTTTGCCGCATTTTTTTTACTTTTGTAAATTTCAACGAGAATGTTTCAAGTTGAGTTGTTTCGTTCATTCTGCCCGTCTACTACGTGACTTGATGGAGATCATCATGGGTGGCTACGTTTTCTTGAGGGTGCGAAATTACAAATTCCAATGAAATTCGTCATTTTGTTTATGGAAATTATGTCAAGTTCGTGTCGTCAAAATTAGCCAGGACATTGAATGTAAATCATCTCAAAACACAAAAAAAAACACATTTTGTTAGCAAGAATGTATCGTATTCACTATGATGACAGACTATTAGGTATAATTGTGGGCATTGAGTATCAAATAACCATTAATTCCAGTGAATTCATGAGTAATCTCCCCCCAATATTCATTGATGCATAAAAATTCTAAAATTCAGATTTAAAAGATGTCATTAATTTTTTCCTGCTACTAATTCATAGTTATCTAAATGTTTTAAATCACCATTTTTTTTTAATTAAGAGTTTTGAAGATTGAATACGTCGATTTCAGTTACTCATTGAATATTTTCTGGAATGATTTTCACTCGTAATCCCCCTCCCCCTTTTGCAGTATATCCGATATTATATACATTTTGAATGATCAACCAATCCTCCCTTCTCTCAATAACAATTTCTTGATCCGTGAGATATGTTTGTTTTGGATCGCGCCTGTTGGGAGGACTCGAAACAGATATCGTCGCAATATAAGATACACGAGAACATCATATGAGTCCGACCTCTTCGCTCAGATAGTAATAAGTCTGTTGATGATTTTATGAGACACCATTATCTTACGTTCTTTTAAACAACCTGCTGTTCTCATTTTTCTCATTTCTGTTGATATTTGAGACCCTTTCATCGTCGCACTTCCTGTCATGATTTGTTATCGTTTCTGCTTGATCAAACCATACCAACATGTACGATAAAATAAGGAGAGCGTGACTAGGGGCGGTTCAAAAATACACTCATATACTCGCACACGCTAGTAAACTGAAAGTGTTGCACTGCTGACTGACAATGACGTGAAAGAAGCGCCAAAGTCAACAGTTACGATTGAAACAAACAACTCGGTGCTCTTCTTCATTTTTTTAGTGATTATTGAGAAGTTGGTTTAAAGAGATTGCGAAGAGAGATGACGCAGGTGACCGACAACTTTAAAGATATTCGCTATCTAGTGTGATTCATCCGATTATTTTTCCATCTTGACAAATGTTGCGTGTTCTACGTGCTCTCGATAATTTATGGATTTCTGAGAGCCTAGCCTTTTCATTTTCTTCTTCCTCCTTAGTTGGACTTGTTGCCCTCTCATGCGATGACTGAAATATTCATAAGTCTTGCCTTCTTGTTATTTATTTTTTTGTACACACATCCCACGAAATTTTTGTTTTCGTCTTGAAAGACAACTAATCGAACAAAATGTGTTTTATTCAAAAATTATGTTTAAATTTGCGATTTGCGTCAATTCCTTGGATTATGCGCTTGTATGTCTGTTTGTTTAACATGAAATTTATTGATTGGGACGGCGGTGAATTCGCAACATCTCAGCGACAGTGTTTATGACCGAGAAAAAAAAACGTTGACGTAGTTGGTGTTATCAATAGGAAAACTGGCGACACGTCGGCATTGTCACCTCCCAGTAGTTTTAATTATTGCAGAAAACCGAAATATATCATCATTTTTTTCATAGACGCGTCATTCAAAACCAATTGTCATCATAAATTATGATGTGGTCTTGTAAATATTGACATGTTTGGCATTGTTTTACAAGTAGTGCCGGAAATCGAAAATTCAACATTCATTTCTGGATTGTTTGCTCATCACCCAAAATTGTTTACAACAATTGCGCCGCTTCAGTTGATGATATAAAAGAAATGATTGGCATAATGTGTCATTCAAAATGTTTTCAGCTTGAAGGCGGAGAAAAAGAATGAGAAGAAGTCAAGTTTTTTTTGGTCTTCTATGAGAGTTTCCAAACAATTTTTTTGATGGTATCACTGGCGGCGTGCTTTTTTTTTTCGAATCGCTCTCATCAATCTTCAATCACTATCTCCGAAATATTTGAAACGCATTGCCGAACTTTAGTTACAATCCTCGGTGTTGTCTAATTTTCACTGCAGGATTATCATTCACACAAAGTTTGCGGGGTTCTCTTTTGGTGTAAAATTATGTCGTATTGACACTTTGATGATTGGATTATCAATTTCTTTCTCTTAAACAAAATTTGGCTCTTTGAAAATAACAATGGCAAATTTCTCATTTTATTATTTTCAGAACCCAAAGAAAAGCCCCAGGAAAACTCACAAGAAGTTCAAATGGAGGCCGGAGCGTGTAGCCGCCACACGAGCTCGGTGAGCATTATTTGTTTTTGTTTGTATTTTTGTTGACGAGTCGTGAAACAGCAGCTGTTTGGTGAGAAGGGAGTGCAAAAAAATTGAGACAAATCATATTTCCTGGAATTTTCCTAGTAAAAAAACCAAAATGAAATGGAAAACATTTCTAGGTTTTAAAGGTATAGTGTTTCTAAGTTATTTTTAGAGTGTTTTAGATTTTTTAAAATTCTTTATGTCTCGAATTCGTAAATCACCGTAGTTTTTATTTGCCGAAAATGTGGGCCGTCTTTATACGCGAATTATTATCGCGCTTGATTTTTGATTTTGAAACGTGAGGAGGATCAAATTTCAAACATGCGTATATCAAGATCTAGTTCATTCAGAAATTTAATCAGATGCTACGTTTACATTCGACCGCAACAATGAAATTCCAAAAAAAAGAACACCGCCTTTTCTCTTTGCTTTTTTGGTATCGCCACTTCTTCTAATTAAAGCCGCCGTCAACGAAAAAACGTCAGACGAATTGAAGATAGTTATCTACGAAATAAGCCAACCCCACAATATTTGGCGCTGCGCTTTCATTTATGTATTCAGTTTCTCACACTAGCAGGCCGCAGAATAATATTGACGCATCAAGCGATCTTTTGAAATGCGCGTGATCATATAGGCATTCATCTGAATAGTCATCCCTTCCGTATTAATCTTTTGAAACCTCCAATGAAGCAAAAACATGCAATTCATTCGAAACTTAAATGTAATTCAATACTGTTTACGCCTTGATACTAATTCAATCGTTCTAAGAAATTAGTGGATTAACTTCTTCATTTCGCGTTGCTCGGCTATTATTTCTTTTCCAAGAATTGACATGAGTATTTTTAAACTTTTGGGTTACAGAAATTAGCAAAACAATAGAATTACATTTATCATTTATTATATTGATAAGTTTGGTTCGTTATAATAAACAATAGGTTTAATTGTTGGGCTTCATAATCTATGTACATTTGCTGATATTTATGTACATTTGCTGATATCGACCCTGTGTTCTTTGGCCAACTATTTAAAAAAAACGCTATCGTAAAATCCGGAAGTGTTTCTGTTTAATGGTACACAATCAATTGAAAACCACTTCCGTCCACATATGAATATACATTATGACTAAATCACCCAATTTTAGAGCTCGGAAGGAACTTCGATTAACACCATGAATTCGGTGGACAATTGCCGTTTGGCGGCAAGTCTTATTCGTGAAACCGTGTTCGATGGTTGCCCTCGGAGGACACCGAAGGACTTTGCTTTTTTGCAAGCGATTGGAGAAGGAGCGTATAGTTGTGTATGTTTCAGTGTGTTTTACATTTGCAATATTCCCTATATTTAGGTGTATAAAGCGCGAGAAATAAGATCCGGAGCTGAGTTTGCCATAAAAGTTATCCAAAAAGCCTATGTGAGCCGTCACCAAATGACCAATTCGATCATTCGCGAGAAAAACATTCTCAACTATCTAACTCAAATGAGTGGTGGCAACCCATTTGTTTCGCAACTCTATACTACATTTCAAGATGCTTCGAGAATGTGTAAGTTGATTGGATTTGCGGAATTCCAAGAACATATGTCATTTTCAGATCTTGTGATGATGTTCGCGGAAAAAGGGGACTTGCTTGATGCAATGACGCATTTTGGTTCGTTTGATATCGGGACTAGCCGATTCTTCTGCTCGGAAATTCTATCGGGACTCGATTATCTTCATCATTGCAATATCGTTCATCGCGATTTGAAACCGGAGAACATTCTCATCAAAGCTGATGGACATGTGATGATAACCGACTTCGGAAGTGCCCAAGCTTATCAAGATCTGTGCTTGCCGCACATCGACTTTGGGGATGAGGAAAACTACTACAATAGATCGTGTAGCTCATCGCCATTGTTCGAACGCCGTTTCGAGGAGTCTCATCCGGATGGTTTTGCAACTCGCAAGCGATTAACAATTGCTAAAATTTTCAATTTCAGCGAACAACGGTGGTCAGGGAAGACGCACTACTTTCGTGGGAACTGCTCAGTACGTGAGCCCGGAAATGCTTTCGGATGGAGAAGTTGGACCACAGTATGATATACATATATAATATGCGTTAAAATATTCTTTAATATCATATTCAGCTCCGACATTTGGGCTTTTGGTTGCATTTTGTATCAATGCTTGTCCGGTCTTGCTCCATTCAGAGCTGTTAACCAATATCATATGATGAGAAAGATCCAAGAGGTTGATTATTCGTTCCCAGATGGATTCCCACAGATTGGCCGCGGAGTTATCAACAAAATCTTGGTATCACTATCATCTTTATAAATTTAAAATAAAAACACTTTAGGTTGGTGATATTGACGAGAGAGCGACTATTGATGAAGTAATGGATGACGTTTTCTTTGATGGCGTTGATTGGGACAACATTAACGAGGTCACACCACCAACGCTTCATGCGTATCTTCCAGCTGCATTCGGCGAACCCGAGTTTTACTCTGACGTCGTTGTTAAGCCAGGACTTGACGATCACGCATTGATTCGCTTGATGAATCTCGTACCCGCTACTGAGAATAAGAATGAAGAAGGAAATAACGTCGAAGAAGAACAGAATGGAAACGCTGCCAACGAGAATGAGGAAATCGTTGTTAAGAATGATGAGGAAGAAGTTCATGGGGTTGTTGCCGATCAAAAAGTTGAGGAGGTCGCTATTCCACAGGCACCAACGGTGGCTCCAGAACCTGCCGCAGAACCGGTGGTTGAGAAATCAACTCCGGTCAAGGAAGAGAAATCAAGCAAGAAGGACGAAAAGAGCCTCGAAGGAATGAAAATTGAACCACTGTAAGAAGAAATAACCGAATTGTTAAGTAATGTTTATTATCTTACAGAGAGGCTATCTACTTTGACGGAAACACTGATGAGCCATTCGAGTTGAACCCGTAAGCTGGATCAAGACAATAAGCAGCTAATATTGTTTTGATTACTTTCAGAAGAACTCAATCGCAAATTTTGCGCAATCATATTCTTCGACAAAAGAGATTGGAGAAACAACGTCTTGAGAACCCCTATCACTTGTTCACCAATGGTGAGCTTATCTTGAAGCAGGGATTCCTCGAGAAGAAGCGTGGTTTGTTCGCTCGTAAAAGAATGTTCATCCTCACCGAGGGACCACATTTGCTCTACGTCGACCCATCTAATATGGAATTGAAAGGTGAAATTCCATGGACTCCATGCATGAACATTGAAATCAAGAATTTCGGAACTTTCATTATTCATACGGTATAAAGCAACGGTGTGCTCTGAAATAGCCAATGCCAACTTTTTTTAGCCAAACCGCGTTTATTACTTGTTCGACGAGGAACGGCGCGCTTTGGAATGGTGCCAAGCCATTGAAAGCCTGAGGCAACGATATGAAACTGAAATTGAGGAAACTTACAATAACGGTATTGCCGATGGCACTTTCTTTACCACTTATGGAAAAAAGAAGTCTCGCAAGGTAGAGACTGTGTTGCGTTTAAAAAAATAATTAATTATTATTTATAGGAGATCATGCGAGCGGAGAAGGCTCTTCGTCGTAAGAAGGCCAAGGAGGAGAAGAAGGCTGCTAAGAAGGCCGCTCAACTCGCTGCTCAGGCGGCCAAGCGGAATTCTCAGTGATTCTGGAAGCAATGGGAGCACATGTTTAACGCAATTTTAGACACAAATTTGATGTTTCATCATTTTCTATGCACCTAATTCCTTGACACTCCTGATCTTCCCAACTGCCTAGCTAGGCTTTATCACTATGACATTCGCCGAGCCGTTATTCTTCTTGTTTTAAATTTTCATTTACTGTACAACCGCTGATTTTCCCTGTGCGCTGCATTGTGATAGTTGTAACCGATGCCCATTATTTGTGAAGTGAGCGCAATCTGATGAGCTCCAGTGCGTTCCAACCAACATTTATTTGGATCTAAGTTTCATTATCAGTTAACCAATCAAACCGATGTCTCCTATTATTGTATTTCATTTATCACTATATTATCTATCTTATATAATTATATTTATGTCCGGCTATTATTTGAGTTTGCATGGTTTTATAATAGAGTTGTTAATGTCGAAAGCCGCGCGCGACTGCTTATGGTTGGCTCTATGAGCTGAGTCTCGCAAAGTTAGTGGTGATGTACAAAAGGTGGACAATAACGCCGTGTTGTTAAGCGTTGCATTGTCATTGTGGAGTACATCGCTTCAAGACTTTTGATGTCTCAATTTGTCGCAATTGCACGACTTCGACAATTTAATATTTATATATATATATATATATTTAATCTGATGATATCTTAACGGAAATTTTCTTATTTTGTAGCATTTCTGGAATAAAGTTGTGTTGTGGAAAAAGGTAGTTTGGATTAATTAAAACTTCCAGCCATTCGAAATTAATTCGTTTGAAATGAAAAGAACAAAAACAGGTATACGATTTATTTCAAAATAGTCCAATTTGCTGATGAAACAAGCCACTTTGTGGATGATAATACATGTAAAATAATATAATATATCATACGGGGAGCGATTTAAGTATTGAATGCGGAAATCGTTTGGTTGGTAACGCCTAGATGTGAGGTTTTGAAAACATTGTGAATTGGATTGTTGACATTTTTGAGTAAACTGATACAATATTTCAAGGTAATCAGCAAAGAAACAGTTAAACCTTGGACTATTAATTAATTATTAAATAATAATAATAGAAACTCCTTTAGTTATTTTTTTTTCCATAAATATTGGCAAGGGGTTTATTGTTAATATGGCTTAAAACCATTCATATTGTGGTGATAGTAATTGTCTGGGTAGTACGTTGTTGGTCCACTGATCTGAATAACTCGGTCGTTAAAAAAGTAAGAAATAATAAATGTTATTACCTGACTAACGGACGAGCTTTCAATAGAGCATTCCGACAGTTGTTGCTTCTGAATTTTATCTTTATGGCGGTTCATGAGCCAAACTGAAATGAGTGCCAACACCGCGAAAACAATGGTGATGAGAACAATAACCAGAAGAGCAATAGCCCAGCCAAAAGAAGTGCTCTTCCTGAAAACAAGGTATGAATCATCGGAAAAAGATAGTGGTGATACGCTGCAATATCGGATACTGTGCAACATCCGTGTCCACAGCAACCGAGTTCACAAAGATAGGGAATTGGAGTGTCGGCAGAATTGTATCGGTAAAAGCAGATTGTCTGGCCTGCTTCGGAAATTTCTTGACGGATGAATCCACCAAGACTTTGTCGCACTTGCGCAATCGTTACAGCCGGATTTTCGGTCCTAAAATCATTAAACATGTGCTTCATTTATTCAATTCAAAAATTCGAAAACATTTGCGCTGTGAATAACTATTTTCATCTCTTGCGCAAACAATGACGTTTTGTCCGGAAAAAATATAATCTGATGTCTGTTGCGAAATGTTAAACCAACTCACGTCGTTGTGGTTGAAGCCAGATAGGCCTGCTCTTGCTCACTAATAGGAAAACTTTCCCATCGAGACATTATAAATCCAACCTGAAATTATTCGATTTCCAACAATTTAATGGAATAGGTCGCAAATAGTGTTTCAAAAAATAAAAGAAAGATACTGAAATCCAGTTAATCAAAAATAAAAAGATAGTGTAATATCGAAGAAAAAATAAAGAGAGATTTAAGACAAAAAAATCAGACAAGGAGCTCAAAAAATGACAGAAAGCCTTTGTTATTCCGGTTCCCATTGGTTCTGCATAACAATTTTTCGACGACATTTGTCAATTCAATTCGGCTGCCTTCATCTCAAAAACGCACACGGTGCCGCACCTCGAAGCATGGTCTCCCGGGAGTGCTTGCTGGTGGCCGTCAAGCCGTGAACACAACAATTTTTTCTGACAACTCTTCAAAAACGCGCACATTGTTTTGGCCGGCCGCAAAAGCCTCGTAATTGACTCTTGAAAACTCGTCGTACAAATACGAGCATACGGGTTACGACGGCGAGGATTTTTGAGAGAACGCGAAAAAAGAAAATACCAAAGAATACCACAAACGGTGAGCAGTACGGAACAATTCGAGCGTTATAAGCACAATGTTTCCTTTTTCTTACTCCCAGTTATCGGAGGCTAGATACCGTATGACATTTCGCGCTTTACAAACACTAATCACCGACTTCTGTATTTGACCGGGCGAAGATTGACAGCTATCACCACAAAGCTGGCGCGTTCCTTTGTTTAATAATATGCGACACATCATTAGAATAATAATTGATCTTTCCATCAATGAAACAAAATGACAAACATTGCTTTTGACATTTAAAATTAATCCTAAATCTTGAGCAACTTTAAACATAATCAAATCAAAATAAAGCTTCATAGAATTTCATCAATTTTATAACAAAAATCTTTAAAAAAAATATTATATATTTATTTATTTTTGCATGCATATGATTTCGAATAAATAAAAATTAACATAAAGCAGAAAAGAATTGTCTTAAAAAAGATTTCCCTTTAAATTTATATTTATCATACATGAACATTTTTACCTAAGTAAAAAAAACGATTTGCAAAAATCTTGTTCGGCAAGAAATGTCGAGTTTTGTGCTTGTTGAAAGTCAATTGAATAACTCGAAAAGATGAGAAAATTGAATGGAGAAAGAGGGGAATTCCGTTTTGAAGACTGCAATAGTCATCCGCAAAAAGGAAAGAGCGAACGCGATACCAAAAAAAAAAAAATACCACACTTTTATAATAAATAATGGAACAGTGGAAACGAGTGCAGGTGTGTACACACCAAAATAAGAGCATTATCAAATTCCGTGAACAATTTTTTTCATCAATTTCCTATTCGAACACATTATACGCTTTTTATTTCGACGATAATGAATTAGCCATCAATGAAGGATGCAGATTATTGCGGAAAAAACAAACACACAATTCTTCGTCGCGCATCATCAGCATCATTATTAGGCGGACGAAAAATATGACAGATTGGTCATGAAATGAAGCTTGCTCGAAATCAAATGTTGCCTAAAATGGGAGCATACAAGCTAGGCCGCATGTTTGAAAACGCATGATTCAGAAGTGTCAAGTGGTTTCTGGCGTGAACGAAAGCATAACCAGAGCATTTTTTTGTCGGTGAAAAGACTGGCCACCCGTATGGAAAACAAATAACCAATAGTAATTTGGTTTAAAAATAGAAAACAAATGTGGAAATCAGAAAAAGAAAACGCGTGTTTCGGACCACTGCAACTGACATGTTCATTAATAATACATCACAAATTTCTATAAGGCTGGTGACAAAGTAGCAGTCACTAAAGATGAAAAACACGAACTGATTGTCATCGAAGGTCGTGTTTTCGGTTTACAATGTTTTGTTTTGAGATTTAAGTAGCTCAACGAGTTGTCTTCCCATTTTTGTGCTCCCAAGTGTCCATCCACATGTTTTGTTAATCCAGTGGTCAGCTTACAAGGGTCTTGCGCGTCCTCGACAAGTAACAATACAATGCGGGACGTGATCGCAACGAGATGCTCGTCAAACACTTCCTCATATTCAAAACAAACTTTTGACAATGCTCACCAACTTATGAAGATACTTTAAAAAAAATCGACTAACGAATTTATAGAAATAAAAAGCTGGCAAATCCACCAAAAGAAATGCTAATAGAGACATAACCATTATGGCACATTTCTTTTATTAATGTGCAAATGACAATGTTTTTTTTTTCTGAAGAGCATCATCGTTTTAGTTACTCGAAAATTTATTGAAATATGCAAGAAAATGAAGCATTCTTAATTTATTTTTTATGAGAAATGATGTGTGATTTTAATGTAAATTTTCTCAAAATCCACAATTTCCAAACAATGATGATGATGATGTCATTATTATTCAAAAGAATAAGCTTAGGGTTTGTTCAAACTGTCAAAAAAGTGAAATGAACTACATTAAAAAAAAACGAATTGAAATATCGAGGCATAAGGCAATCTTCGTTTCATGCTGTTTTTTTTTCCTCACTGAGCCGAGAAATATGCAAATAGGTGGGATGCTTTGTGCCTTGGGCGAAAATGAAAAACAACAGAAACCAACACAACGACAAGAATCGACAAAAACGGCACAATGAAATTGTGCCTGGACATGAACGATAATTTTCGAGAGTTGAGGCGATTTAGCCGGATAGCCGCTACCGCTAAAGCCGCACACTGTCAAGCGATTAGCAAATAAAATACATAAGGTCGTCGTTGGAGTGCGCGCTTTCAAAATGACATGCACTTCATTATAATCTCAAAACACAGCATTGAAGATCATGAGCATGATGAGTGTTTGTCGTTGTGGAAAAATTCTTGAGAACAAGCCTCTCTAATAGTTGCAGAACACGACGGCAGAAAAACTCGAAAGGGCAAAGCACAACGTCGCTGTGTGTGAAAAATACAAATGTGAATCACTCGTCTTTTTTTTTAATACAATTTATTTCAAATCTAAAATAGCTGACAGAACCCCCACAGTTCATGTCAGCCGGATAAGAAATCGATTTGAGAGAAAACAAATAAATGCCTTGATAAAATACAACACTAATTGAGGCCACAAAATAAATGATACGAAATAAATGTTATAAAAACTTTGAGAGATCAGCAACGTGCTAATTAAAATGAAATCAGTAAAACAATAATTTTGGTGAATTGATCAACGGAGATCATGACATTTTTTGTACAGATGGCGTTTGCGAGCGAGTGAGAAACAGGATTGAATTTACAATAGTCAGCGGGTTTCTAATTCACAGGTTAGCACTAAAGTGTTCTATGACGCACAATTGATATAAACTATGAACAGGTTAATAATATTTACTTCTTATACTGCTTCTTGTCTTTCTTCTCTTCCTTCTGTTGTTCAGCCATTCTTCGTCTCTGTTCCGCAGCAGACACGCGTAGTGTATAATCGACAGCGCGGTTGAAACGTTCTTCTTCATTCACTTGATGCCTTCGAGAAGTCGATGGTCTGGATCGGGGCTCGTAATCGTCATCGGACGACGGCGGTGTACGTCTTCTCGTGCGTCTCGTGGATACCTGAAAATAAATGTCTAATTTCATGATTTTTATATTACAGACGGTTACCGAAGGAATATCATAACCATAATCATCTAAAGCTTCTTCCTTGATTTCACGTGTGATCACTCTCCTTTTCTTGGCATAGAATGGAGGATCGGGATCTTTGGCAAGCCTTTTCTTCTTGGCAGATGGCGATACTTTACACTTGGCAGCTGGAGACGGTTTCTGCCTCGGAGTCACTTTTTTCGGTGATTCCAGTGGCGGAGGTGCGCTCGATGTCGATGGAGCACATTCATCATAGCCATATGTATCAATATCCAACGGCTCCAATTTGACTTCCTTCAATTTTGTGGCGTTTCCGCTCGATTTCGCTCCTTTCGCTCGAGGTGAAACAGTGGATTTTTTGATTTTTGCTGGTGGCGGGCTGGCATCAGGTTCGACTTTCACTTGAATTTTCGTCGTTTTTGGTGTTTCATCGGTCAACTCCATTATCACTGTTGGAGAAGTTGTGCCGGAGCGATCGCAAACAGGAATTCTCAGCAAAGATCTGCTAGTGTGCCCTGGGGATTCGTCGTCGCTATCATCTCGTTCCGGTGATGAATCTGGTGTAAGTAATGGAGAACGACTGGGACTAACAGTTGGCGATCGTTTTTTGCTTCTTGAACTTCGAGCTGTTGTGGATGGTCGTGGTGTTTGAATGAAGAAATCATCATCATCGTCATCATCGTCGTCGTCATCTTCTTCATCATCGTCGTCGTCATCATCATCTAGAAGCGTGTAAGAGACATCCGACAATGAAGATTCAGAAGAAGTACTCAAGTATCGACGTTTTCCCTTTTTTTGCTTCGGTTCATTTTTTTTCGACGATTTCGTTGCCTTCAAAGGAAGTGCATCAGAAATTGGCGGAGTAGGTGAACATGGTACTTCTTCCGTTTTTTCATAAACTTCCAGAACTGGTGCATCATCCAAAATCTCGTCATCCTTATTGATCTCGATGCTAGCTTCCATAATCTGCAGTTCCGGCTTTTCCATTTCAACAGTTTCATTCACTGGCCACTTCGGTTCTTCAATTATTGGTGACTTTGGCACTTCATCAGTCACATGTAACTTCAAAACATCATCTGTCACCGGCAACTTCGGAGCTTCATTCACTAGCGACATCGATGTTTCATTTACTGGTGACATAGGCACTTCCTTCAATGGAGACATCGGTGCTTCATCCACAGGCAATATAGGTACATCGATCACAGGTGACAGAGGCACTTCCATAACTGGCGACAGCGGTACTTCCTTAACTGGCGACGTCATCACTTCCTTCACTGGCGACTTCGGTACCTCATCCACTGATAATGTTTGTGCTTCAATCGCAGGTGATGTCGATACTTTATCAACAACGGGCGGTTTGTATGCTTCCTTCTCTGGTAATTTGGATGCTTTTTTCAGCGGCGACATCGGTATTTCAATCACGTTTTCCACAACAGGAGGAGGCAGTGTGATATCACGTTCTGGAGTCACCCGAGGTGTTAAGACGTCGTGGAACCATGGATTATTTTTCATTTGCTGACGATAGTACTCATAAGCAGAATCAGGAATGCCAGGAATTCGATAACAATGAGTTTGATCTTCAGCAGAGCTATTCGTCTTCTTGTGTTCCTTTGAATCTAACTTTGCTCCGTCATCACTATCCGTTTTGGATTTTGTTGAAGATGTCTTGGCTGATATCGTCTTTCCCGGAACCTTCGTTGAGGTAGACGGCTTACATGCTGCTGACGTGGACTTTTCTCCAACCGATGAGGTAGTAGGCCGCTTGGCTGGTAGCGTTTTTCCGGCAGCCTTGGTTGAAGTAGACAATGAGATAACAGACTGCTTTGCTGCTTTTGCCTTGTCGGTAGCTATTGTTGAAGTAGAAGGTGTCGCAATAGCTGCCGTTGACTTAGACGGCTTGGATACCGCTGCAGTGGAAGTAGAAGGTTTCGCTATAGCCGCCGTTGACTTAGAGGGCTTGGATACCGTTACAGTGGAAGTAGAACGCTTAGATACCGCTGGAGTGGAAGTAGAAGGCTTGGATACCGCTGCAGTAGAAGACCGTTTGGTTGTGGCCGATATGGAAGCAGATCGTTTGGCTGAGACACTAGTGGAAGCCGACGTATTCGCTGGAGCCGAATGTGAAGTAGATCTCTTGACTGCTTTTGTCTTTACAGCAGCCGTGGTTGATGTGGACGGTTTTTCTGTAGCCGACGACGACGTGGATAGTTTGGATGCTGTCGTTTTTCCAGCAGCTTTGATTATACTAGCCGGCATCGATGTAGTTGCAGCTGATGCGGATTGCTGAACAACAGCTCTTGATGAAGTCGACGTCTTGCCTATAACTGCTGATGACGTTTTTAAATTGGAAGATGACGTCTTACCAGAAATCTTTACTGAAGCAGATGATTTCGCTGATTTAGAAGCCGACGTAGACGGCTTGTTTGAAACTGCGGCGGAAGTAGACGGTTTTTCAGTATCCGCTGCTGACGCCGAAGGAATAACTGAAATTGTCGATGAACATGAAAGCTTGGATGTTGTAAACTTACCAGAAGCCTTTACAGAAGTAGACGGCTTAGCTGTTATCATCTTTCCTGGAGCCTTCGTTGAGGTAGTTGGTTTTGATGAAGCCTCAGAAGAAGTAGACGGCTTGGAAGTGTTAGTTTTTGCAATCTTTGTTGAGGTCGAAGGATTTGATGAAGCTGCTGTTGAAGTAGACTGCTTTGCGCTGGTGGTCTTTTCAATCTTGGGAGAGGTAGACGGTTTTGTAGAATCCGTTGATGACACAGAAGACTTCGCAGAAACAGTTGATGAAGTAGTCGGCTTTATGGTTTTCGTCTTTCCATTCTTGGTTGAGATAGAAGGCTTTGCTGTTGCCGCTGATGAAGCAGACGGCTTGGATATTATCGTCATTCCAGAAGCCGCTGTTGAGGTGCTCGGCTCATTAATAGTTTTTTCAGCAGTCGACCGTTTCACCAAAATTTTCTTTGATGTTTTCGACTTTACAGCTTCTTTTTTAGCTTCAATTTTTACTGTGGGTTTCACAGTATTCGTCTTAGTGTTCGTCGCAGTGGTGTTCGGTTTCATTGTTTTAATTTTGACGATTTTGGATTTGGAGATACGAGGGATGGCGGTACTTTTCGACTGGACTGTCGCTACTTTCGCTATGTCAGATTTCACCGATTTTCCTTGGACAATCTTGCCTACAGCTGTTTTGACTTTGACAGTACTGATCTTGCTCTTCTTTGCCTTGACAATCTTGCTCTTACCATCCTTGCTCTTGATTTTGAAGCTGACACTCTTGCCTTTAACTGACATTCCTTTGAGAGTTTTTCCTTTCGATATTGACGCGTTTCCAATTTTCACTTTTTTCTTAAGGATCTTCTTTACATTTGGACGGGCCGATAGCAGCGCCGAAACAGCTTCTTTGTCCGTTGGCACTTGTTCATTGACGATGTCTTGGTGAATTTTCTCGATTGCGCGAGTCTTAGCCTTTCTGCTTTTGTCTTCCAACTTTAAGCTTTTGTCGTCTGTTGAATTGCCGTAAGACGCTTGAGCAATTTTAAGGAATGTGTACCTATAACGAATAATTTGTATCGCATCTTGATATAATTACGACTTACTTGAGACTAAGTAAGTCGTCGCAAACTTTGCGATGGCTTAGATAAGCGCATGCCAATGGTTCCCGAATATGATCACAAAATATTTGATCGAGATCCATTTGTTTCGCAAGAGCTTTCGGCTTATGTTTTTTAAGATCTGGAACAATACATAATTATTATATATTTACGGTGTATTTTTGTCATACATATAGGATCAATTGGTAATCCAACTTGATATTCTGGGGTAACTCCGTCAGATTTGAATACAATGTCGCGCCGATTTTTCAGATATTTGGGCTCCCAATCAACAATCAAAACTGCCGGAGCAATCGGTTCGCTTGGCGGTTCAGCATCCAATTTCCATTCGCGGATCATTCTATTTATTCTTGCCGTTTTATCTTGGAATTTTTGGATTTGCTCGCCGAGGCAATCGCAATAATAGAGGAGATCGTCTAGTCGGCGGTTTTCATTTTCACGATTCGGAACATCTTTGTATTCCGGAATATCGCTTTCTGGAGGATTATGAACAGCGTCCTTTTCAGCCGCTTCTTTTTCTTCGGCATCTTTTAGTGCCAAACGCTCCTTCTTTGTGAAGAATTGAGGAGAAGTACTGAAAATGTAGTTATTTGTAATCAATACTATTTGGAATGACTTACGATGGCTCCAATAGATTGCCTTTCTGATCGAAACCGACACCATCTTCGTTTTGCGCATTTTTAGGTCCTCTCCAATATGGCGACTTAGCCTAGAAATCATCAATATAATTTTTGAAATTTGGTGGTAAAAAGGTTTACCAGAAGGGCCTCATTAATATCCTTTTCTGATGGATTAATAATTGTAGTCGCAAGATTTTCATAATCTTGTTCGGTAACAATTTTGCGGACATTCAAAGATGTGATTGCTTCGCGCATAATCATCAGTCTAGCATCTCTATTTTCCTGTTCAGTGGCTTCCGAATCTCAAAATTAATAATTACACATTTTTCAAATGAGCTCACTTACTGTACGACGCTTGAACTTTGCGTAGCAAATCTCTGTAAGCAACTTTGTCCCAGAGGTGCAACGCCTTTTCAAAGATTCTTAACAAAGTCATGTCTTCGTCAAGGCACGCGGAAATCCATCGATCTAATTTATCAAGATGATTGAAAATGTCTCTGAAAAAAAAGACAAGTTTTTTGCTAATATAATATTTCAAAGTCTTACCTTTTAACCGTAATCACAGGCTTCTTCTCATTGAGTTTCTTATCCATTTCCAGTGATTTATGGAAGTTCAAAAACTCTTGTGCTTCTTCCATTGATATCAAATTGTTTTTAAGATAAATTTGTATCTGCATAGGAAGAGTCAGTTTTGGAACTTCAACATCAATCTTTGGGCCGCGTGGACGTGGCGCAAATTGGGTCAGAGACATATTATTCTTCGTTGCTCGATACATCAATCGTTGGACAACTTTTGGATCTTCTGGATTCACATCGAATCGCACTGGCTTGCCATTCTTCGTATCCTCAATAGCTTTTCCGATTTGCTCTTCCTCGTCGCGTTTTTCGAGAATACGGTAGAGCAGACGATGTGCGGAAAAAATGCCCTCTGATTTTGAGAGGTTCTTGAAATGGTCCATGAGTGTTGGCTTCTTGACATTGTGCGTGTATAAAAGAAATGGCGACGCTTTTTGATACTGCACGAATTTCGCATCACGGTTTGAAGATCCCGGCACTTCCAAGTATTCCGGTGTATCACGAGGTTTAGCGCCAAGATTCAACTTTTTCCTCTTCTTAGGTGGTGGAACAGTTTTGAGTTTCTTTCTCAACGCGCCGTATTCTTTTTCGCCCATCATCGCTTTCAGTGCTTTAACGCATACTTTTCTTTCTTCCTCCAGCAACTCATAGTTTTTCTTGAGAACTTCATTTTTCTTCGTCTCTTTTTCCAATCGTGTCAGCTTCTTCACATCAGGTTTATCGATTTTAAGCACTTTGCCGTTCTCAATATCGCGTAGCTCAGCGTTCAGTAAATCCCTTTTAGCAATGATTTCCTCGGACTCCTCTTCACATTCAAGCAGTTCCATTTCATCATTAATTTCTCGCCGACGTTTCTAAAATATAGTGAATTAACCAATAATTTAGTAAGCGAGTATACCACTTGGGCTTTGAGATTTGCAATTCGTTTGTCACTTTCAGCTTTCAGTTCATCTAACAATTTTTGATCGTCAGGATTCAAGTCCTAAAAAGTAATTGTAAAAAACCATGATTTGTTTCATATTTATCATGTTATACCTCGCCTTCTTCAAGATTAGCGCTTCGGACCCAAACTTCGGCGAATTGCTTGATTTTCCTTTCTTCTTCCAGCTCATCTTTAACTGCTTGAAGCATTTTCTCCCTCTTCTTTCTTTCCTCCAGAGTCACATCGTTAATCTGGCTTCTAATCATTCTCTGAAAATCAATATTCATAAATTGTTCTTGATATTCAATTTACGTCTTTCAAACGATTGACAATTCCTATGCGATGACCAATACGTTCCTTCTTTTGAAGCTTCACCAAGTTTTTAATGGAAAGACACAATGGGAATGGTTGAACAACGATTTTGTCCTGAAAGATTTAAATTTGGTGTGATTGATTCAATTGAATTATCCTACTGGATCCACCGGTGCCAACCCCATATTTTCAAGTGGCTCATTCATTAAATGCTCCGGAACGTCAAAAATGAAGTCTGTTGAAGATTTCTTGACCTCTACTGAACCGTTCTCCAACATTTCCAGCAGTTCTTTCTTGTCTTCTTTGCTTTTGCTTCCGAGCATCTCCTCAGCCACCTCGCAAGCATGTTTTACGAAAATCTGCCGCAGTCTTTCCCGCATTTTTGCAAGACGATCTGCATCTCCAATTCGGTGCTGAAAATGGATGTATGTATAATTTTAAATCTTTCTATTCTACCACATCATGCACTGTTATTTTATCGGCAATTAGCGATTCGATAATTTCCTCTTTCGTTGCCACCTCCACATCGGTCAATTCAACGCCCATGTATTCTTTGATGGCGAAAATGATCAAATCCTTTTCACGTTGTTGCAAATCTTCTTCGCTGAATTCCTCGCGGCGATTTATTGGGAATCGTTGATAGAAATCATCGTCAGACACCGCCACACTGAAATTGTTGTTTCCAAATTCAACCTTTTATAGAAATTCTTACCTGCTGTAAATGCGACCAAGAAGCATTTTATCATTGTAGAGTTCTCTATTCAGTTTCTCCCGAACAGCCCATCTGCATTGACGGAAGTATTTCGCTTTAATTTGGCGGACGACTTTCAACTTTCTGTAGAGATTCTTCTTATCGATGATGCTCTTCCACTTTCGCTTCTTTTCAATTTTTAATTGATTCTTTGATTTCTTCAACTTCGCCCAGAAGACGCGTCCCATTTCTTCTCTCATTATGTACAATTCGCCATCCTTGGTTGCGATTTCAGCTTCAACGCGATTCTTTAGTGCGTCATCTTCTTTCTTTTTGTCGTTGTTCGCCACATCGTCAGCATTGCCTTTTCCATTAGTTTTCTTGCTCGAGGTTGACTCCTTTGAAGCATCTTTCTTTTTTCCATCCTTCTGCTTTGGTTTACTTTTCTCGTCATCTTTCTTTTCGTTCTGATCGTCTTTCTTTTCATTTTCTTCATTTTTCGGCACCTCTTTAGGAATATATCTCGGACACATGACAAGCTCTTTTTCTTCATCATATTCATCCTCGCTCTTTTGTCTGCCTTCTTCATTCTTACTCGTTTCCACTTGTTTAGTCGATCGTTTTTCCTTTGCAGGTTCGCTTTTCTTCGCGATTTCCTTCTCCTTCAGAGTTTCTATCGTCTTTGACTCAACTTTCTCTTTCTCAGTTTCTTTTCGTTTCTTGGCATCCTTCTCATTTCTTATTTGTCTTCTTATCATACGCTTCCTTTTCAACCATTTTTGTCGTCTTCTTTCATTCCACTTTCTTATTTTTTCTTTTCTTATGGCATTTTCCTTTTCTTGCACTGCTCTTGCTTCGGCTCTTCTCTCTTCAACCATTTTGACGTGTTCTTTGGGCAGAAATTGTTCACCATTTGGCATCGCCGTCGCAACAATTTCATTCCAATCTGGTATGAAGTCCAGCATTTCTTTTCGATAAAGATTGTAGCCTCTCAACGTATGATTGTCAAGTTTCGCACGACCCGCCCTCAGAATAGTGTCAAACTGAAATAAAAAAAAAACATCGATTTCAGTCTTCAAAATAAATTATACCGATACTGGTGGCGGCTGATTTCTAACAACCGGTAAGCATGATGGCACAGTTCCTCCATCCACGAGAATGAGCACGTTGTTGAGAAGATTCTCCAATGTTCTGCGAACTTCAGCTGCTTCGCGTTTCGCTTCTTTCCTATCAACTTTTCTCTGGAATAGTTTCACTTAAAATTCATTATAAGGTATATTAAAAATTACCATTATGCGCTGATCACGAATTGCTAAACGTTCCATCTTTTTATCATAAGCGGCTAACAAGCGATCTCTTCTCATTTTCTTCGCATCAACAGGCTCCTCATCAGACGCAGTAGCCTTATTTGCATTAGCCTTCATCGTCTCCGCTTGCTTCTTTTGCTCTTCTTCTCGCTTTTTGGCAGCCGCTTTTCGGCGTGCAATCAATTTCAGTTTGCGAACTTTTGCCCGCTGTTTCTTTCGAAGCATTGTCTTTTTGTCGACAATCCATTTTGCAGGATGCGGTTTCAATAATCGCTTCATAATAGTCTCTCCAAGAATTCTCTCCATCTCAACAATTGCCAATGTATCAGGATGATGATAAGCGGGATTCGAGCAAAGTTTAATATTCATGTTGTTAACGGCATGTGCCACATGTCTCTGTAATTTCATATTTTACGGTTTGCCTATACGTCACTAATGCCAACCTTGCACACTTCATCAAGGTTAATCCGTTTTCTGATTTTCTGCACGAGACTCTCTCTTTTTTGCAACAAAAGTTCGTGGCGTACAAACTGGAATTTATTATTATAATATTAACATTTTAGTTTTTATCCAACCTCCTCATTATTTCTATAAAACGTGTTCAACATAAAATCGCGGAATGCTTTGTCCGTTCTATAGGGTGGTGCTCTATCGTAATAATCTTCATCGGAATGACGAATTGCCTAAATCATGTGGTATCAAAAAGAAGAAAAAGTAAAGATTACCATTATTCGAATTCGACGATCAAGACGTTGGACCATATCAATCAGTTTAGAAACTCTAGCTCTCTTCATTGTTAGTCCAGCTAGTATTCGCACAGCGCTCTCCTCGCGAGTATCAGGTCCATATGAAACCCATCGCAAATGCTGAAATTTGTTTTTCTCATATTACTTATATCTTTATCGATGCTACCTCCAGTTTCTCTTCTTTTTCAGCTTTTCGTTGCTTCTCTTTATCTAGCAGGGATTTTTCATGAATTTTCTTTTGCTCCTTGGCAGTGTTCAACACATTTACCCAACTCTTTTCACGAGCGGTCAATTCTCGTGGCGGTGGAGCTTTACGTTTCTTCTGTTCCTCATTAACTTCCTTCCAGATTTGTTTAAACTCTTCATGGTTGGAGACTTTGGCCTTATTGGTTGATTTCAGAACGACGTCAATTATCTGTTCTCGATCTCCGTGAATGTCCATCATGCGATCGAAAAGAGAATCAAAAGACTCTTTCTTCGCCTTCTTTTTAGGCTTGGGAGCACGTCTAGATTTGCGCACCCAGCGATTTCCGACACGATACAGTTTCTCTTTGGTATCTGGCCGTTTTAACGGTTTTTTCTTTGATGTAGACGATTTTTGGCTTGCAGCAGAAGTTGATGGTTTCTTTGAAGCAGCCAATTGTTTTCCTTTCTTGAAGGTGTTTTTTCGCGAAACCTTCGGAATGGCTTTCTTTTCTTGAGCTGCTTGTTTCTTAGCTGGCATTGGAGCAGGTTTCGGTTTTGGCTTCGGATAGACAGTTCTGAGAACACCATTGGTTTCAATAACAATTGCTCCGGATTCCATAATCGATGTCGGAAGTGATTTCCTAGCATTCTCGGACAAGGTGTTAACGTCGAAGAATCCTCGTGGTTTTGGAGGCGGCGCGGGTGCATTTTCTTTTGGCTGAAAATCCGTTTGAAATAAAATGCGAATCATAATAAGTAATTCTTACTGGTTGCTCTTCTGGCTCAACTTTTGGAACTTTCGTCTTCTGCGCAGCTGATTTAGATGATGTGCCAGCTTTTGATGCTGCTTTTGGTTTCGGAGCGGATTTCGCTTTTGTAGTTGATTTCGGAGCAGTTTTTGCCTTCGAAGCTGTTTTAGATGCGTTTTTAGCACTTTTTCCTTTAGGTGGTATTGAAGGTTCGTCGCGAATTTGTTGTACAGGCTGAGCAGTAGACTCGCCAATACGGTATTGTTTTCCATATTTTGCCCTCGCTCTGCGTAGCTGAAGAAAAAAATATTGTTAAATGAGAGTTTCATTGAATTTCACTTACCCTGTTCTCCGGATTTGTATGATCATCGATAGACGATCGAAGGTCGTCCGGTAGCATGACAAATGCTTTAGATTCCTCAACAGTCGTTGGTGTCGCCGTTGGCGCCTTTGACGTTATAACTGTAGCTGGCGACGGAGCCACAACAGAAGTGGCGACAGGGGCTGGAGTCGGTGCTTTTGCCGGAGCACGAGATTCCTCCTTCTTGCTCTTACTTGTCTTCTCGACAGGAGTTGTGAACTTTTGTCGTTGATCACAGACAATTTGCTCCGGGACGTCTAAAATTTGCAAATTTTAGATTTTTAACTTTACTTTGAAATCACTTACAAATAATTGGACCACTTTGGTTTAGAGCACCTGGAGCCGTGAGTGGAGCAGCAGAAGAAGAAGAAGAAGCTGAAGCCGTGGAAGCAGAAGCTGCTGCTGCTGCAGCGGCGGCCGCCGCCGCTGCTTTACCCTTTTTAGTATTTTTCGGCTTTTCTTCTGGGCTGTTCAAGTTAACAGGGATGGATTTCTTTACATGTATCGGAGCAACCCAATCAATATTGAATTGAGGTTCAGCCCGGGGGCGTCCACGTCGCTTCTTCTCTGGTGGTACATACGGCGGACCTCTGAAAAAAAAAGATTTTCATTATTGAATTCAAATGTTTTTCGCTTACCCGTGAGTGATTTTGATACCGGAAACTGGAACATCGATGGTCATCTGGAAAGTAAATTTATGTTATTATACGATTTTTTTAATATAAAAATGCACCGTTATCTGTTCCTGAACTGCTTCCTGCTCGAAAGTTTGTTTTCTGTTGCGTTTTCTTGGAGTATCCTGACTGACTGTTCTTGGAAGAGGAACGCTGACTGGCGGCGCAGGGCCTGGTATCTGTGCATGGGTCGGCATTGAGCCTTGGAGCGGTGCTGGTGACGGTGTTGGACCCGGACCGTCTAAAGGAGTCATTTCCGATGGAAGTGAAGGTGGCTGTAGAATATTCGAGCGTGATTCCTGGTGCTTCTGCTGCTCAATTTGGGCGCCAGGAATTGGGACATCAGCGGTTCCCTTCTTTCGAGCCAAAGTTGCTGCGCTTGGTGGATCGTTGCGACCGCGTCTTAGTAATATGTTCGGGCGGGGTGATGGAGCTGGAATTGTCTGATGAAGAAGATGATTGGGTGTATGTTGCGGTTGATTTCCGACAGTGGTATTCTGCATCATCATTGAAATTGCTGAAATTTGACGATATTAATGTTCATTCTCTAAGTTGAAACTCAATACTTTGCTGCAAATGTTGTTGTTGCTGAGCTGGAAGATTTGCAGCAGTTTGCATCGCGTTTCGCTGCTCCAACGCAAGTTGTTGATTCTGCTGCGCACGACGTTGATTCTCTTGATGAATTTGCTGCACATGCTGACGAACTTCTTCTTCTTCACGCTTCTGCAATCAATCCATTATTGATTTGTATGGAAATTTTCAAAATCTCACAATTTTCTCTTCCAATTGCGCTTTGAGAATTGCATCTTTGTTAGCATTTCCTTGCGAAAGAAGTCTCGATCGAGTTTCTGCTTTCATGCGAGCAGCCGATTGCTTGGCTGCCTGATTACGGACATGATCAGCATGGCTTTCAGCCCCACGTCTTTGAGCAGCAGCAGCAGCGGCGGCAGCAGCAACTGCAGCCCCACGACCTGGTGGGCGGCCACGAAGTGGAGGACGTCCTCGAGAAGAGTGTGCAATCTGAAATTGTAAACTAAATAAATTAAAAATGCTAATTTGTCTTCGAAATAAACCGATTTCTATCGTTTACAATAGTTGCATATGAAATGTATGGGAAAAAAACGCGTTCACCGATAAAAATTTGAAGATAATTGAGTGTGAAACGAGCATTTCAGCTTAAAATGCGCAAAAACTTACGTATGGTGGCGCCTGCCTTCGTCCTTCGTTTATGTAATATGGTGGCATATGAATTCCATGCTCTTCACCGTATTGAGCGTTATATTGTTGAGCTTGCTTCATCATTTGATTGCTCTTTATCACCGAATTTGGAATGTGCGGTTTCGAAGCGGCTTGCTGTATACGCTGCGTGTTGAGTAGTTGTGCGTCGTGCTGTCTTGCAACAGCACTTTTAACCATTTCAGCATGTTCCCTTTCTGCGATTTCGGCAGCGCGCTGTTCATCCAGACGACGCTGAATTTGGAGTTGGTGTTGTTGTTGGACGGATGCAGCTGCAGCGGCTTTTCTTGCTTCTTGTTGTCGTCGTTCCATTTGAAGGCGCTCCTGCTCGCGTTGCTGTTCGATTTTTTGGATGTTCGTTTCGCGACGAGAGAATGCTTCGCGTTCTCGATCGAAACCTTGCCGCTTCATGTTCATCCAGTGGATTTGGCTCTCATCCGTTCCTCTGAAACATTATCATTTTCAGATATTATTAAAATTCCAAACTCTTACTCTTGATTCAACGATTGCATAGCAAGAAAAGTTAATACATTTGGTTCCGTGGTGGAAGTGTCGTGAATTGGTACCCCAATTTCCTGTCGTGGATAAATTGGTCTTGGAGTAACAATTCTTTGAGGTATTTGCTGTTGAGAGAGATGTGGTTGAGGAAGTGCTTGCTGAACTCGTTGCTGAGAATATTGTTGCTGTTGCTGTTGCAGTATGGAATGCATATTTTGATTTTGCTGCTGCCTGAGACTCGGCTGTTGTCGAATAGTTTGTTGCCGAATCGTCTGTTGTGGTCGGGAACTTTGTGGTTGCTGAGGAGATTGCTGCTGCTTGACTGTTTGCTGCTGCTTGGCTGCTTGTTGCTGTTTGGCTGTTTGTTGCTGCTGGTTGGCCTGTTGCTGTTGCTTGACAGTTTGTTGTTGGACAGGAGAGAGCGTTTGTTGTTGTTGAAGAGCTTGTTGTTGTTTGACAATTTGCTGCTGTTGGAGGGCTTGAGCTTGTTGCTGTTGGAGAACATGTTGCTGCTTAAGAACTTGCTGCTGTTGGAGGGCTTGCGCTTGTTGAATTGCTTGATGCTGTTGCAGAGCCTGCTGTTGAAGAGCTTGCGCTTGCTGAATTGCTTGTTGCTGAAGAGCCTGCTGCTGTTGAATAACTTGTTGTTGCTGTTGAACAACTTGCGCATCAGTGTAGTTCATTGCCGGAGGTCTTGTGGCAATTGGGCGTACAGGAGTTGCAGAGGCTGATGGCACCGGAGCCGGCATCGGGGTTGAAGCAAGTTGGCGTAGGGCATTCATTGCACTTGCTTGCTGATACGAAGCTTGCCTGAAATTATAATTGTTAATACTAGGGCTTTTCAAAAAATTGACTTACAATAAACTGCGACCAACGATTCCGCCAGGTGAGTTCATTGCAACTGAAAAATAGAGCGATAAATTGTTAACTCAAAAATTTGCATTACCATTAAATCCTGGGCTACCGAGAAGATTGGAATACATGCCTGAGTGTGTGGGGGCCACTCCAGCGAATCCGAGCCTCTGTAAGTTAAATATTGAATGAAAAATTTAAAATGAAACAATTACCGGTCCTAGGACATCAGCGGTCATACTCAAACCAGCTTGAAGCTGTTGCTGTTGGAAGGTATTCAGGTTAACATGCGCTTGCGGCGTTGCTCGAACCTGCGGCTGTGGGGATGGCTGCGGTTGAGGCTGTGGCGTTGGTTGGGATTGTGGTTGCTGCACTCGTGGTGCGTGAAATGCACCAGATCCCGTTGTAAATGCGTTTATGTTAGCCGAAAAATGGTGTGTGGCAATTCCGGGCTGTTGTCCGGGGAATGACACGTGAATCCCTCCTGGCGCCGGTGTACCAATACTGGCAACAATATTGGGCCGGGGTCGAATCTTAATATTTTAAGTTATTCAATAAGGTGGTTTGTTTTCAAAAAAAATTTATATCGACTTATTTTTTTTTTGAATGTTTGGCAAGCTCGCTCTCTTCTTTTTTCAAAAAAAATCTACGCCTATTTCCAAAAAATTTTATTTCTATGTTTTTCGAAAAAAGTATGATTTCGAAACACTAACCGGACGATTACTATCCTCTTCGACGGAAGGAGTACCCGTGTTATCTTGAGACATGTCTTTATTTGCACCGGTTTTTCCAATAGCAATGCTTAGTTGATTTATTCTTGATAGAAGTAAATAATTGGTTCACAATTTACCTGAAAAAAACGACAATTAACATATATAATTTGAAAAATTGAGAGGCAACGTTACGAGACGAAAAGAACGTGAACGAGGAATGGCTTCTGTGGTCGGAGAAAAATGAAGAATGCGTTCGAAAAAAATGAATCGACGCCGCAGGCTGGCGAGGGTTCAGTGCTAGACACAAATAGATGGAAGAGGGGTTATGCGCGTTGCGTCACCGCGACGCGGCTGTTGACATTTAGTGAGTGCGCGAGACGAGAGGTGTCAGATGAAAAATACGTGTCAGCCGAGAAAAGACAAAGAGGAAAAGTTAGATAAGCAGGCGGCGCGGGAATTCAAACGGCGAATTTGAGCTGACGTTTGCGAGACATTCAAATCGATATAACAAAAGTGGAAAAAAACTGTGGCAACACGCAATAATTTGATGAATCAATAAGACGAAAAGATTAATTGATAAAGATTAACAACTGTTTCACAATAACAAACTGCAAATTGATGGTGAAATGTGTTCTTATCAGTTCAGTCCAGATGTTCATCACGGAAGTTGTGTTCGTTCAGAGAAGGGTCGAAACGTTTTCGACAAGGAAACAAAAAACAAAAAGAAATATATGATGACGAATGTTGCGATTGTTCTCGCTTTTAATGGTCTCAAATAAAAAATAAGACTGTATTCAATAAAATAAAATAATGTATGTTTTGTAAAAAAAAATCTTTAATATAATCTACACGTATGTTTAAAGAAGGAAGTTGTGTTTAGTGTGTAAGGGAAAATGTCAATGCAAGCAATGCAGGTTTTTATTTCGAACAGCCTTGAAACAAACTGAACATCTATGTTGATAATATCTTCTTATAGAAAGAAACAATTTTCACATGAGCAAAAAAAAATTGGCTCAATCTGCATATATTCTCAAGTCAGACTGCATACAATGGAAGCTTTCATGAATATGAATGTGCTATTGTAACTAAACAAATTAATATCTAGAAAAAATTAATTGATTGACTTTGCAAAGAGAATGGAAGCAAAATTTAAGCAAAATGTTCCCAATTTCGTTAGGATTTTAAAATCAATGTATAAGTAGTACAATTACTAAACAATTTAAACCAAGATAATAAGAAAAATTATAGAGAAAATATTTTTTCTCTTGATAGCTTCATAGATATTTAAGAAACAAATATCCGAATAGAAATAATCTTTTTGAAACATCTGCTCAGTATTATCAATAAAAGTTGTCCACAATTAAACTGTTTTGCGAAAATCCCTCTCCCATTTCATATGACTATTCAGGCGTTTTTGTTCATGAATAAATAAAGCTCTTCTCATACCAATTTAACTGCTCTTTGTGCTCTACTTATCATTTTCCAATAAAATACAAGAAGGAATTTTGAACTCGGTTATTACAATATGGCGACCGTCCCAATTAGGTGATTGCTCTTGCCTCGTTCGTCAGTTGTCTCTTAAAACGAATTCTATCATTCAATTGACACAAAATGGTGTTCAACGGGATTTATGGCAAGTAATTTATTTTCCACCGTATTCCCATTTAACCCGTCAGTTAAAAGGAAATTAAAACATTCAAACGTTTCCTCCGAAATCCAATATCTAGGTTATTGCGAGAAATATCATTCAGATCTTCAATAAAACCTTGTGGTATATTCTTTGTATTTTCGAGGAAATGATCGTAAGTTTAAAAAATGCATTCTGACGTCACAACAAACAAAGTTACAAAAATAACTTTGAAATGTTCCTACAGTTTGTTTCAAAGGAACCCTTAATTAAGTTTTCCTATTTCCAATTGACTAACCGAAAAAGAACGATAGAAAATGCAAGTTTCTAGTGTTTCGTTATTCTTTTTTGCTTTCATAGCACTTCCGTTCATCAAATTTACAAGTCCCTTTTTTTTACCCCCTCGCCACTCATTGTGTGTTCCTCAATTAGGGCAGAACACAAATTAAGATGGTCCCAGTGGCTTCAAGTTCATTCGTTCATTGCGAGAGCTATGCCATCACCTAAAAATAGCTAGAATGGATCTTGAGTAGAACATTTAAACAAGTATTTATGTGTCATATTGAGCTTCATTTATTCCGGCTCGCGTTTGAGTTCATCTATATTCAGCTTAAATTGCCAAAGATCCGAGCGTTCATTGTGCGAATTATCGATGCCGTTGTTCTACGGATTCGAATAATGAGAATGAGATTTGAGTTCAGCAATTCTACAGATAGTAAGTGTTTTCCTCTTTTTTATTATCTCTGTTTTATGTTAGGTGTCAGTCACTTGTATTATATGCCTTTTTAAAAATTCGAACAATTATTTTTTGTTATAACTTCCAACTACAACCTGTTTTATTTTATCTACGTATTTCACATTCTCTTTTTCATAATGTTTGATAGTCTATGTCTACGCGGGAACATTTTTCTTTTCGCTTTTCAATATGGTCTTGAGTGGAATTATAACGCAATCTGTTGCAATTTCTGGAGACAAAATTGAAAATCTGTAATGAATACTAATAAAATAAATATTCACGTGATGATAAAATATATATATATATGTAGATAAACAAATTATTCAAACTACACTAATTCGCTTCAAATTTCTAAAAAAATAGGAATGTTGAAAAGTTTTCTCATTTTTTGTAACTGTAGTTTCCTGATATTTCAAACATCGATATTCTTTAACACTTCCGTATCTCAAAATTGTAGCGTATGGCCTCCTAGTGTGCTATCCATTTTTTGTGGTATTATATGTCTATCGATGTATTTCACCAGTGTTGTTAATTTCATAATTCTTTTAGTTTCTGATATTGTGTTTCCCGTTCTTCGCCGTGATCCAAAACCCACGGATCTCATGAACAATGTAAAACGTTGGGTTCGCAACTCCAATTTTGACGAAAATAGACCAAAACCTGGTAGCTCTAATTTATTACTATTTGCAAATTGGCAATGTTTAGACGTGAATAACGTTACAATCGATATGAGCCGCTCTTTGTCTCTTAAAGAATATTCATCGGCGTGCTCCGATCAATATGTGACTCCTCCATCACCGTCACGAATGTTGCCAGTTCAGAAATATTTCCCTCTGCAGGTTTCTTTTCAATAAACCAACAGTTTTATTTCACGAACAAGTATAGGAAACCCCGATCTTGGGCGCGTCTTCTAAAAATGGTCCGCGTAGAAAGTTGCCGCAAGTACCAACAACTCCTCGTCGAATGCTTCCAAAGTGTCCTCCTACCCAGAAAAAGACCTATCTTTACGACAGTGCAAATTGTAAGCTTTATATCGAATATGGATCATTTGACGCCAACGAAATATATCCGGTAAAAGAAGACGATATTGCCTTAAATGTACATACTTTGTAGCAGTGTCAGCCAAAGAGTAATATAAGAGCTCCACATTTTCTACGAAACACTTCAAACTATCAATGCGTATGTTATAGAAAGGCAAATTATTAATGTTTATTAATTCATGTCATTTCAGGCCGAGGTGATTAACTACGATTATTCCAATTATACCACTGCTGAGGTTATCATGTTTTGAAATCAAGCATTTGCTAAATTTATTTTAGAGCTCGTTCGATTGCGAAGACAAGCTTGTAAGGAATCCGAGGTACACATCCAAGTTGATGGATAATTGTGAGCTGCACAAACAATGCGATGAAAGTTGTAGTATCAACACACAACAAATATCTAAAAATGTAAAGGTTATAGTAATTTTTGAAACAAAGTGTGTCATTTAAGGAAAATGCTGAAAGCCCTTGTAAAAATTTTATCTATAAGAATGCTGTTCAACGTTCAAAAGATGTTGCCGAGCGTTTCTCAACCATGTATTGGGACCAGGCTAATCGCGCAGGAGATGGAGCAACTCCAGTTCCAGACAATTTCCATAACCGCTACTTCGGAAAAGTTGGAACCCATATAGTGAACACTGCTTTGGTTAGAGCCATCCTTCTAATATGCTTATAAATATCAGTTGTTCAGGCTCGTTTTCACAAATCGGCATCAACTGTTGATATGGAGGGTCGCGAAAGGATGCGAAAAATTAGGGAGAAATCTCGTCAAGCATTTCGAAACGGAATGGGCTTCAGGGTATCATCTTGCAAAGTAGCAAACCGTAATTGATCAATTCTTCAGACGGTCGACGACGAATATTTGTATCCACACTCGTCGCGCCAATATTATTTTTCCGACGTACCCAATTTCAATATTTTTGGATGTGAATCGTGATTTTTAATATTTATTCAGGAAGCTCGAGCGTCATTGGAAAAGAGTATGAGGGAAACTGGTGAACAGGACAAATCACTCTCTAGTCCTATTTGGAAGCAATCAAAGGTTATCCGATAGTCACGATTTCAAAGAACATCCGTATTTCCAGAGAGAGCACTATGAGTACAGCGATATTTTTTGAATATCAAATTCCTGATAGTATACATATTTTTATGAACATTTCATTGATTGAACAACATGTAGCGAGTAATTAATAAATAAATAATTTATAGCTTCCAACACCGGTTTCAAGATATCACGCAAATACAATTTAAAATAAAAAACACACAAAAGATCGGAGAACGCTGGAGAAAGCCAATATAATCACGTTGAATACATTGAGCTTACACCAATATGAAAGAGTCAACACGTCGAAAATGACGTTACCATATTGTGAAAATTGTGTATACTTCCAATTTCCAAAGCGGTTGAGGTCCTTATAACGATTGAAGAAGAAAAAACGATAAAACCAATCTTAATAAATAATAAGTTACGATTGGAGCTGTGCATCGAAAATTATGAGATATCGAATTAGCACAGCCCGCATGAAGCTGGACAGTTCTTTTTCATGTAATTCATGAAGATTCCTTCACAGAATCCCGCGCTCTTCCAATGGGTACAAAAATGTTTTCTGTCGGCACAACCGGCTGTGGTAGCAGTACTTGGTGAAGTTGAAGGGGCTGAAGTCGTGGTCGTGGTCGTTGTGGTGCTGCTGGTTTTGACGACGACGGGAACGGGCGGAGCTGGAGAACGCGACCGCGCACTGAAATCCTGCATTTGCTCATAGATTGAGTTTTGAAACACATCAATGCAAGGTGATTTAAGGGAAGTAAACCAAATTAGCCAAAACAAAATTATTGGGGAGTTCGAGTATCGGGTTTGGGCAGATCAACTAAATTCTTACGGTGGAAGTGTGACAAGTGGTTTCATTGTGACAACCGTTGGAGCAGGTCTATCAATTGGGATCTCAGTTGGTGGCGGCTTGTAGCAGAATCCGCAGCTTTTGGCGCAGTATGATTTCATAAAGTTCTGCGAAATCTTGCAATATCTAAAATTAGTTGTTCCTTCACCACAACTTTTGATTGTGCAACCTTTGAGAAACAAGAATGAGGCAGTCAACTCGAAGATCTTCACAATCAGTGTCAGGGATTGGTGGAACTGGTGGAAGAGTCGGTGGATTAGTAACCAATTTTGGTGCTGAAAAAAACTAAAATAACAAAAAATTGGTGTTTTTGTACAAACTTGTGACAACGACTGGACGAGATGTTGACGGAGCTCTAGTAGTTGTAGTTGTTGTCGTTGTTGGCGCAGGTGTGCTCTTCTTTGGAATACACATTCCACAGGAAATCGGGCAGTGCTGACGCATCCATCCTGGATTTCTAATGCACCATCCTGCACAATTTGATATACTCTTTTTTTCTGAAAATTTCAAACCTTGTTTTGCCAAGTCGTCACAATCTCCACGCAGATTTTTGCATTCCCCTGTTCCTGGATTGATGGGTGGCGGAGTATAAATTGGTTTTGAAGTAGTGACAACAACGGCTGGCTTTGTTGTGGTGGTAGTTACTGGAGCTGCGGTTGTAGGCTTCTCTCCTTCTTAATAAAACACATCATGTTACAGTTGTTCATAAATATTTTGTCTCTCACCGACAGGGCATCCATAAAGGGTATTAATCTTAAATTTGTCAACTTTTGAGAATCCATTCCTTTGTCCGATTTGAGCTCCGGGTTTCTTGGGAATCATTGTGGGCTGTCCGTTTCTTGAGAACGCTTTTGTTCCATAATGCATAATTGATCCGTAATCATATGATGTTCCCAAGGACTGGATCGTTCCGTGTCCATATTTCTCGAATTGTCCTTGCATTCCTGGTTGAATGTTGTTCCACATGATTGTGATATGATCATCTCTGTCGGTTCTGCTCTGCTCGTGGAAGAATCCAACAGCGTGCATCATTTCATGAATAATGATTCCTTTTTGAATGCATCCAGAACCCAACGAGAGCGATTGTTTTCCTCCTAAAACAAGGGGTATGAGAATTTTGTTTTGTTTTGTGGTCCTTTTATACCCATTTTTCCAACCATTGAGTAGCATCCTCTATCTGGGTAGATGTGAACGTAATTGAGGTCATTCGCTTCCTTTGGAACCCATTGAATGCAAGTGTGAGTGGCGTAATCTTGCATGGAAGCAGCAATCAGCGAACGGCTGAAATTATTTTATTTCACAGATTAGAGTTTTTACTTCTTGACAACACCTGTAACTACTGTATTGCGATGAAATTGTGTATGGTATTCTGCCATTAGGCCAAAGCTGAAGGCGGTTTTTAATAGCGTTGTACCACTTTCCGTTCTCGTTTTTCCCGGAGCCACCATTTAAGAACAAATCGACTGTTGAAGCGTTGAGCTGCAAAACAAACACATTGTTTACACAAACAAACAGAAGAAAAATAAACAAATAAACAAAAGAAAATTAAGACTAACGTTATCATTGGCGATATCTCCTTCGAACCGATCCTTGCTATACATGGCATCAGAATCCCACACATCCGTCGTGTCATGAGCCATTGCTGCAGAAATTCGTGCGCCAAGTTCGAAGTCTTCCGGTGTCAATACAGTTTCGTATTCGGATTGGGAGCGGTCAAACTGAAATGGAAACAGTTGAAGAGTTTTATCAAATGTTCCGAATAACTTACAAAGTTTTCGTCGTTCAGTGGCGGCAGCTCTGGAGGTTGATCATACTTTTCCGAAATTGCCGAGAGCACTGCCGGAATTATCACAAAAAATGATAAGACTTCTCTCATCTCTGAAAACAGATTGATTGATAAATGGCCGATCCTCACTCTTTATATACAAAGGTAACGATGCGTCATAGGGGAAAACGCGGAAAACCCGGGCGGTTCCGCGCGGATCGTAAGGTCTATTGGCACAAATCGCTCTCTGCCATAGTGCATGAGTCAGTGAAACATTAGAAAGCAAATATATTCATGTACGACGCTATTGTGTAGCTTTCAACATTTGAACACTCTCAATTTAAACAATCCGGTCAATGTCCGGCTAATGACTCATGTTAGCTGTCTAGGTGGTCAAAATAATGGTTTTTTGCAATCGAAACCAGCCATTGATCTCTGTTTGTCCCGAAATCAATGCTGGTAAACATCGAAGTGCAGGACTCGAGTGGTCATTGTATTTTAAATCAAAGCCCATGTTTGGAGCGTAGCCAGACAACGATTTCAATAGACATTCAAAAAATCAAAAGAATCAAATTTCGGTTGAGTTGTTTTCATTACTACCGTATTTGCTCAAACCACAATTTAAGGAAATGGAAAATTTCTTCTTTCAGCATTGCAACTTTATCACCATTTGAAATAAATTTAAGGCCCGATGTAAAAGGAATTAAAAAACGAGATTAGTGGAACAATAGGCAGCATAAGAGAGTCTATGAAACCGGGAAATTGAAGCACAATTCAATTTCCCGATTGAAGGCGCGAAACGGTCACCACAATGAAAAAACATCAGTGTGCGAGAGCGGCCGCCGCTCGGCGCCGGTTTCTGCGACCCAAAACACTGATGTCTAATGGTCAGCCACTTTTTAGCTCGGCGAGCAGGAGGAGCTCCACTGTCGGGGCGGGAACTGCTCCTTGACTTATGTCTATATTCGGTTCCTTCGCGTTCTTGCTCCTCTTCAGCGAGCAGAAAAAAAACAACAGCCCCGTAGCGAACCCGTAGGATCAACGTCGCGAATATCAGTCTAATCACTTGACATCACGAATTTCTCGTCGAACAGCGAGGCCGAGAACTCGAGCGCAAAAAAAAATAACGGGCCGATGGAAATACACAAAATGGGTAAAGAACGACTCAACAAATAGAGATTTATTAATCAGGGAAATTAATGATTTAGAAGGTCTTTCTCGGCTTTTTCAAGAAGTCTTCATAAGCGTCAAGTGCATTGTTCGGCATCGGATTGATAATCTCGGCAGTCTCAAGAAGATTAGCGAAAGAAATCTGAAACACGTTGAAATTGCTTAAAGTAATATTTGTTGGAAAACTGCAAATCAAATATTTAGAAAATCATTCCAACTAATTTTCTGGAAGTTACTGGCTGCATCGTAACATTAAAACATCTTAACATAAGCCCAAATAACGCATTAATTTTCTCCGGAAAATTTTGTTCTGTAAATTCTTGACTGACTCATAAATTTACCTTGCTGAAGAACTTCTTAGTTTCCGGATCCTTGCGGAAGGCGCACTCGCGTGGCAGCTTTTTCTGCAAATTGTCATGTTTTGTCTAACATTAGCTCATTCAAAAAAAAACTAGATTTGCTAGTTTTTCTTTCTCTAATCTTTGTTTGATTCACAAATTTTGACTCATCAACTGGACGCCCAAAATACAAATGACCTTTGTCTCTATATTTGGAAACCGCACCAACTCAAGAGAAAACGATTGGTCAATATTGTCGGCGATGAAGCCACGGATAATATTGTTAATCTGGTGAAATGAGCTCGCAAGCATGGTAGTCGTGGAAAACCAATGAAGAGGATTAAGAACTCTCACTTCGAATTGATTTAACAACAATTTTCATCCCCTTCTCTCTTCTGCCCCTCCAACGAAAGACGCCACCCAAATCGTACAAATGGAGTTTTTTTAGTCGTTCAGTCCGTGTAAGTGTCGTTTGTGTGTTTAGCATCATCTCTATTTTTTGCACAGGTGTTCTTTTCTAACCTCAACCCCCTACTGTTCGTACAAGATGACAGCGCGTGCTCGAATGCAAACCGTGATCACTCGGCGCTCAAACAGTGATTTGCGACAATATTGCGCGGAAAGGATATGTTTCGTGTGTCGATACTTTCTCCAATTCAACATTGTTGGTCTTAGATCCGATTCCGAGATTTCGAACTGCGACTCACCTCTCTGCATACTGCTGCAGCATGATTGTTATCCGGGAACGTCTCCTCGAAAACCCATTGGTCTTGAAGCTTGCCTTCCTCCAAAACCGTCGTTGACGTTACAAAGCATCCTGAATAAAAACGATTCCAAAAAAATAAACAACTTTGATGATACCAAGACGATAACGATCCTTGTCGTCGACGCGGAAATCAAGCACATTTAGATCTTTCATGATTCCAACACCAGTTGCTTTCAAAATTGCCTCTTTCAAACACTACAATGTCAATGTTATATTCTGTTTACACGATATTCAAAACCCAATATCTATAAAACATGGTCATCTTCATTTTCTCGGTCGGTTGTCCCCTCATTCGACGCAGTTCTTCAGCTGAAGCCGATTTCGCCATTGAGTTTATGTATTCATCAGCGGTCTTATTATTTCGTTCCGTGTCTAATCGCATGATATCGACTCCAACTTTCGACGAGCAGCTACTCGCAAATGCTACATAGTCTCCCTATAAACAAAAACAAAACGTTCTGAGCCGGAAATTGACATTAAATTGATCCAAGCGGCCTCAAAAGTTCAATAATCACGCGATATTTGATTTCATATCTTTCGCCAAAACCAATAATTGAAAAATTCCTTTCCGCCGCGAAAAGTACCTGATGCGAAACGTTCAATCCAAATGTAGTGTTTGGTGGATTCACCAAATATGGTTTGCCTCTATCAGTTCTTTCAAACATAATTTCCTTCCATGGGACGCCGGTAAACTGAATTAATAAAATATTATTATACATTGATGCAATCTATGAAAACCATTTGAGCTGCATGACGGAGCAATAGTCTTCCAAAGAGACAAGCTAAAGCATCCTCGCGATGACGAAACTCCGGAATTCTCTTAAATTCTTCCTCACTCAAACACTGCACAGCCTTGCGAAACAATTGCTCGAACTGCAATATTAGCTCAATTGTTTCAAATTCACTAATTATGATTTACATTATCCTGCTCGAATGCCGCTTGTAGGCTGATAACCCATCGATTACACTTGCAATCGCTGAAAATGATTCAATAAATGGTAGATAACTGAAATAAAACTTACGCAGACATTCCGGGGCGGTGAATGCAAGGAATGTTCTCGGATGAAATGACGAAGAAGAACGGTCTGCACAGCCGCTGGCCATGATTCTATAGAGACGCAGACGCGCGAAATCTGATGACCTTCATAATGTTGGCCAGAAAAACAGAAGAATGCGTTAGACATCCTCACAATGTAGGACTCGGCGAGATTATTATCGTTGAGTGGATACTGTAGAAATGCAAAAAAACTTGTTTTATAATGAATTTATGGAAAAGAAATGCAGAAAAAACAATTGAAAAATTCGAAACTCTAGAGATTCATCGAGAGTCGCATGACCGCCTTTTCCAACTTTTTGATTTTTTCAGATTGTTTAAGAAGGATTGCACTGGATTCTTCCATGTATTTCATCACATTGTTCTTAAAGACGTTGTATTGAATTGTCCAAATTCGCAAATTCTCTTCTTAAAAAAGAACGAATAACTAACACAAAACTGGATTAACTTTGCTGGTCTTGGTTTTCTTTTGCACTGAGTTCCTCATCGTTTTTTTCATTTGATTTTGAAATTTCTTCATAATTTCGGTCAACTTGTTTTGCACTCTGAAAACAAATTGGCCAAAATTTTCCCAACTATTTGACGTATAACATACTGGTTTAAAAATTCGGCTCCTTCGATCGCCAACATTCTGAAACACGTAAATGGAAATTTGAAGAATTAGCTAATCTTACATCTCCGAGAAGTGCGGAACAAATTGTAGCCAATAATAAAAGGGCAATTATAGCTCGCACCATAATGCCTATGAATGCCGAAAACCAAACATGTTTCATCTTTTATATTTCCCCCCCAAAGGCCTACCAAAACATTTTCGATATATATGATGTTACAAATATCTATCAAACAAAATTATTTTCATATTGAGGTTCTATAATAATAAAATATGAAACAAGAGATTTGATAGAAATGAGTAATAAATGTTGTAAATTATATCACTAAAAACCCGAGAAATATACTATTCCACATCAAAACCGTTACTAGTAAAATTTAAACAACATATTGAAGGCAAGCAAAATGTTTTGAGCCTCAAACGAAATCAAGGCACTGAAAAAATCGAATGAAAGCAGATCGATGTCTAGTAATATCAATTAATAGAATCGCTTGCGTTGACGCTCGTTCTTCTTCTGCAAGTAGATGACACCAAATCCAATTCCTCCCACAACGACAATAATCCCAATAACAACAAGAACTGTAGTTCCAAGCCATCCCAATCGAGACGGTCGAACATCTTCTGAATGATCACGTGGAGAAGCAGTGAATTCAGCATGTGGGACAACGTTGCGGCGATCGATCTGAAATTACACGTTCTTGAATTATTATCGCAGATTAGAATAAGTGTTATTCAAATTGGTGATCTAAATGGGTCGGTAAATACAAACATTTGCATGTTTTTTGTTTTGATTTGGCAATCTCTAGCACAAAAAAAAATGTTGATTGTGCCTATATTTGGAATTGATCTCGTTTTTCTAAACAATGACTAACCTCCCCAACACGTTCAACATGGGCGAATTCCTGTTCAAACGCCTTGACTGCGATGATATCGTGTGCATCTGAAAAAGCATCAAAAATTTCAATCGTTTTCTTTCAATGTTTTCACCTGAAAGATCTCCAGTAGCAGCACTCATTCCAAAATAGTATCCAGTTGGAAGTTGAACATTGTTCACACTCATACACTTCTCCCAAACACCCTTGTTGTCAATATCGGTGAAGATCTAAACAAAAATTTGTTGGAAATTATGATAATATAATTTTGAATCTTGCCGAAAGGGTATCTCCAACATAACGGATCAGCAGTTGAGTTTCGTGATCCTTATTGCGGAATTTGGCAGTGCATCCTGATTAAACAACTATTCAACCATGTTTTTATATTATGAAGCTCTACCGGTATCTTCTCCTCCAAGCTGGGTATGAGTGCCGTCTTTGTCGTGATCATAATGAAGTGAACCATCAGAAACCATCGCAGAAATAAATGGATGTCCATGCTGTACAAAAATGATTTTTTTACCAAGTTTTGCATCAAATTACCTTATGTGGTCCATTATGGTTGCTGTAAGTATCTAAGAAAACTCCAAGTCCTTTGAAATAATCTTTTCCTCCAAACACTGGTCCCATTTGATTCGGCTCCGAAACGTACCAAATCGCCATTCCATCACCAAACATGTCACCGGTGCTTCCAGAAACTTTGAAAGAAACCTGAAGCTCCCAATCACGTGAATACATTGGCTGAGTATTCCAAATTGCTCCAGCTTTGCTTTGCTCATCAGCAGTCAAACGAATGTGTTGCGATGTCACAAAAGTGCTTCCTTGAATATTCCAATATGGAATATCCATGCTGCCGCCTATTTAATTATTTAATTACCGTGACTATTATAAATAATAATTACCAGTGTATGGTTTGATAAGTGAATGCTCTCTCTTATAATATCCACGGAATTCATGAACGGTAGCTCCATTAATGCTTTCAGCAAGCACTTCCGCAGCACTAGGCGTTCCGGACGGTGGTTGTTGTCCTAAGACAACGCCGATCAACACCACCAAAATTCCCAAAGTTTTCATTTCCTAAATTATATCTTTAAATTCTGCGTGAAAAAAATCATAAATGTTGGTTTAAATCAACGTGGCTGAGATTTGAACCGTGTGGCGGCCATAAATAAGCAGACAAGCGCGCTCCATTGACACTGGACCTTTGCCAAGCACCGTAATCAAACTACAAATAATGCTGCCTGCACATCTAACGCTGTATGAACCTGTGTTGGATTAATCGTTGCGTCTCTACCGAATAGACTCCATTGATATCATTTGGCTTTCATTGTAACATTCATTCATTGTATCCGGCCAGCGTATAGAAGATCATTTTTCAGGGAGATGAATACCATTCTCATTGCATTCCTTCTAGCTGTTGGAGTTTTTGCCGCTGATGTGCAAACACAAACCAAGGTAATTAATTAATATTTTAATATGAACGTTACTGAAAAAAAAAATAAAATTCAGGATGCCTTCATTCTTGCCAACAAGAGCCCTCTTTCGTTGTATGCCGTCGAAAATATGGATTTGATTATTGAGTATGGAATTTACAACGTTGGAGACAAGCCAGCAACCAAAGTCACATTGGATGATCGTCACTCATTCCCAACCCAATCCTTCGACATCATCCAAGGAGTCCTTCAAGTGACATTCGAAAAGATCCCAGCTCAATCCAACGTTACGCATTCCGTTGTTGTAAGTTTGAAAAGAAAAAATTTTAGATAAAAGTTGATTAATTTTCAAGGTCAAGCCAAGAGCCTTCGGAATGTTCAACTACACCTCCGCTCAACTTAGCTACTACAACGGAAACGATCAACTCCACATTTCCTACACAAACGCTCCTGGAGAAGGTAAGGAAATCTTTCGGAAACATCAAAATTGGTAATCTTTTTACAGGATACATCTACCGTCAACGTGAGTATGACAGAAAATTCGCTCCAAAGTACACTTACTTCATTATTTTCTTCGTGTTGATTGCTCCAACCACCCTTGGATCTTATCTTTTGTTCGAACAATCTAAGGCTAAGTACGAGTTGATCGGAAAGAAGAAGGCTTAAGTTATATTAATTGTTATAAAAAGCAATAGCCATTAATTGTCACTACCCTTATATTGTTGCCCATGCGGGTTTGTTTTATTGCCAATTTTTTGGCCTATATGCTATTTATTATGTTACATTTTCACGATTCTTTCGCTCGAACCATACAGATTTTGTGATTATTGTGACGTCATCTATTCAACAAATTCTCTCTTTACAGGTTGTTTGCTATACTGTATTTATAAGTTTTGAAAATAAATCTTTTCCGAAATCGTTTGTGTGAGGAGTTGGAAAACACATTTATTTGAATAAAAACACTCGTGGGATTTTCATAATACAGGATAAACATTTGTATGCAAATAAAGGAAAGGCATGAGAGTCATAACAAATATTTGATTTTGAAAAATTGAGAGAGAATTAAGATCTCAATGACACACATTGCAGGGAAATTGATATTCGCGCAAGAATTCTGAATAAGAGGGGGGAATAAAATATACCGAAAACTGACAAGATATTGCTCTCAAAACAATGCTTTCTGGAGTGTGAATGTTAGAGTTATTGTCGATATGGCTCGAAACAGTGAAAAAGTAGTGAATTTCGAGTGTTCGCTTTTTGAGCAGATGTGGACTTTTTTCTTATACCATCTCAGCAAATCGTTTCGTAGAAACGGCAAAGTTATACCCATTTTTTTGAGTCATATCAATTCACTTATAAGGCTAAGTCAAATAATTTTTGATCAGTTTTTCTGACGAATGCAAGCAAACATTTCTGTTTCTGAATTTTTAATAAACGAGAACCACCTGTTCGTGTTGTATCGTTTTCAAAATAATAATCGACTAATTGATTTATTGCACCAATAAACAATTTAGAGAAAAATGCTTAATGATAACATTTTGAATCATTGTTGGAAATATCTATCAATCACAATAATCCATGAAGAAAGTTTGAAATTCACACCGAAATCAACACAAAAACAAATATCTACCCTTGAATTTTCCAGAAAATGAATTAAACATTTCTCAATAAAATTTTGATTCGCTGGTCGTTTTCTAACACACGACCACGTGCAGCTGAGAGTTCCGTCTTGATCTCTTGAATATCGTTCTCCAAGTTTGTTACAATTGTAAGTAATCTGCAAGAAATTGTGTCTTTTCCAGAAAAGTATCTTTAACAATACCTTCCGCTATCTCCGAACCCTGCAGCGGCCCTATTTTGTTGTTCAAGCTCATTTTTCCGTTGTTCGGCTCTCCATTTTTCCAGCTCTTTCATCATGGCATCAATATCATCCTGTAAATTCGACTTGACATCATTATGAATGTATAAAATTGGTTTTACATTTATAAAATCGAACAGTCTTGCCAGAGGATAAGCAGCCTTTGTAACATCTTGCATCTTATTACGTATTCCAACAATTTTCTCTTTCTCCAAATTGAATTCTTCATTATCGTTTTCCTGATGCTCGAAATCTTTTGCGATTCCACCATCTTCTATTTCAGCTTTTGTATCCATTATTTTTTGTACCAGAGCTCCTCGATCCTCTTCTCCAATTTCAACACTTGTGATCAGTGGCGCTTCAACTTCTTCTTCCTCAATAATAAAATTGTCGTCTTCATTATCCGCATCTTTATTTGGTGTGTCTTGAATAATTTCAGATTTCAGTTCCACAGTCTGGAAATTGATTTTTCTTAATCATAAAGTTTTCATATAATACGGGTTGTGGTGTATTGTCAATAGTAGCAATCTGTTTCTTTTTAATTTTTGGCGGAGCTGGACGAGATGACGCTGTTCCAGGTCGACCCATCGATGTTTGAGGACGTGCTGCTCCAGTGGCTTGTCTAAACAAAAAAAATTGATTTTCTGAGAAAACATCTTTCAATTCACCTTAAAAGCGCTGCTCGCTCTGCTGGAGGCGGAGGTCTTGGGCTATCATCACCCATTCCACTATCATCCGTTTTCACAGGAGAAGTTGCAGTTTGAGAAACTGGTGTTGCGCTGTCATTGTATACAATTAGATTACCACTTGGCCTTTCAGCTTCCTCATATCCTAAAATTGTTTCTTGTTTTATTGTAAACATCTGCAAAGCTCTAACCTTCATCATCATGAATATTTTCAACGTCTCCATTCATGGCTATCATGGAATCTCCTCTCTTTAATACTTTCTTCTTCTGTCTCTTCTCTTCTTTGGCTTCTTTTGATAGCTTTGATTCTTTCGACTCACTAGATCCATGTTTATCCTTCGATTTCGAGCGTTCCTTCGATTTGTGATCTTTCGATTTATCACTTGATTTTTTCGATTTTTTCTCCTTTGCGTCATCCTTTTTATCAACGGACCTACTTCGTTTTTCTCTTTTTTCCGATGAGTCGTCCTGTTTATTTCATTGTTTTATTCAACCAAATGTTGGTCTTACCTTTTTACTAGACTTTTCTTCTTTACTACTCTTCTTTTCTTTATCCTTACTACTACTACTTTTCTTCTTCTTTTTTTCCTTAGCTTCTCCTCCAAAATTCCTTGCGTTCATTCCCAACTTTTGCAAAAGCTTAACATTTTTTAAAGTAAGAATGAAAATGGTATCGAGAAATTTACCAAATTCGTATCGTCTGCATCTTTGCCCGCAATGATTTTTGATGCTTTCACATTTTGTAAATCTCCTTCGTCTAATAATTTGATTAGTTTCTCAAGAAACTCAATTTTCGATTGTTTATCAGCTGAAGCTCCTTCCAATTCGCTTTTCGAAAAATCGTTCTTAATAACAATTCAGATGAATGTGTTTGATTTCTTGGAAATTACCTTCAAATATCCTGTTGATTTTATTACTGCCGCAACAATATCGATTATGAATTTTAAAGGTGGTCGTGAAAGTAGTTGATCTGTTAATTGTGGCTTCTCTATCAAACCCGCGAATACTTCCTTGGTTTTTTCAATATTCATTTTTCCTGAAAAGACGAGCATTCAATATTTATTTATATTAAATAACTAGGTATTTTAAGAAAAATTCAAAGTTCTAAATTCCATGATTGTACCAGTTTGATCTTTCAAATTCCAAATAGGCTGCCTTTTTAAGAAATCCACATATTTTCATTCTACAACATTTTCAGTAATAGCAACTACCCTTAGATTAGAATATTAAAATCAAAATGACACCATTTTTTACATTAATCATAAATTTCATGTATAATATCAGCAAAACAGAATAATTAATAAATTTTTATCAACACCGAATTTTCTCACATATTTTCTCTTGAATATTAATCACTTGAGAAAAAATATGAAACCATAAAAAGACTATAGAATTTAATATTACTGATTACGAAATATGATAAAAGGGATTCACTATTGTGCATGACAATATTATTTTTATATAAGAAATAGAATGGCAAAAAGAACAAACGTTGGTTTGACTTTACAACAAATATAGAAAGAAGTTGGTCACGCTACGGATGAATCAAAACTATAAAAATAAAAACAGGCATTATATCATAATTCGAAAATTAATTCGAATTACATGATTCAACTTATTTCATGAAAAATGGATTAAAAATCAAATATTTTCAAAATTTGAATAATCTTCACGTAATAACTTTTTTCTAAACAAAAAATAAGTAAATTGATCGTGCTTATGGGTAGGGGTCACCGGTATTAAATTGAACGAGCAAAAACTTCAGCAAGTCGTAGAATAATTCTAGTTGGGTGTTGTCGAGAATGTGGTTGCCATGGAGAGAGCGCGCGCAGATACATGTATGTGAGCGCGCGCGCGTATACCCGTATATGCTTATAGCGAACCATTGCATACACTAATAATAGGAAGCATATAAAGAGAAAACAAAAAGTACAAATCAATTCTATGAATTCTGAATACTTTGATGAGAAACAGATGAAATCTCAATTAAACGAATTTGAAAATGTGTGAGAAAACGGAAATTAAAAACTAATATATTATTCTCGATTTTTTTTCTTTTCATACTCAGAAAAAAAACTTGAAATCTATTTGCGCAATTTTATTATGATAATAACAATATAATCTCATAGTGAAACTTCCAGAAATTGCATAAAATTTAAAATGTATTTAAGAAAGGGTATTTTTCAAATAAATGTATTACAAATATATAATTTTACGATATCAATGGTTTCAATTTAAATGTATGCAATGCTATTTTTTTGGAAATTTGGAAACACTTCGTTAATTATTTCTGTAGTATTATAAATGAAAATAATTATACATATAGTTCGACTTTTTTCTACGCAAATTTCCATAATCATTTTGTGGAAAATGTCAGAGATAAAAATTGCAAATAAAAATTTTTATTCCGCTTCCACATTCTGCGTTACTAAAATGTCATTTCACCTTTTTATATGTATTATTTGGCAACGTATGTTCTGAAAGTTTTCGTAAAATTCGCGGTTGAGCGCGAGCGAATTGTAGTCTGTTTTTTGGGGTCACTCAATATAGTGGAATCTGTCGACTAAATTTAAATTAAAAAAAAACCAAGAATTTGAAATAATTAGTTAATTAAAAAATCATGTTGCAAAAATTTGCTTTATACCCAAAAATTGTTTTACGCGTAGAAAATATTTTGAACACTTTTGTCTCATTCGATTCCGCTTATGCAATCCGCATTTTGCGTTTTCAAATTATTCATTCCGTTCAAGCGGGTTCAGAGAGATCACCAAGTATTCCAATGTTCTCTGAAAATCATCCTGAGGGCAGCTCTCTTACAAGTATAGTGATTCAAACATCTAACTTATTTTTACATCCTTTGCTTGAGTTCTTGCAATGATTATTGGGGGGGGGGGGTTCATATGGAGTAACATTTTGGTTTTCACCTGGTCTATGTAAATTGTATTATTTAGTGTATAAATTCAATTGGAAATCAAAACTTGCAATTAAATACACTTAGATTATATAAAATAGTGTTTCCAAAGTTTGAAATGAATAATTTATTAATACAATAAAATGTACAAGAGTTATTGCAAAAATTTTTCGACGCAATAAGGTTCGGCAAAATTAAAAATCCACATTCGCATATGTCCAACATGTTTCGTAAGAAAGAAACCGAATCTTGCTTCCGATACAATTGTTTGTATGAACTTCATGAATTCCGATTTCTGTTTTGCGTTTGGATAGTGAACCTAATAAATTATCATAATTATCATTAATATTTTCATATTCGTAGTATTACTTCTAAGCTTGTTTGGCAGAAAATTATATTGTTCTTCGCGAACCTTCCATCTTTATAGAAAATATCAAAAAACCCATACTCTGCGTTTTCTGCGTCAATCCAGAGGTAATCAATTTTCTATAATTGTGATTTATCGTAGATATTCTTGGCTTCTTTTCCCTTCTCTTACTTTGATTTGTAGCATATCATTAATAAAATAGGAGATATCGACATGTGCCAGCTCTTTGTTAACATATGTACCTGAGCAAGATGAGTGGGCTGGGATGAAAAACTTGCGTTTTGTAAGTTACCATTAATCATTACACTAGCACGAGAGGTTCCTGCGTGTCCGCCAACGGCAAATGCAAAATATTGGCCAATAGTCGAGTATAAGTCTTTGTTTATATCGGTGATCGGATAAGCACCAAAGAATACAACGTTGTAACCAATGGAATTGAGCTTCTAGAACAAATGCATTTAGCAAAACAACATGGATAAAAAATTCGAACCTCTTTTATTTCTAACTCTGATCTGATGTCAGCACCAATTCCTAACGTTATAAAATTCACTGTCTTGTTTTCGAATTCCTTGAAAAATTATAGCCGAAATTTTAAAAAAATCAGAGATATTCTTACCGATATCGGGAGTATTCCATATTTTTCTTCATCTGAATTTTGCAAAGTTTCAATTTGCAAATTGCTCACTTTTGCAACATTATCGCAATATTCAGAATTTCGTTGAAACTCCGACCAAAACTGAAAGTTTGCTTGTGTGCTTAAAATTCGTCACTCTTTAAAGAAAACCTCTTGACTGTCTGATATGGCTTCGAGTTTTTCTGATATACATTCATTCCATTTTTGGAAAAATTCACCTCGTGAGACGTTGTTACTCTGTACATTTCAAGTTTAAAAAAACCAGTTTCATATTTTTTTTTAAGACTCTCTCTAAAAACAAAATAGCAAATTACTAATAAAAGAACAAGGATAGAAATGAATGTGGGATACCTCATGATGAAAACGGCAGTTCAAATAAATGGATAGCTTCAATTTGTAGACGTGTAGGATGGGGCTAGATTAGAATCTCGTGATGGCGTGTACGGGATATCGGCGTATCTTTCACGGAAAAGACATACACTCGAAGAAAGAAGAACATCTAATTTTGGATTCGCCTCGAGTCTTTTTTCATTCCGCTTGTAATTGTTTGAACTCCGTGCAGTCACCAGATGTTCTCAAGAATCCGTGTTCAGCACGTTCTTGGCGTCGAATTTGTTTGAGAACCACCAGATGGAGAATAATTAAAACGATAAAAAGTTCAAAAATCACAGTATCGGGCTAGAGAGTTATTTTCCAGAGTGAAATTTAGACGGCGAACGATTTTCCTCGAAGGATAGTTCAAGAAACAAGTCTTAATGGCTCTAGACTTTAGTGGCATAGCATCAAAATTGTGGGAACAAGCAGTAATGCAAATAATATTTGAACTTTTTTTGTTGAATACTAGTGCAGAATCATCCCTAAGCATAATATCAAGAATTTCATCAGACGTCATGTTCATATAGCAAAATCCTCAAGGTACATTGGTTATCATTAATTACATTTCTTTGAAGCTCGGCATTTTTGAAAGCATGACCTTTTAGTTTTTTTTTACGCAGAGAAGATTGATGAGAGCCGCAATCCCTCATAAACTTCGTATTAATTCAGGCTCGAACAGTCTTCATATCTACATCGCTGCACATCGTCTCTCAATATCCCTCAATCTTGTCGATTGCGGCAACGAATAGATTCGACCCTCAATGATGATCTGGGCCACATCGAGGCAACATTGGCAAATGTTACAATGCGTCGCATTAGATTGAAAGGAGCGCATCCATCGATTGAAGCTCACCCAAAAACTCGCGATTGGCTGCGTGTATGTGTATATGTGTATGTGTGTGACTCAGCCCGCCCGCTCGATGGAGCAGCATCGTCGAGCGACAATCGACAGCTGCTCGAATTGCACCACAACTTGACGGCGACACCGCACCGCCGAAACTTGCAACCTGTTGAACTTTTAATCGGTGCATCAATTAGCACCACGCATAAATTTCAATAATATGTAATGAATGTGAAAACACAAAGAAATAAAGCAAACCTGAAAAGAACCAAAAAACCAAATTCGCGAAATTTTCGACCTTCCCAGATTTAATCTCAGTGTCTTCAATAAAATCCGGTGAACAAAGTTTTGCTTAATTATTCAAAAATCGGTCCCTTAAAAAAATCGGTCCTGCATTCTTGTTGCAGCGATGCCGCGAGAAGGAAAAATCAATAAAGTACAAAATGGTTTTTAATCTAGCTTATTGATTTATAGTATGTTGGGCAAATATTGCGGTTTTTGTTTATTTGTAGGACCTTAGTGAACCAAATATTGGAGATTTTATATCATGACCACAATTATGGAAAACTTACATTTTGAAAAAAATGAGGAACATTTCCGTGAATAAAATATCCATTTATTAACAACATTGTTACTTTTCCGAAATTTCTGTTTACTTTTCATCAATTTTTGAACGAAGTGAACGTGAAATTCTAAAAAATTCAGACCCCTCGATTTCGAAACGAATTTCGTACGTTTTCTCGACCTCTGTGAAACGGGATCAACAAAGCATCTATGTGCTCTCTCAAATAGTTATGATGATCCGATGGCATCTTTACGGCGCACGAAGAGCATGAACAACTGGCTCCGCAACACATATGTATGCCTTGATGGTGGTGCACTTTTGCAATAAAAAGGGCATCTAAATGTCTATATGTGCATATTACGATGTGTGAATTGTTTATAATAAAGAAATAAACAAAATGCGAGACCAGAAGACGATCTTGAAGGAATTTGTCGCCAAGATTGTGTTTTCTAGTTTATACTAACCATCGAATCGCATGCAAAAGGCCAAATGCTGAGCGTCGAAAAAATTGAAATAAATAAACATTGAAATGTGAAAAGTGCAAATTTTCTAAAGACATCATTAAATACTTTTTTCTAATATGAGAAATCTTTAAAAAAAAATGCCAATTTGGATTCAAGAATGAGCAAGAAAAATTCGACCGCGATTAGAACACTTGTAAACGTTGAAAAACCGTTCCCTTCGATTTCGTCGGTTTTCCAAACTTCCCATTATATTATTTCCCCCTAACTTCCGTATTTTCCCACTTTCCAATCACATATACACATTGCTATGTTTGCTAATTTTACGTTCTGCATCGCAAAAAATTTAAGAACAACACAACAACGTCTTCCAAAAAAAAAAATTGTATATAACAAAATACGAGCAATTTTTGGTGAAGATCAGCCATTATTTTCTATCCCCCCCTTCAGTTTTAACGTATTTTGAGCAGATGGAATCCAGATGTGGTTACCAGCAAATAACTAAAGTAATATTATAAGCACGTGCGCTACAGATGCGCCACACCGTAACTGATGCCCTAGTTCAGATGTTTCTCGTGTCATGAGGTGCAGTCCATTAGTGAACTCACAACGTATATATAAAAAAATGCTGATCGAACACTTGGATTGTAATGTTGCGAATGATGAAAAACTTCTGTGTGATAGGAGACGAAAAACGCCAGCGCCGCTCATTTCTCTTTATTGCGCTGACTTTACGAATTTTATAAATTGGCTTCTATCCTATATTTATCATACGGGGCAACTTCACGGCAATCATGTGCACATTATAGTTATAAAAAACCGACGGCAAGAGATCTTGGGGAGACGTTTTTTCGGGTTTAAACTTATCCGCGAGCGGTTCACATAAACAAATTATTGATGTTTGCTCTGCAGGATTTTGACGACAACTAGAAGCTATGAGGAACATCATTATTCGTCCTGGATGAGAGACGAAAAACTGAAATATCAAGCAAGATGCATATGACGGAAATTCGAAAACTCGTTTAAACTATCGATGTCATTTTCAACCGCTTGTTTGCTTGCGGATATGTTTTTCATAGTTTTCTAAATTCCGAAAAAATTGATTTTATTAACATTTCTCAATTATACATCTGCCAGATTTTCCATCAAATGGCAACTTTATTCTGACAAACGTATAGCCCATATCAATCAATCATTTGCTCTCGTTGAGCAAAAAGCGAACTCGAGCGTGGCTATCCAATGTCCCGTTTCCTATAGTCAACGATAAAGAAGATGAAGAAGCGCCGCTGGCCCTCGTTAGTTAGTCACCTTTCGCTTTTTGCGTCGAGGGTTCTTCCTCCTCTTCTTGTGCTGCTTCTTCGAAACACATTTCGCGGGCCAGTCAGCGAGCCGCTGCGTTTATTACAGCATAGCGCGTTGTTTCGTCTGTTTCGCCCGGTGCACCGCTTGCCTCGTCGCAACGCCAATCCTCTCGGATCGTCGCCACGCCCACTCGTTCGCCTGCTCTTTCCCTTCTTCTAACTGGTGCCTTCACAGCCAACGGCTGCCTCTGCCACCATGAAGCAACGAGCGCCTCTTGGGTAAGTTATTTGTCTATTACCGTATGCTCCTATATATGGAATTGACAGAAAATATTTTTATATTTCAGCGCATTGTTGCAGTTGGCTATATTAGCCTTTCTAGCAGTCAGCATCGTTCAATCGGTAAGTTCTTAACTCTCAATTGATTTCATTCTTTAAAATGACTCGTATTCTTATAAGTTCTGTTGAAATAAAAATAATCAATCCGTCTCGTCTATTACAGATCTGAATAATTGTCATATATGTATTTTAAAACTTGTGCAATCTTGTGTCATCAAAATGAAAATGTTGAATTTGGAAGTTTTGGCGAATTTTAAAAAGAAATCGAAAAATCTCTTCTTATGCAAATATCACTAATCATATCATTAATTTCAAATTTTCTCGAAAATTCTCGACGATTTCAGTTTGTTTCCTAATAATGATGCCGAAAGATTATGTCACAAATATGTTTTAAGAAACCTACATAATCTTAAGCAATGCCTTATAGTCCCTCTTTTTCATTTCATATGGATTTCCAATATGCTCTTATTTTCTTCACCGATCATTGCTCTATTAAAAGTAGTATTTTGTTACATCTCAGCTTAGACCAAGGGTACTTTAGTGCATTCATGAAAAACACATCTGAATGTCTAAATGTTCATTTTTATGCAGTAGCAGTTGGAGCAGAAATATGTTTTATGATTTTTTTTCTTTTCAGCAAGCTACTTGCCGAGACTGCTCAAACCGAGGATGTTTCTGCGTTGGAGAAAAAGGATCAATGGTAAGGATGTTTATGGTGAAATCGATGAAATTGATTTCAATACAATCGAAGCGTTTGCCTAAACACCGCACACCCAACATATTTCGTAAATCAGCATCAATCTCTTATAATTCGGCAGAGGCGTTTAGTATTGATTGTAATGCTGTGGCAGTTGTCACTTTTTCGTAGTCTTGAGTCGGTGGAGAGCCCTCGACGAAACGGGGTCACCCGAGGTCACAACAATTGGCAGATTTCAACTTACAGGGTGCGCCGGGACCACAAGGCCCACCTGGAGCTAATGGAATCCGAGGATTCCCAGGACCGGAAGGACTCGCCGGACCAAAAGGACAGAAAGGAGCCCAAGGTGCCCACATTTGGAAACTGGGAATTTAACTGTTATAAAAAATTATTTCAGGACCACCTGGACCACAGGGTACAAAGGGTGACCGAGGAGCCGTTGGAGTTCCAGGATTCCCTGGAAACGATGGTGCAAATGGACGGCCTGGAGAGCCCGGACCACCAGGAGCACCTGGATGGGATGGATGCAACGGAACTGATGGAGCCCCGGGAATCCCAGGACGGCCGGGTCCACCAGGAATGCCAGGCGAGTACTATTTCAAGAACGTTTAGAAGTGCACGTGTCAGTTGTTCTATGTGAAATTCATATGTATACGTGTGGTCAATATTTTGCAAGAAACGTATCGATGACAACTGACAGAGTTGAACACTTTGAAAAAAATCTGTTTGTTGTGGGCGAAAGGAGGAAGTTGAACAAGTAATGGGCTAATATATTTTAGGATTCCCTGGACCACCAGGAATGGATGGACCAAAAGGAGAGCCAGCTATCGGATCTTCCGGTGCTCCGGGAGAGAAGGTGCGATCAATCAAGTGTGTCGCGATATGCAATGTGTAATGTTTACAGGGTGATGGCGGTATGCCAGGAATGCCAGGACTCCCTGGACCACCAGGACGTGATGGATATCCAGGAGAGAAAGGAGATCGAGGAGACACTGGAGAAGCTGTACGACTAACTAATCTACTTAAACAACAATGATCGTTAACATTTAGGGACCACGAGGACCTCCAGGAGAAATCGGAATGCCAGGAAACCCAGGAATTGGAAGCATTGGACCAAAAGGAGATCCTGTGAGAAATTATGACAAAAATTTTTCTATCAAAAATATAGTAAAAGTGTTTAGAATAGAAATTGTATCATTCGGTGAAAAACTTGAATTATTTCTTATGTTGTCCTTTTCCGATGAGCAAATTTTTGGAATTCAAATTTCTAGGGAGATATAGGTGCTGTGGGACCTCCGGGACCACCAGGACCACGCGAGTTTACCGGATCTGGTTCGATCGTGGGCCCACGAGGAAACCCTGGAGAAAAGGGAGACAAGGTACCGTTTATTAATTTTCCTTTCTTATAGGGAGATATTGGTGCTCGCGGACCACCAGGTCCGCCAGGCCCAATTGCCTCGACAATGTCAAAGGGCACAATTATCGGCCCTAAAGGAGACCTAGGAGAAAAGGGAGAAAAGGCAAGAACAAGGCGCTGCTATTAGAGTCTTTTAAAGGCCAAATTGGCGCCATTTCAAATTAACCAACTTCTTTCCTTAACCGCTTTCTATTCTTTTATCAATGCTGCTTATTTTTCCGCATGGTCTATGATGGTGATATCCCCTTAGTAATACACTATCCATTGACATTTCCAAAACTGTAATTTGCTTATCCGTATGCATTATTATTTTCAAAAAGCGCGTTTTCACTTTCCGTTTTAGATAGTCTAGCAGCTTGTGTGTGCCTTCTCGCCTTTCACAAGATGGTTCTCGTGGATACGGTTTCAATGAGTGTGCCAAACTCATGAAGTTTGACAACGTGAAAATTAATCCGTGGACCCATCTTGACCTATAGTTTCTAGATGTTTCGGGTGGTAATTACCACACGCTCTAATATTGACAATTTATAGGGAGAGCCTGGTGAGGCTGGACAACGCGGTTATCCAGGAAACGCCGGTCTTCCTGGACAGCCTGGACTTCCAGGAATGAAGGGAGAGAAAGGATTGAGTGGACCAGCTGGACCAAGAGTGAGTGACGAAATATAGAAGAATTAATAGCAGTTCAAACAAAATGAGTGTTTAGGGAAAGGAAGGACGACCAGGAAATCCAGGACCACCAGGATTCAAGGGAGATCGCGGTCTTGATGGACTTGCTGGACTTCCAGGACTTCCAGGACAGAAAGGAGAAGCCGGATACCCTGGAAGAGATGGACCAAAAGGAAACGCTGGACCACCAGGACCACCAGGAGTATGATTGTTATAAAAATATTTGAAAAGTAATTGTCGTTTATAGGGAGGCACCTTCACTGATGGACCACCAGGACCGCCAGGATTGCCAGGACGACCTGGAAACCCAGGACCACCAGGAAACGACGGATACCCGGGACAACCAGGACCACCGGGACCAATTGGCAATCCAGGAGGACCAGGTCTTCCAGGATTCCCAGGAAATGAGGGTCTTCCAGGACAAAAGGGAGAAAAGGGTGACGCTGGAAATCCGGGAGCTCCGGGAGTGTCGGGACCACCAGGAGTTCCGGGACTTGCCGGACCAAAAGGAGAACCAGGGTAAATAATTAAGTTGCAGTCTTCAAACGAACGGATTACTTTAGATATCGTGGAACCCCGGGACAAAGCATTCCAGGACTTCCAGGAAAGGACGGACGACCAGGACTTGACGGACAGCCAGGAAGAAAAGGAGAACAAGGTCTTCCAGGAGTTCGTGGACCACCAGGAGATTCGTTGAACGGACTTCCTGGAGCCCCAGGACCACGTGGACCACCAGGACCAAAGGGATATGACGGACGTGACGGAATCAATGGATTGCCCGGAGTTCCAGGACACAAAGGAGAAAAGGGAGGAACTTGCTCGATCTGCGCTCCAGGAGCCAAAGGAGAAAAGGGACTTGCTGGATATCCAGGACAGCCAGGGCCACAAGGAGAGCGCGGTCTCCCAGGAATGCCAGGACCAGTCGGAGATCCAGGAGACGATGGTTTGCCCGGACCGGCTGGACGCAACGGACCACCAGGACCACCAGGAGTCGACGGACTTCCAGGATTGCCAGGACAAAAAGGAGAGGCAACTCAACTTGTTCTTCGACCAGGACCACCAGGATACCCAGGACTCAAAGGAGAAGCTGGGTTCCCAGGACTTCCAGGACAAGACGGACTTCCTGGAGCCCCAGGACCGATTGGACCACCGGGAGCACCAGGATATCCAGGAGCAAAGGGAGACGCTGGTCTTCCAGGATTACCAGGAAAACCAGGAAACGACGGACTTCCGGGACTTCCAGGAATGAAAGGAGAGCCAGGATATGGACAACCAGGATTGCAGGGACCACCAGGAATTAAGGTTTCTCGTAGCATTTAAAGTTGAAATTAATTTTACTATAATTCCAGGGAGATTCTGGATTGCCAGGACTTCCAGGAACACCAGGACTTCAAGGACCACCAGGAGAGCCAGCTCCAGAAAATCAAGTCAACCCAGCTCCACCAGGTCCGCCAGGCATGCCAGGACTTCCGGGACCAAAAGGAGAATCTGGATTCCCAGGAAGACCTGGAGAACCTGGACCAGCAGGATTCCCAGGACTTCCAGGACAAAAGGGAGAGTCTGGACTTCCAGGACCACCAGGAATTCCAGGACTCCCAGGAACACCAGGAGAGAAAGGATTCAACGGTAGGACATAAAATACAGTTAGTTGATTTTAAATAAATGATTCATTCAGGAGTGCCAGGAGTCCCAGGAACACCAGGACCAAAGGGTGACGTTGGAATTCCAGGATTGCCAGGAATTCCAGTATGACTACGAATTCACGTTTCTAAATTAACATTCGATTTTTAGGGACAAAAGGGAGAGCCAGGAATTGGACTTCCTGGACAGCCAGGATCACCAGGATTCCCGGGATTGAAGGGAGACGCTGGACTTCCAGGACTTCCAGGAGCCCCAGGACTTGAAGGAGCCAGAGGGCATCCAGGAGCTCCAGGTCTCAAAGGAGAGAATGGACTTCCAGGAGCCCCAGGACAACCAGGATACCCAGGAGAGAAAGGAGAACCAGGATTCCCTGGTCTCCCTGGAAAGGAAGGATTACCTGGACTTCCAGGAAACGACGGACTTCCAGGTCTTCCAGGACAAAAGGGAGATGATGGTCTTCCAGGTCTTCCAGGAGTCACCGGTTTGAAGGGAGAAACTGGAGTTCCAGGTATGAAAAATACAAAAGACAAAACAAGTGTAATCATATTGTAGGATTGGTCGGTCCGCCAGGACTTCCAGGATCACCAGGATACCCAGGACAGAAGGGTAACAACGGAATTCCAGGAGTTCCAGGATACAAGGGTGAATATTCAACAATCAACGAATATAAAAACATTTATTCAATTTTCAGGAGACGCTGGTCTTCCAGGACTCCCAGGAACACCAGGAATGAAAGGAGAGCCAGGAGTCCCAGGAATGCCAGGACTCCCAGGACCAAAGGGAATGAGTGGACTGCCAGGACTTCCAGGACAGGACGGACTCCCAGGAGTTCCAGGAATCAAAGGAGATCGTGGATTCAACGGACTTCCAGGAGAGAAAGGAGAACCAGGACCAGCTGCTCGTGATGGAGCTAAGGGAGATGCAGGACTTCCAGGACAACCAGGTCTTCGCGGACCACCAGGACCATCTGGACTTCCAGGAATTCCTGGATTGAAGGGAGAGGCTGGATTACCAGGATACGGACAGCCAGGAATGCCAGGAGAGAAGGGACTTCCAGGAATCCCAGGAAAGCCAGGACGACAAGGAGCTCCAGGAGCTCCAGGACAAGACGGCCTCCCAGGATTCCCAGGTCTTAAGGGAGAAGCGGTAATAATTAGGAAGCAGCTGATAGCAATTATCTACCATTTGTAGGGATACCCAGGACAAGACGGTCTGCCAGGACGTGATGGACTTCCAGGACTTCCAGGACAGAAGGGAGATGTCGGACCACAAGGAATTCCAGGACTTCAAGGACCACCGGGATTGGATGGACAACCAGGAGTTCCAGGAATTCGTGGAGACAAGGGACAATCTGGACTCCCAGGTCTTCCAGGAGATCGTGGACTTGATGGCATGCCAGGGCTCAAGGGAGACACCGGTTATCCAGGACAGCCAGGACTTCCAGGAATTCCAGGAGAAAAGGGAGCTTCGGGAGCACCAGGATTCCCCGGAATCAAAGGAGCCCCAGGATATCCGGGACAAGATGGACTCCCTGGAGTTCCAGGACAGAAGGTAAAAATAAACATAAAACAATTTTGATGATCGTAAGAATTATAGGGAGATACTGGCTACCCAGGACAACCAGGACGTGAAGGACTTCCAGGACTCGCTGGAGAGAAGGGAAATGCTGGACTCCCGGGTCTTCCAGGAGCTCCAGGACAGTCGTTCCCAGGACCAGTTGGACCTCCAGGAGCACCAGGTCTTCCAGGAAAAGATGGATTCCCAGGACTTCCAGGACAAAAGGGAGATGCCGGACTTCCAGGTCTTCCAGGAGCCCCAGGACTTAAGGGTAACTGAAACACTTAATAATGCTTTTGCATTAATTAATTATTTCAGGTGACTCTGGATTGCCAGGATTCCCAGGACAAAAGGGAGAACCAGGACTTAACGGAATTCCAGGAATGAGAGGAGACGACGGACTTCCAGGAGTTCCAGGAAGAGACGGCGCTCCAGGACTTCCAGGAATTAAGGGAGAAGTCGGACCAACTGGACCACCAGGACAGCCAGGATATCCAGGAATCCCAGGGCTCAAGGGTACTGAAACCAAGAATCAGAATATTGTTAATAAGAATAGCATTTTTAGGAGAAGGAGGTCTTCCAGGATTCCCAGGTCCAAAGGGAGAGTCTGGACTTCCAGGAGTTCCAGGAACTCCGGGATATCCAGGAGAGAAAGGAGACTCTGGATTGCCAGGATTGCCAGGAAGAGATGGAGCCCCAGGTCTCGATGGACCAATGGGACCACCAGGAGAGCCAGGACCGCTCAACATTGTCACGCCAGGTGCTAAGGGTCTTCCAGGACTTCCAGGAGCCCCAGGACTTCGTGGAGAAAAGGGAATGCCAGGACTTGATGGACCACCAGGAAACGACGGACCACCAGGACTTCCAGGACAACGCGGACAAGACGGATTCCCAGGAGCTCCAGGACTTCCAGGAGAGAAGGGAATGTCTGGCTTGCCAGGATTCCCAGGACTTGATGGAGCCCCAGGAGGCCCAGGAGCCCCAGGACTTCCAGGATCCCCAGGACCAGCTGGACCAGCCTACCGTGACGGATTCGTTCTTGTCAAGCACTCGCAGACCACCGAAGTTCCAAGATGCCCAGATGGACAAACCAAACTTTGGGACGGATATTCCTTGTTGTACATTGAAGGAAATGAGAAATCCCATAACCAAGATCTCGGTAATTAAAAAAAACGAAACTAAAATTTCTAAAAATGCAAATCACAGGACATGCTGGATCATGCTTGCAACGCTTCTCGACCATGCCATTCCTGTTCTGCGATTTCAACAACGTTTGCAATTACGCTTCCAGAAATGACAAGTCATACTGGCTCTCAACCTCGGCCGCAATTCCAATGATGCCTGTCAACGAGCGCGAAATCGAGCCATACATCTCGAGATGTGCGGTGTGCGAGGCACCAGCTAACGTGATCGCCGTTCACTCGCAGACGATCCAAATTCCAAATTGCCCAGCTGGATGGAACAGCCTCTGGATCGGTTATTCGTTCGCCATGCACACTGGCGCCGGTGCCGAAGGAGGCGGTCAATCGCTCAGCTCACCAGGATCGTGCCTCGAAGACTTCCGCGCCACTCCATTCATTGAATGCAACGGTGCTCGCGGTTCATGCCACTACTTTGCCAACAAGTTCTCATTCTGGTTGACAACCATTGATAATGACAACGAGTTCAAGGTACGATACGCTTAAATGATGAATCTTCAACACTAAATTCTGTTTTAAGATCCCAGAGAGTCAAACTCTCAAGTCTGGAAATTTGCGTACACGCGTTTCAAGATGCCAAGTCTGTATCAAGTCAACGGATGGTCGTTATTAATAATTTTGCAAATGTACTCCCAATAATCTCATTCGCAAAGCAACTTTCAATTTTTATTTTAAAATACCATTATTACTTTCTTCAATGCCAAGTTCAATACAATATTCATAATTAATACTTGTTTTATTTTATAATTACAAATCCCAATTTTGTCTTCAGTTATTTGTGATTCACCAATTTTTCATTTCTGTATGATGTTGTCGTACTGCCATGAAATCCACCCACGTAACCTTCCATCGATCTGTGTGGTTCAATGTTATTCAGCATGTTGCCTTAATCTATTTCCAATAAATCAATCAAAAAAAAAGTTGTTTATGTCATGAAAAATATGTCGTGAAAATGTTATCGAATCGATATATTAAAGGCAATAAATCTAAAGCACATTTGGTTGGGGGGAATCACAATGTTGAGTTCACATAACAAGTGCAGAAGTGACTAGTAATTTTCTTGAAAATGGCCATGGACTGAATCCTAACAATGGGAGGTTCAATAAATACATAAAATCTGGATCAAATATTAGTAAAATTAAAGCACTTAAGACTTGAATAGACATCTCAGCGATTCGACTTGGACAAACCGTTGACACTTTTTGGTTTTGGATAACCTGCGCGAAACATTTTTGTACAAACAGGGATAAAATTCGAATTTTCTCAACAATAGTCGTCCATGATTTAAGGTGTAATTGTCGTACTAATAGTGTTTAAAATTTTTGTGAAAGGAAACTTTTGGGAGAAGCCGTGCTAATACCAACCGCGATTTGTTTTTTACGAATTGCTGAGATATTTAAACGGTAATGATGTACTATATTTGTACCTTAAATTTATTATGGAATGACTGTTGATTGTTGACGAACAGTACAACATCCAACATCGTTTGCATGACAACGGCGATCAATACAAATTGTTTGGTTTCTCTCATCCAAATCTTCCTCCGGATCAACAAAAATTGGCTCAACGACAACCTGAAATTGTTAGTCAATTTCTTCATTTTATTATTCTCTTCATAACACAGAAATATTATTAATTTTAACTGCTCTACTGCAATGTTCATCTCCTAGTATTTTATCAACAAATTAAGATAATATCTCTTGCTAAACCGGTTTTGGGAACTAATTTAATGGTATTGAATGCGTAGCAAGAAAAACCGTCCTCCTGGTCAAATTAGATAATCTACCAAGCGACAGCTGTCAGGGCTTTTTTTTCGAGAAACAACATATAATCGAGACTTGGAAGAATCTTGGAATAACGCTTGCTTCTGAAACAGTACCAAACAATTAAATGTTGTCAAATTTATCTGTTTCATCCTCGTGGAAGTAAGTTGAAATGAGCAATGACTTCTCAGCTATCGTGAGTTGTTGTAACATGACATTTGTTGCAAATCGACGGGAATAGATTTTCAATATCTTTCTTATCATTCCAACCCACGAGTGTAAAGTGCTTTATTCGATTTCTCTTTTAAATGATACCATGATATTAAAACGCAGCAGGACTAAGGTGCTAGTAAAACCTCGAATTGTAATACTCGTACCTTATTGGCTCCAGCCTTCTTGACTAAATCGTGCACACGTTCTTTACAGGCTTTAAATGAATCAGCAGCTTTGGAAACCCATGTTGGATCCGTCTTTGAAATTTTCAATTGGGCCTTCATGGTGACTTTGAAGCTTTTCGGCCATTCGAGACTTGCGTGAACGTGTGAGAAGTTGACGAGAGAAGGGAGCTGTATTAAAACAAAGTTGTTAAAAAAAAACAGGCCAGATGTTCGTACCTCTTGTTTCAAGGTCGATTCTATCGCAGAAATGTCAAATTGTGTCAATGGAGGATTGTCCGCGAGAAGATACGGCTTCAAGCAAATCACTGCAAACTTTCAGTATTGTCTGATGCCCTATATAATTTTGCTCACGTGATGGAATGATAATAGAGTATGATATGAGCGTGAGAACCACTGCAATCAAAGGATCCAAATGATGACTGACCCAAAGGTCCAAAACATCATGATCGCATAGCTTTTCAAATACGAAAATCGCTTAAACGTTAATTATATAGTTTTATAAAATAGTTTTTAAAAAGTACTAACCGATAATACTGATTGATGGAAGAGCAAGTACGATGAAGTTTTTCCACGCAGCTTGAATGGCCATTGGTGGAATGAAAAAACAGAAAACTGATTTAAAAATGAAATCGCACGCATTAGAAGAAATCGACAGCAATATAATCATCAAACTTTCTGAAACAGAAAAATATTGAAATATTATACTAATGTTAAATTTAAAAAAGCTCATATTTATTGATTGAGTCCAGAATTCTTGAAAGTAGCAATTTTTATTTATTTGTCGCTATTGTTTTTTCTTGCATATGTACTTTACAGTAATTTCGCTAATTTTGAGATATTTCAAACGATTTTTTGTTCGAATGCGTTTTCGACAAGGTTTTCGTGAATGGTTCCATTGTGCCTACTCATATTTTATCAATGTTGCCTCTTTTATTGCAACACAAACATCTGGGCTATTATTTGATCTTTCTAAACACTGTTTTAGGCAACGCCTTCAAAATGACGCAATGTTTTGAATTAGTACAGAGTTCTTAAAAATGCCATTTAACATGTTCAATTTGTTGCCAGAAAATAAAGATCTAATCTATAAAGTCATCATTTTCTCTATGCAAAAATTCAATTTCACTTATATTAGTTGCAATCGTAAAGCGGCAAAACGAATACGGAAAATTTATTGGGTCTATCTTCTTATCAGCACATTTTCTCAATTTCTTTGAACGATATAATGAATTTGCGGCCAACTGAACGTAATTTGCACCAATTGCACATTGCATTATCTATTTATATAATGAAAAACTTACGATTCACTCGTCCGTGAGTATGGTCACCGCTAGTTTCATTTGAGCTGACTTGCAAATTTCCAAAGTCGCTTATTTCTTCCAGACAATGAGAAAAATTAATGAACAACATTGCAATATATACAACAAGGGCTCCAGCACTGAAAATTGTCAATTGTTCGAGGAAAACATCAAAAAGCATACCGGAACAAAAGCGTCGTGCCAGAACTTTGATATTGGCCCATTTTTTCAATCAAACATATCAAAGAAAATAATGACGAAGCCATCGACATCTGTAGAAGTCCCGAGTGTGTGAACACTCCACTAATTAACTGAAAACAAAACCATATTAAATTCGTGCGAAAGGATGGTATCAATGAATAACCTGGAATGTTCCCGTCAAACCTATTAGGTATAGCATAAGGTGAGCAGAAACCATCTGCTGAAAAAATTTAGACGTTTTGAGATGACGAAAATGTTAAAATAAGAAGGTTTAGTGTGCGAACAGCATAAATAAATAATTGCGGGGACGCATTTTTTTCGTCCACGGTCTTTGAAAATCGAAAGTGTACGCCGTCTGCATCTCTGCGCATATGACTAGTGAAAGTGTGCACGCTTTCACTATGCCGTTCTTGCGATCGTTGTTATTCATATAGTTTGTATAATTAGGGACTAATTCGTTAGACGAGAGATAAATGTGAACAGAATGTTTCCATTCGATAATTTTGAGGAGGACTATTTGGAAGAGGTAATGATAAATAAAGAAAGAAAGTAACTGATAACACGATGCTTTGGTCTTTATGTGATCTGATAAGAAATACGCCTAAGTTTAGACGGCACACACAAAAAAGCACACCGATTGACATTTTTGTTGGGATTTCGTCTAGAAAAACATGCGCCCGGAAGACGGAAACATTGCGGAAAACTGACAGCCGGCAAATACACGATGGCGAAACAAAAATACCCTTATAATGCCAAAGTTTTTTTTTCATATGTATGTTGGACTGCGAGAAAGAAACTGATATTCAATTGGTCTTTGAAAATGCCTCGAATTTCAACATGCTACTGGGATGAAAACTTTATTTATTCATATTACTATCAGAGCATAATAAAAATAGTAATCACAATTATGGAAACACAATATATAATTATGCAATAATATTGAATATATGTATATGGGAGGAGGATTATATGATGGATCGCGATGAAGTAAGCTACACTCAAGGTACTCTAAGGCAAACAAATCTAAACTAACCAGCATTTGATACCTTTAAACCAAGCTCATTTTGAACCGAAAATAACTTGTGACAGAGCATACAAGAGATGAGACAAATTTTGGTTGACAAACAAAATTGAAAAAAGGTTTGGCATTATGGAATGTTCAGAAAATGGAAAATTCGTGAAAATGTCGCAGTGACTCAAATCAAACATTTATATACGGGGTGCGTGATTATTGACATTTTTGAAGATCATCCTCCGCAGGTTTCACTATCCGATTGCCTATACGTCTGATATCTGAAAAAAGTATTAGCATCGCATTTTTTTGACCATGCATCGAAATCACCTTTTGTATTGCTCGAAATGATATTGCCAATCTGTAATGTATTCATTCTGCCATTTGTCCATTTGCTGTTTCCAAACAAGGTAAGGGTCTCCGACGTCAGCTGGAAACGGGAAACAATAAGGATTAATGATGAATTATTAGTCCCTACCAACTGCTGCCATTAGATTAGGCAGATATGCTTTCCAAAATGCGCATTCTTTTCTTCTGGGACCATGTCCAATTCTTTTGGAACTCGGATATGATGATTCCACCGTCATATTCATGTATTCCATTGAAGTTGATGAATACTTTGGCCAGACATCAGCAGTATATGAGCCGTCTTCATTTTTATTTGGATCACTGAAATATTTCAATGACTATGCCTAGCCATTTTCACTCATGCTGTTTGAAATAAAACGTATATTGTAAACTAATTTGAAATGGTCTTGTAATTTTTTTTAAGGTTTTCTTTAATTCTTACCCAGATCTCGCAAAATTCGCCCAATATCGCATGAATCTTCCACTCAATTCTCTCTCCTCGTCAGTGTAGTTGAATCGTTTTTGATTGAAAGGCTCGCCGAACACGAAATTGATTTCATAACCGTGCAAAACACCCATCCACTCTGGCCAACTTTGCGCAGAGGCTCTGGAAATATTGAGACTGTTCAGCCTTTATTCCTAGGTATCTTACCTATGCGTGAAATAGTAATAATAAGTATCACCGCCATGTTTAGTATGCGCTAAGGCCATTTCGTTGACACTGCATGTGAAATGATAGTCACCAAGCATTTTATCCATTGCATTCAACCAATCTCGAGGTGTAACTAAAAAACCCGATAGAGTGTAGATATTATTTTAAAATATTATACTTGGAAGATTCTGAGGTTCGTATTCATGGAGAACGGCGGCAAGAGTCAACTGACACTTCAAAATTTGTCGAGGTAGCAAATCTTTGACGCCTTTGATCCAGACATCTCTTCCAGTTATGAAATCTGTTTTTGTGAAAAAATCAGCAACTGGGAATATATCCTAAACAACATTTTTTCATTTTTGTCGTAAAATTTTATATTGGGAATACCGGCAATTGATACGTCAAAAAATAAATGCTTTCGTCGCGGTTACTTCCCGTCAATAGTTGGGTTTTTTTGAAATTTCCTTGTTTCAAGGATGTTTGTGCATTTTCAACCAAAAAGTCACCATCGACAACTGGAACCCAAGGAAAATCACCAAACTCTCGAACTGGCGCCCATTCGTTTTCTCTGAAAACGACAAATTCGATAAATCGTGTGTTCGCAAATCAAATATGTATCGCATCTGAAGAATGAAATGTTACGCGATACCTCAGCAAATCAGCTTCCGCTCTTTGGAAGCAGTCTAGAATTTTATCATAATCTGGACTGCTGAGTGACATGTTTCCGCACTTCATTGCGTTGTACAAAATAACAGCTCTTGCCAGTGCCACATCTCGAGGCTCAATTGCCCAGGGAGATGTTGCTGATCCGGATTGCAAGATCGCTCTCTGAATATTTTCACCTGATTTTATCAGGAAACACGTAATCATACGTTGAAGTACGGAGTACTCTTTGCGCTCAGCATGTGAATGCTCACAGAAGCTGCGCCCGCAGATTCTCCAAAAAGTGTTATGCGATTTGTGTCGCCGCCAAACAAATCAATATTTTTGTGCACCTAAATTTCCTAATTTGACGTTCATTTTCCTATTTATACATTCTGTACCCATTTCAATGCCATCAATTGATCCCAAAGTCCCATATTTCCTGGAGCTTCTGGTCGGTTCATATAAAGAAAACCAAATATGGAAACGCGGTAATTCATTGCAACAATTATAACATTCTCTTCTCTAGAAATCATAAATTATATTATGGCTTCTTTAAGGGATTGAACGAACGATGAAAATATACGGCCATCGTAAACGTCGAGAGTCGATGTTCCCGACCAGAACCCGCCGCCAAAAACCCAGACCATAACCGCCAATTTTTTCGATGGGTCAACCTTAAACGTTGCCTGTTCAGCGAGACAGTTCACATTATCAATTGGTGCACTTTATGCGTATGAAACTCACACCGCAGACATAGTGCACGGGGAATTAATATGAAACAGATTACGTGCGTTCAACACTAACACAAAGTCCAAGGTTCTTCTCTATCAAAAATTCCGGGAACGGAAATTCTTTTCTTCAAAATTTTTCATCAGACTAAATTAAAAAAGAAAGGAATTGTATTGAAATAACTCGAGCGAAAAAAATTGCTTCCGTTTTTTTTTAAACTCAATGCCAATTTTCTTTTATTATGCCCGGGTTAGATTTATGCCGCTTTTTTTCATAAGTAAAAGCAACAATAAATCTTGAATTAGTTTTAGCTTGAAGCTTACTTTTCCAGGAACGTAGATATTTAAGTAGAGGCAATCTTCGGACAGTTTGGTATTTGGATTCCACATTGTCGACCCGTAAAAATCCCCAAAATATGTGTCTTCACTTTGAATGCAACTGTTAGGTGGTGTGCTGGCGTTCAATGGAGTTCGCCATGGCTGTTTCGGTTTGGGTTTTCGGAACCTCAAAAATTTGTAAATTGTTTTACAAAAAAAGGTTTCATTTGAAATACCGTAAGTTGCCGATTGGAGGCTCTGCGAATGGGATACCTAGAAACCTTGTAAGAGGCTTGCCAAGAGGAGAAGTGATTTCTTCTCCAAACAATGGAGAACCATCATGAAGATGAATAAGGTTAACTGCTTTTAACTGAAATTCCCATTGTTATTTTTGCAATTATTTTCACAAACTTACCAGAGGCAGAAAACAGGAAATTAAGAATAGGTTTTCTCGCATAATTCAACAAATCATAATTCCTTCTTGTGCTATCCTCGAAAATACTGCAAAAATAAACAATTGTCGTTTATTCGCCAACACGTGCGCAAGATAATAAGTACAGATGTCAAATAAACATGCTCAAAATCATATGTGCCATTATATGATCTCCATCCGAGCAAACGACTAGTTTTTATTTGTATATTTTTCTTCGGAAAGCCGCCGGATTGGATACCCTTTCGTTTTTGGCCATTATATAAATGGTTTTCCACACACTATTAAGCGCGATCTCAATTGTTGAATGGGTGGGCAGAAAAAAACTCAAAATCAAGTGAACACAACGCAGAAAAAACGGCGACAAAAAATGAAACGAGACACTTGTAACGCTTAAAAAATTATTATAGGTGAACGAGATGAGGATGGAAGAGAAGAAGCTAGGCGATGCAGAAAGTTGAGAGATCGGACGAGTCTCGTTTTACTACCAACATATGTTTCGTTTACTCGTGATAAGTCCGACAAGGTTACAAAAACATAAAAAAGGTGTTTGCATGAATTTTGATTAATCTCGTTAAATATACTAAACGTCATACTACTTTACAAGTAGTGCATGATAACGGATATTGCAGCAAACATGGACTTGAAATTGTCATATTCGCAAAAAGCTTTTCAATTATTAAAGCGAATATCAACAGGAAATATTAGTGATAGATCAAAATTTTCGGGATATGTTGAGTTACATGTGTACACAGAACTGAAGTACTTCGGAAAAAAAGCGGACACCCAAACATTTTGAAATATTCGTTAATAGTTCAAAACCGCTCTTTCCGGCGTCATATTGTTGTGCAGAAGCATAACGTCAGCTCTCATATTTCACGGTGATATCGAAGTATCTCGTTCTCGGCGACCGAATCATCGAATTGGAAGAAAACGAGGCTCAAGAAAAACACAACGAATGAAGAACAAACTAGTGAAGAGAAGGACGGATGAGACGAATGATGAAAAAAGATGGGTGATGAATGATCAAATGTTAACTAATTTCATGAATGTTCCTTGTCGTCGGCCCGAAGGACGCTGATAATTTATTTCGAGCAATTGATACTGGTCGAGAGCAACGATGAGGATAAAGAACAAATACTAGAGTGATTAATGAAACATGTCGATGTAATACAACAAAAATTTTCGTTCTTGTTCTCTTTTCTCTCATTTGTTTCGGGTTGAACCATGTTTTCGATTTATTGGGGACAAAAAAAGTTGAGGGAAAGATCGGAAGAAAAATCGGTCTGCTACCGTTTTCAATGAGTTAATTTTGCCCACAGGAAATTTGAAATGAAAATTGATTATTGGTATTCTTCATTTGTTTATAACAATCGATAAAACATTATAACCGATTTCTTGAAAATAAAAAATAATATAATTGAATAAAGTATCGAAACCTTTTTTTACTAATATGAACGATTACTTAAATTCAAATTAATGGCCAAGCACATTTTGCACTTCGCAACACTACATTACTTTCTGGAATTATTTTTTAATTATTAAAGATTTCTATTTAGCAATTTTTGATTTCTTTCCTCTTATCGATAAAAATACTTAATCTTCATAGCTCTGGAAGCTCAGAACAATGCTGTGATGAATTGCATTGAGATAATATTAGTTTAACATTAGTGATATGGCTTCGAACAATTGCTTATTATGATGAATAGGATTTTCCGCTGATGTTTGAGAATTCTAATCAAAATTAAAATGAAAACATCAATTTTCTGAGGGACAGAGAGTGGGGGGGGGTATTACTGATTGTGCAAGAAATTGACGAGAAAACAATCATTGTTTGCCTAAGCATCTAATAAAAGTCGAGCCGGCCGAATTACTAGGATAGAATCCGACAGAGATAGACACATCCTGAGCAATTAGAAGAAGAGGAGAAGAAAGGGGAAGAAAGCTATCAAATCGATATTATAGCTCACGTTTTATTTTACGAGTGCATTCAGCTGGCCGCTTTTTGATTTGAAGCCATCGTCAAATGCGATTGGCACTTGCAGACTTTTCTTTGTTCTCTCGATTCGTCTGATCAAAAGAGATTCGATGGCAAGTGGGAAAAAAAGCTAGGACCTGGTGGAGTTATACATGTGAAAGATGAAAAGTTCTTTGCAGAATGAAAGGACCAACAATTTTTGTGTTGTATATGTTTTAGAACAGTTGTGGTCTCCGCCGTATCTCCTCTACCTATTTTCATGATGACGACAATTTGTTTGACTGCTGTTCTAAAAAAAAATTATTATTTCTGTTTTCATGATTTCAGGCAACGAAATCATGACAAAAAATTGAGCAACAGCCCATTCTCTTATTTCTGATTGTTTGACATTAGCTAACGACGTGGACTTCCGGTGTGAACGTAGAATCACAGACGAGAAAAAAAAACGAAATAAATGGAAAACGGCCCAGTGTGCCAGATTCTGTCAACTTGATTTGTCAACAAAAAAAAGCAAATTACGAACGTTAATGAATTAATGGGCTTCTTTGAGATTGGCCCCCTCAAAAACCAAGAACCATTTTTATTTCAAACTAATGCAACAAAATGGGAACTCAGAAGAATAGATTCAAAAATAAATGAATGCGTTCATTAGTAATTTAGAATTGGGGCATCATATACTTTACGACATTTTTTCTTCGCAAAACTGATTGCCATATGACTCTGGTAAATGGTTTGAGCTCGTATATGAGACCAAATGTGATTACGATTTTATTGTATACGATTTAAAATTCTATTCAAAGAAATGGATTTTGAAGACCCTAATCGTGTAGGATATTGATATGATTTATTTTTATCGTATTCAGTGAAGAAATTCAGTGTTTTCATGAAGGATTAAGAACTATTTAACAGAGCATAAATACCCATCATTTTTTGGTCTGAAAATGTGAAATTTCAATCTAAATGAATAAATCACCATATTATTTTTTCTGAAAATTCGAGTAATGAAGTTTTTGTGAGATATTTCGATATTTCATATTGTTGAACAAGTATCTCATAGTTCAAAGTTCAATTTCCCATATTTTTATTAATTTTCATTTTGTTCTCGTTATCACGTTTTCTCTAATTATTTCTTTCATGATTAACAATTGTCACTCAGCGATGACACGAAAAGAACACGTCTTTTCGAATGCGATAGGTTACTAGGATTGATAGCGAGCCAGGGCGATTGATTGTCGCGTTGCGGCGAGTTGCCAGTTGCTCTCAAGAGCTTCGAAATCGTCGTTTTGCTCGCCATGTCTTGGTGACAATGTGACGCAAGCGGTGCAGCAGGCGCAAGGATTAATGAAAAAAGCGAGAGGCCCGACGAAACAGATTCAGTTTTAATTGTCCACAACATTCGGCGGCTTGTGGTTTCGAGCAACCATCACACAGACAAAAAAAAGTAACGATGACGTTGACAAGACCTGCGCGTTGATCCATCATTCTGACTTCAAAGTGTGCGTGAGCGGCAGGATATGATTTTTGATGGAAGCCAGCAAACAAATATTATCTTTTAAATAGGTTTCCTTGGGTTTTATCATAAATTTATTTTTTTAATAATATAGAGGTTAATTTCACAGTGAAAAGTGCAAAAATTGAATCCCGTTATTTTCATGGTACTCAATAGAAATAATAGCTACATTTGAAGATCTTCAATCAAGTTGATCAAATCTTTTTTGTAGTTCAAAACAAGGAATGACAAGTTGGCTAGAAATAGAATTACACGGTTCGTAACGTTTGTATGGCTATTTTTCTTATTTTCAAGAAAATCTAGTAAAGCTCGTTGAACACTAAATTTGCACACTAATGATATCGTAAAAATTATTGGAATGGGTTCATAATACCAGTCGTAGTAGATGATGATGTTGATGGGTAATTATCTAGGTCCGAAGTGCTCGTAGGAAGCATAATGGCGGGTAAGTGATTTTGAGTTTGATAGTTTGCTGGAAAGTCCCTGTAATACGATTTTAATGGCTTAACGATTCAATTATTTTTTACCATATACATTCAACTTTGGTTTTCATTGTCATACCTTCTTGACTTGGGAAAAGATTATCAGAGATCCTAAAATGTATCGTTATTTTTTAATCAATCCCAAATGCACTTACCTTCCGTTTATCAAATTGTAAAAATTCTCCTCGAGACTACAAACATTGAATACATGTGTGATTTCAACGTCTTCTTGGAATCGTCTTACTGACCGCTGTAATATTATTTTATTATTACCCGCTAACTGACGATTTCGTGAATTCTTACTTGAACAGCTGGAAGTAGAATTAATAGGTTTGCTAGGCGCATTGACGGGTCTTCCATCAAACGCACGTTTCTATAATAATATAGTATTTCCTTGAGTATTCTTTCTCTCATCGATCTTGAAACATCAACACAGAAGTCACTTTGATCTTCCAGACCTGAAAAACATTTCAGGATGTTTTTATTCCAACATTTTTCGTTGCAACCAACCATGATCCCAAAGAACTAATGAACAAAGAGTGAAGAACTCGAAATTATCGACCTTTTGCGACCTCATTGGCTCAAGTACATTTTTTCGATAAATGTCAAATGATGGTTTGAAAATTCTGAACAACTCTTATCTACATTATACATTTTATTGTTTCAATTCACCTGATGGCATCTTCGGAGGTTATTAAAATATGTTCTTTCTCAGCGCTATAAAACGTTTCTGGACGTGTTGTGTCAATATAGTCACCGGATGGTAAAATTATTAAGTCCGTGTTATCTGAATATGATTAGTAATGAAAGGAAAATCATTTATTGATGTTGTCTACCGTTGAAACAGCAATGATATCCGGATTCGAGAATCATAAATGGCAGGAAAAAATTTTTGTACAACAACTTCTGTAAACAAATTTTTATAAATGCTTACTAAATAAAACTAACTTTTTGATCAATAGGAAGTGCTTCAAACTCTGGATACGAGTTTGTTAGCCAATCTAACACTAATTTTATCTCTTTGGTATGAATAATGTTGGCTTCTTTGTAATGAAGAGCACGAGGTTTCGGATTCTGGAAAAAAAATGTTATTAATACTGTAAAATGTCAATAACGAAATAATTATGTTCAAAAAAAGTTTAATGAATGAGAATTCAAAAAACTAACAGAGTTTTGATTTCCAACTTCACATATATTATTTGAGACAGTTAAAAACCACACTAAGTTATATCTCACCACAAATAAATTGTTTCCATTCCTGTGATGAATCACTCTTCGTATGGTATTCATTTTTTCATAATTTTTGTTTAGTTTTGTTAATAAATACATTCCGTTGTTCTCTGGTGCCAGATCTATTTCCTAAAAGAAATAACCACTTTCAGAAGCTCCAAAAAATAAATAATACCATTGGAAATGTGTTCATCAAATAACTAAATTTGCTTTCCATTGTCGTCATGACCGATTTCTCATTCACTTCTCGATTTTTTTGAACAGCTGTAAATTTTCATTCAAAGACTTCCGACGACCATTTTATTTTTTATTACCAGATTTTCGCATGCCGACAGCCAGACATTTGGTATATCGGCAGCTTCTACACATGCATCGCACATCTTGAATGCAATCAATTCGAAATAACGCTAACCAATTGAAACCTACTTGATTGTATTACACAGTTACCGGATGCTCGGCAAACATAGTTTTTGTTCAGCGCAACACTTCGTCGAAAAAATGCCGCGCATGCCCTGAAATGTTAAACATGCGAAACAATTTTTAAAAGTTTCATTTGTTTACCTGCAGGCTTCAGCTCCGAAATGTGCGCCATCACCAGCTTCACCACAAATACTACATGGCCTCTTTTTCGCCGGCGGCATTTTTTTTAATCTGCAAAACGGATATAACTACACGAAAAAAACAAAATCAACTACATTAATATCAATGGAATGATAAGACAAAAATTAGAAAAAAATAGTTAAGTGTTCTTTTATCAAGCGAACCTTTTGATGTCAAATGACTTTTTTCTTTTAGAAAATTGTTGTCGATAATTCAGCCATAATTTAGAGTGATAATCATTTCAAAACGTCTAGCAAAGTCATACTTAAGCGAAACTTAATACGACGATCAATAGAATTACGCAGAACGAAAATTAATTGCATTGATTGTTGATCACTTTCAAAAATCATATGATCAAATTATCAGTCTCGGTGTAATAAGTAGTCTTAGAATTTGATTAGATCTATTATTCAAACATTGATTTCACTAAACAAAATCAAACATTAACGTCTTTCATTTTTTTATTTAATGATCTGACAAATTCATATTTCATAGCTCGGAAAATGAAAAAAAATGATGACATTGAGTGTTATTTTTTCATATATAGTTCTCGTTAAAAATCAAACTTTGATATTTTTCCTCTTTTTGAAAATACACTCGATGTTTCCATGAGAAACGAAGAACATAATTTAAATTTAAAGACAAAATATACTGGTTCTTTTATCATACTCATGAGTTAATTCAGCAAAAAGATTAATTATCAATCAAACTCATAGTGCGTCTTTGCGGAATAGTATTAAACATCTTTATAACAAAGTGTGATGTAATCAAATTAAACAGTATGCACTCAAAATGGTGGAAAACATTTCGCGCGACCCGTTTCTCGAGTCGGCAACCTAACTGACTGTGTCAATAATGTCTATGTATATACACTTCTGTTGCCGTTTTTTAGCGCTACCAACAACGAAAACGCTTACAATATCTGTACTAGGCGACACAAAATTGTCACACCGATGTCTGAACATCGAATTTCTGATGTCATGTATTATTACGATTAAAGAGTGCGAAATTAAATGGAAGCATTCGACTAGGAAAATAGAAGATGAAAAAGATAACGGTCGGATAGAAAAATCGATTGGTCGCTGAGAAAAATAACAGATAGTCCCGCAACAAAACTGGTTTTGGCGACTGCCTACCATTTGGGGATATCACTACATATTTCAATCAAATATTACTTCGGCCAATTTTCAATCAACGAGACTATAATGCTTTATTGATAAACGATTATTGATAAAGGACACAAGTAACAAACGCGACCGATTTTGATTGATTGTCCATCTCGTACCCACTACTAAGAATGTTATTTAGATGATATTTGAACTGAAATTGACCCTCAGTTGATTTTGTATAAATCTCATGCCTAGACAAACACGCCGCATAATCGAAGTTTAATTTTCGAAATAGCACATTTATATGAATAATTCAGCTCGAGTTTCACTTATTTTTTTTTAACGATTTTTGTTATATAAAATTTAAATTTATTTACAAAATTCAAAAAGCCGGCTTAATTTTAATACCAATAATAAAAACAACCGTTAGAGAAAAAAAAAACATATATGCATATGTAAAGTTTATCGTCATTTCATAGAAGAAGGAATTTTGACTAAATGGCAGGTGAAAAAGAGAATAAATGATAAATATGAAAATTTTGATATTGCTCGAATTAAATAAAAAAACATACTAAACGTGCGATTATCTACATAATATCCGAATTTTCAATAAGTTTAGGGAAAACCGCTGTGAGAACGAGAAAAAAAAAGTGCGATAAGCGATTGGTTGATAAGGAAACAAAGAGTTCTACGATTTAAAAGAGAAGGGCAATGGCGAGTACATTACATCATCTTTGGATGTAGATCGGATAAATGATAACGCAAGTCTACGTAGAGGTCGCGCCACGTATTGGTGAGAAATTTCATTAAAATAATGAAACCATCGAGTTTGTGCTCATCCAGGGCAACGCAGAACAATCGCCTGGCAATGTTAGTTGAGGTGATTTTTGGAACAACGTAACGGATGATGACAAATAGAAAAGTGTTTCGTTTGGTCACAATATATTCTGCTTTCTCCACTCGAAATGTTCAGAAATACTTTTAAAGTAAAGGTTGATCCGGCAGTCGGATAGTCCACAGAATCGGGAACGTGTACGATCAGAATGAATAAGTTCACTCTTTTTATTATCTCCGAATCATCAAACATCTTAGTACATTTTCCGCCAGTCCACCATTGATGCAAAGAATGAAAAATGCAAAAAAACTGTTTCACGTGAATTTATTACCATGCAGATACCAGTCATCATTCGAATGACGTTTTACGATTCAATTTTCAAAATTACTTCTGATTATTCTGATCATTAGGCTAGAATCGGCAACAGTTGTTCTCCGAAATCAGACAAATTAACGTCTTCAATTGGCAATGTGGCTACTAAACACAATAAAATCTGATTTGTAATCTCATGTGTCAAAGAACCTTCCCACACTCCATCTCAAAGAATTCCAAAATAGAATAGATCAGATTGAATACAATATTTTTTCAATTTTAAATTTATAAAAAAACATAGCTTTACATTTTCTCAAACGCTGTATTTCAACTTTTGAGTTTCTTAAACTCATATTCAAATCTAAGTATGAACTCATTGCAAAACAGTAGTTTGCTGTCGGGAGAACATTTCGATAGTGATGCAAATTTTATAACTTCGCCACTGTAACAGATTGCACGGAAGGGTTATAGTTGTAGTAATAAACAAAACGTTATAGCGCATATTTATTAATTCTATTCAGCAGAGAATTTCTAATACATAGCATTTAGATCTTTGAGGTGATCTTGTTCAAATTCTCCGAAACAATAGCATAAATGCTGTCGACAGTTCCTTCAGCATTGATCTGTAAAACAAAGCATAATTTAGACATTAGTATTATGTTAGAACCTTAACAAGTTTGCCCTTCTTATCATAGTAATCAACTACTGGTTGAGTTGCGGTTACAAATGTATGAAGACGTTTGCGAATGGTGTCGATGTTATCATCAGCGCGTCCGCTAAATTTATTCTATTATCAAAACAAAATAGAAAAATAAATCGCGTGCCTAGTCTGGGCGCGGTGCAAAAGTCTCTTAACAAGAGTTTCTTCAGCGACATCGAAGAAGATAACCATCTTGGCTTCTTGGATCTTTAAAGATATTATCATTACAATGTTATTCTTCTCCAGTTTTAAACCTCTCTTTCGAATTGCTCTCCTTGAGCAACTTCTCTTGGGTATCCGTCAATCAAAAACCCGCGGCTTCCTTTCTCAAGAGCCTTGAGCATAGCTTCTTTGACCAAATCGAGAACAACTTCCTATAATAAATTTTAAATGGTTTCGAAAACTACAACTCTATAATGTTTGACACTGCCGGAAATATACTAGTTATGATTTGAATTTAATACGGATAAAACTTCTCCCTACCAATGGAACGAGAGCTCCAGACTCCATGATGGAAGTCAACTGAGATCCAAGTGGAGATCCAGATTTCACCTTTAATTACAATTTCATGAGAGGTTCATTATAAGAACACCCTAAAACCTCGGCGCGGAGCAAATCTCCAGAGGAAAGATGAGTGAGCCCATAATCGGCAACAATCTTGTCGCATTGGGTTCCTTTTCCGGATCCTGGTCCTCCAACGATGAAGATAATTGGAACATTAGCCTTCTTCAATGGAGTGAGATCAATGTTCTTTCTTTCAATTGTTGGGGCCTTAAACGAAAATTGTTTTTGCGCGAAAAAAATCATGAGACCATTTACCATTTTTATTTTGTTGTTTGCGAGCACGTTAACCAGAGACTACCTGAAAATGGGGGACGCTTTTTGTTTTCGAAATGACTGTCAATGATAAAGAACGCGGAAATCGATAGACAAATGGAAAAAAGCGAGATGAAATGAACTGCGATGGGTAGGATTTGTTTTGTTCTTTCTCATCAATGAGTGATGATGGCAAACTGCTGCTTACGTGAGATATGCTCTTATCCCCGTGCCCCACTTTGCCATTGGTTTTTTTCTGTCCGCAAGCGCTATTGCTCAAAGAAGTTTCGAACACTTTACAATAAACTTTCAAAAAAAAAGTGCGGAATCGCACGAAATACTATTCGGTTTGCCGGAGACGAGGATTAGCGGCGCGTATAATCAAATTTATAAAATGCATATTTATATATTTTTCATGGGCCGACAATGAAAAGTGTATTCGACCATGTCGGTATCAATAATTGCTTGTCAATTACACATAATTTTAACGCCTACGTCTGTCGCACACACCACATGGAATGAGGAATCTCAATAAAAGAAAACCTCAACAAAAAGAGCGGATGGAGGGAAAAAGAAAAGAAAATAGAGCCGCACGAGAAGTGGAAAACTCCCCGGACTGCAATCGATTCCGAATAGTAGAAAGTGAAAAATTGGCACTAAATGCAACCACATTTGAGGCATTGTCCATAAATTTCGAAAATTCGAGAGCGTTTTTTGGTGTTCATCGCGGCAAAAGATCAAAACTACAAAAACATTTGAACCCCATAGAGTTTACACTTTGCAGGCGGAAATGTATTGGTATTAGTTTGGAAGTAAACTACTTTTTATGAAAAAAACTATGATGGTGTGTTTGACCGCATGCGAAAAATGGTGGTTTTTCAACGTTTGATCCAAGATAGCTTTACTTCAGTATTGTTGCTAATTAAAAACAGAAAAGAAGAAAGTCCGAAATGGGCAAATTTCCTTCTTCTTTTTCTTTTTTTTCTACGTCCACTTCCAATGAATACAAGCAAAAAATTTTAACCACATAGCTGCATAAAGGTTAAGAGCATGTATACGGATTAGATTAATTTGAAATTAGCTTCGTATTCATGTGCGTTTCTCGCAATTCTGCGCGCGCAAATTTCCGGATCCTGACGGGATTAGCAATTGACGTATATGACTGGAGATTAGAATCCGTAGCTCGAAAACAAGTAGAGTATAAACAACTTAAGGGATGGTGTACTATTTTACGCCTACGCAACAACACCAATGCGATTTAACCTTGAAATCACGATTAAGTTTGAAAGATTTGTGGAGCAAAAATGAGTATTTATGGTATTTTTTGGCAATAATTTGCCACGATTGAAGTGCATAGATATTTGCCCAAACATTCGGAAAACGAAACAAAATGGAAACAATTCTCGCTGAATTCTTGAGTAACCATGCGTTTTGTTTCGCAATTCATTCCTTTTTTTCTTCTTTTCATCTTTTGTTTTCTGAGTTGACTGAATCTAATTTTAGACTACAGTAGAATCAAACACCTGGTCGGCTATGGAAACCCGATTATAAATATTATTTCTTCACTGAGTCAGCTCGCTCAATTTGTATGCGCGTATCCAATTTCCCTTTTGTTTGCCATTGAATCTAATAATTTATTCCAATACAAAATTGAGTCTCCGTTGAGAAATTTCTGAGACGAGTACATCAAGAAACATGCATTTCGTTTATTGGTTTGTTTGTGTTTTCTAAATGAAGACACTCGAGCCGTGGATTATTACACCAATCAAATACGTGATTCGTTCAATTGCAATCAATTTTTCTCAAGCAACAACTCGTGAGCCAGAGATATGTTGTAATTGTGGGCCTGCGAAGCACCATGAACACTCCTGACTCATACCAAACATAATTATTGAAAGCCGATTGTTTTATCGACTGCCTTTTTTTGCGTCTCGACAAGCAACATTAATATTTCCGCACACAAGCTCTGCTGCTCCATCTCCTCCTCTATCCTTTCAAAAAGCCTGCGCATATTCTCTATATTTCGCTGCCGCGCACACGACATATATACTCACATACTCAGTGCTAAAGGAATGCTGACTGAAAACGAAGGCTTTTACTGATGCTAACAATTGGTCCAAGATAATTGCAAGCTCAGATAAAAGCCTTCGTTCTCTCGTTCCGGCTTCATTTCTTAATAATGTTGTAAGTTTTTCGACAGATCCGAATTTTATGCAGTTGCAAAAATAATACAATATAGCAGTGAATCAAAACAGAATTTCGAGACCAGTAATCAAACAAAATCAATAGCGAATTTTCAATTTTAAATAGATTTTTTCTCTTCTACTGGTGGTGCAGTTGCACCATCAACTTCATCGATGAGCTTGTGGCTTGCGTTGTTACGTCTGTGGTCCGCAGGAAGCGTTTCCGTGTTGAAGGCGACATAACGCTCGTGCATTGGTTCATCATGAAGCGATGTCATCGCGGAAGAGTCAGGCTGCTGCTATAAAATGATAATAGATAGTTTAGTTTGATTAATATCTAGCTCATTACATCAGCGTGGAATCGATCCAAGAGATAATCAATGACTTGAGAAGTGCGGAAAGCACCGAATTGTCCATCAACGAAGGTCAGCAACAAAACACCATCAAGACGTAAGTAGTCGCGAATAAATTTACGCGATTTTGTTGGATTCATTCCTGCCTGTAATGTTATTTTTAATAAATCGTATTGTTCGCCATTTCATTACCTTATTGTTCAAATTGGTTGGAACCAAACGATTTCTTCTAAAGAAGAGGTTGATGCAAAAATACATCAAGCTGACGAATGTAACAAAAATCATGAAGAGTAGCCAGAAGTACAAGCAAATGTAGAGCTTCTCATTGATCATGTTGAGAATCATGACGCAAGAAACGGTGTGACGTTGGGCTTGTCCAAGATTTCTCACCTACGAATGCCCATTTTTATCAATTCGGTGGAATTTTGTAAGCTTACAGTGAAATCGCAGAGCACCACTCTCGGAAAAATACTATCTTCGTGTTCGGCAGTACCCTTGAAATCAACTTTCAACAAATGCACAAATCCCCAGAAGTAATCTTGGACGTCGAGGAAAACACGAAGCAAATAAAGTTGAACGAAGGCAATTACAATGTAGGAAAGCTTCAACAGGACGTACATAGTGGTGGCAGCAGAGGATGCAAACTGAAATAGTCCATAATTTCATGTGAATTATCGAGATCCTCACATTTTTTCTCTCTCTACGCAAATTGAGCAACTTTTGCCAGAGTTCATCAGCGAATGCTTCACATGCTTTGCTTTGCTCGGTTTTCTTGAGTCTATCAGAGAAGTAACGAAGTGAATATTTCAAGTTAATCTCTGTTCTTTTGTGAAGCAAATTCCAAATATTGTACGGCAATACGAACATCGCAGCCTAAATCATGGTGATATATTAAACGACGATATGACAAAATAGAATTACCTGAATTAACAGCACCAAAGGAACCCATCGGTAGTAGTTGATTTGTCGATCTCCACGAACTTGATCTGTGATTTCAGTACCATTTGGGACAAAATATGTATTTTCGATAAAGCAGAAATCATGAACATAGTTATCCCAACTTCCTAAAATAAATAAATGTTTAGCGATATTTGAAAAAAAAAATCGGTACAAACCTGAAAATTCTCGAGGAGTCCAACATTTCAATGGTTGTCCGAAGTATTGTTTGCAAGAGATAGCAAATGTTAAACCCGCAAGCACAATTGGGGTGAACCATGCGTTTATCTGATCAATCCGATCATAAGCTAATTGGTTCTGCTGCTTTCGCAGAGTTCCAACTAATCGCTCGTAGAATGGGCCGAAAAAACCCAACATCTGAAAATAGAAGCGTAGAATTACGCATTTTCTAATAACAAAGTAAATGTAAAAACAATGAAACAGCTATAAAAATTCGCGGCGAAGACGACGTCTCTCGTCTCGCAATCAATAATCTACAATATGAACGCCAAACATATGAGAGTGGCATGGTCCGCAGGCCCCCGACGCGGGTCAGGTCACCGACTGCTCTTCTCACCAAGCGTTACGCGCGTCCAACGCCAGAAGAGGTCAACTAAACATTGCACCACGCACGTATACTGTAAAATCTCGCGCATACACAAAGAAATTGCCCTTAATGACTAGAAATTTTGAGTGGCACCGCGTAAAGACTGCGTTACATATAATTATGGGAACTGTTTTGGTGTTGATGTGATACTTTGGCGACAGATATAAATCATGACATTCTGATGATATATTCTAATTTAAAAAAAAGAAATTCAAGTTTTGAATATAGGAAAAAATTAGCATATAAAGCAATATTAAAATGTAAAATATATACAAAAAGAATAATGAGACTTGGAACTGCGAGACATTAACAGTATTGAAAACAAATATGAAAGCCCATTTAATGGTGCAAAAGAGTCAACAAAATATATAAAGAATTGTAGCAAGGTCTGATCAAATTTTAAAGACTTCTAAAATTCGTAATACTTTGAGTACGGACTACTGTTTATAATTAATATATTTATGTATTGGTATAGCAATTATTTTGAAATTTATCTAACAGGCAATAGAGTAATTTCACTGTTTGGTTGATATTTGGTTGAAATCGAGAATGGCATAAAGCTTTAAATTTATCAATGACGTCCGAATTACTTCGAAAACTAAGTCTCAATTGATATCAATGTAACTACTTACTTACCTCGTGAAAAGATTGGAATATGTGCATTCATGAGACAAAAAAACATGAGCTTTAAATTGGTGGTGTCTAAAACTTATACACCAATGTGATTTGTTGCCACAGACATAACGGTTCTAATAAGATTTTCGATAAAATCTCAAAAAGGATAGAATTCATTTTTCTGCGCAATCTACATAAAGTTTTTCGAATTATTCAATTTTTTCACAGATTTTTTCCAAAAACTATATAGAATCAAAAGAATAATGAATTGACTTTGGTTTGCAAGCAATTCATTTAAATGATTACCTATAAAAGACATTGCCAGTTAGGAATTGAAGAAATCAGTTTCGGGGAAAACTTTTCTCAACAATAAATTTTTTTAATGAGACTTTCACGCTTCGGTTACCATTTTATTATCTGTTTGCACAACGGCAATCGAATAAATATTGACACATTATATTCGGATTCTTTCATCTTTCACTAATCAATTCTGATGATTTATTGAATTGAAACAGTCAACTTTTGGATTATTCGCAATAATTGTACAAAGTCAAATTAAACGCAATGAAACAGGCGTACATTGGAAAAAATGTTAGAGTACAAAATAAATAGAAATATAACAAGATTAAACAATTACGCGGAGATCAACGTCGAGAGTTTCATTCGATCTATTAGCTCATATCAATTTCTCCTAGGAAAAGCTTCTTATCGCTGCCGGCGGAGAGCACTAAATTACAAGAATTGAAGTATATTTGTCTAATTTCTGCGCAACTTACAAATTGGTTCGTTTGGATGGAAATCCGTTGCGTTGACGCTTCCCAAGTGTCCTGGCAATTTGAATTCGAGCTTCTTTGTGAGCACTTCCCACACGTATACAAAACGATCAGAAGAGCCGGCGCTTATATAGCGATTGTCAGGCGACCAAGAGCATTTTAACAAGTTCTTCTCGAAGTTATGCTGGTGCCCGTAGAAGGTATTGACGAGCCGTTGACCGGGCGCGAATGGACGAATGTCCCATTGCTTCACTGAAATAAAACAATGCTTGAAATCAGACTGTTTGGAATACAAGATAAAAAATAATCTAAATAAATTTTAAAATCTACTTTTTTTGAACCTGCGTTTTCCAAACTAGATAAAAACCAAATTTTTTGATATAGAAAGTGAAATTTTTGTCAAGTTTTAAAAAATTGAAGGTAACTATACAGTTTTAAGCTGAATGTTTAAAGTTAATAATCATTTTAAATCGTCGTTGCTGACATTAAAAAAGCAGTTCTTCCTTTATAGGACTTTCACTTAATATCGCCGTGACTTTCATCTCTTCCAAACGATATTCAAAATATTTACCCGAACAATCCATTGCATTCGAAATGATGAAGTTTCCATTCGGTGACAATGCAATTGAAGTGATTGTATCACGATGTCCCTGCAGGGACAATGCAATATCGTCACGACGCATATCCCAGCCCTGAAAATAATAATTCGAAATATTTTTGATAACACATGAGTTTTACTTTTATTTCGTTGTCAATTCCTCCGCAGAAAATCTGATCAGTGGTATCATTGAAGGTAACAGCAGTTTGTTGATATTTATTCGCATAATTTTTCACCGGCTCTCTTGTGCGAATATCAAACACCTAAAATTAATTAAAGTTGAATTATCATGTTTTGATAGTTTCATAGTGTTCTGAAGTTTCGAGCCAAAAACTAGTTTTAAAGTGAGAATCCATTTCAAAAACCTGGCCAGCATATCAGAAAGAAACCACTACATAGTTTACAAAAGGTTTTTCACAATCCTCGATTAATTTCAGAAAATTGAAAAAAATTTCATTTTTATTATGATTGCCTAAACTTTTCTTTGAGAATCTTACATATTTCTTGTCAACGACAGTTGATTTGCAAACAATCACTTTTGAACCATTTACGGGTTTAGTTCAACTTAAGTCTTCATTCATTTCTGATAAAAGTTATTACCTTGAGCGATCCGTCGTCTGAAGCACTAACCACCAACTGAACTCCTCTTCTTGATGGATGAAGTGCATTCACAATGTCAGTGTGCGATTTGAATTTTCTGACGCATGCGCCAGTTTCCATATCCCAAATCCTCACTGTTTTATCTGTACTGGCCGTCATCAGCATACTAAAATAAATCAAAATCAAAATTTTTAAAGAATCAGTGCTCATACCTCGAATCAGTGTTGAATTTAAGGTCCATAACTGCTCCTTTGTGTCCTTTCAAAACAGCAAAGTTCTCGCAATCACCGAACACATTCCATAGGAATATCTAATGTTTGTATTTAAAAAAATGCGTTCAACAAATAATTTTACCTGCATATCGTATCCACTAGATGCTAAACATGTTCCGTCGGGACTGAATTGTGCGGTATAAATTTCCCCTTGATGTCCGTACAATGCCATTGTAGGAGCCTTCAAATAATAACAATAAAAAAATAATTAAATAAATATTACCTGAAGATTGGAAAGGCGCGGCACTTCTGACATTGGATCTCCAGCAGCCATCATTTGAGCCCCATTAGAACGAACAAGAGCCATTGTGATAGAATTAGCTGAAAAACGTGGAGTGTTGTCGGTTAATACGAGTGTTAATACAAGTGTATAAATGAATAATAACACATTTCAAATAGCCAGCGTTTACAACATTTCGGTGGTTAAATCGAGGGCACCACTGTGGTCTCACAGCGATCCCCCGTTCAGTTGTTCTATAGAGCGCGATTACTCTCGTTTTGAGAATGGCAGGGCAGACACACATATTCTTACTAGTAAAACTGTCCAAAGATCGAAGATAAATAGGAAATAATGTTGAGCTATTAATGAATGAAACGGCAGAGAGAGAGGGGGAGAAAATGATTTAGATATCATAAAATTAATGTTTATTCAAATTGACTTCGATTTTTTTAATTAATTATGATTGACAAACTGGCAAACAAGATTTATTAATGCAAATTTTAAAAAGAAGTGCAATTTTTAATTTGGAGAAACCGTGTTTGAGTTGGCAATTCGATTGAGAAAAACAGGTAGTAAATAGAACAAAAAATGCAATAAATAAGTGAAATATCACAATGGATCATAATCTCCTGTAGACTTTAATACATCATCTGGCGGGCCCAAGAAATCTTCCAAAATTGATCTCGATGACTTCTCGACGACTTTCTTTTTCTTTTTCGGTTTCTCCTTTTCTCCATCTTTTGTCTTATCGCCTTCAGTTTTCTTTGAAGTTTTTTTCGTTTTCTTTTTTTTTATTATTGGCGAAATACTTTGCTGCAAAGTAATATGTAGATGTAACTACTATTTTTATGTTGCCTACCATGGGTGCATCGTCGTATTCAAATATTTTTGGTCTTTCATTTTTTTCTGCTTGTTTCAACTTGAAAATATCATGAGTTGGTTGTGGACTCGCTTCTGGCAATTTCACACCAATTTCTTCATCGCTTGAATCGTCATTTTTCTGATCAGCAACCTAAAATATAATATACTTCATCAAGCAATTACTATTTTGCTATACCGCTGAAAAAGAATTTGGAGACGGATCTTCACTTCCAAGCCATTCGTCTAAATCTAACACTGGCACAGTCGAACTGTTAGCTTCAGAGTGTTCTTCAGAAAATTGTGGCAAGTGTTGGATTATTTCCGATTCGTCCTAAACAATATGAAAGTTGAAAAAAAGAGTGAATGGTCGATTACCTGAACGCTACTATTGAAAATATCATTATCTTCTCTAATGGGCGAGTCCAAGTCATTCTCATGCAATTTCAATTTGAATGCTGTAACGGTCATGAATTATGTTTTTTTAAATGTTATTTAATGGTACCTAACGGTGTTGTATTTCCTTCTGGAACCTGAACTTTCAAGCTTTTCGTTTTTTCGGTCTCCTTTCGTTGTTCGCCAAGTTTCGCCATTCTTTCGGTTAATTCGTTGTCTTCGGTAAAATCTTCCTCGAATTTTGTGACCATATTGTTTTCCTCATCACTAAAATAAATCGATGATTTTCTAATTTTTGATTGACCAACCTATCGCTATTCAGAATTTGCTGACGGTGAGTTTGTCCATCCGCAGACGATGACTCCTTCAAGAAATTTCTCATTCCATCGTCAAGATCATCACCAACGATTTCGAAAGAGCTCTTTCGAATATTTTTCATATCTGAACATTTATTTATTAGTGTCTTCCTGATGTTATTCACAGTACCATCATCTTTGTGAAGCGCTGAAGGAGAGTGCTTCTTTGGTCTAAATTATTTGTGATTTTTCTGTTCTCGCAATCATTACTAGGTCTTACGGAATAATTACTTGACCAGGGATCGGCTGCCCTCCGCCCATTACTCTTCCAGATGTTTGGATTGCAGGGCTGCTAGTTTTTCGAGCGTTAACACTATTCTTATCAGCAACTTCGCGTCTTTTGTGATTAACCATTTCAATGAAACTAAAATAATAAATTTATAAACATGATGAAATATTCGATGTACGTGTCATAGTCAGCTTCGGGAGATTCTTGATAGAAGTCGAGTTCATGGAAGCTAGAAGCAATCTCATTCTTATTAGTCTCAAGCTGTTGAATGAGCGTTTCTCTCTGCACAACAATGAATTAATGTGAGTAAAAATTGTGAGATGAATAGTACCTGGAGATACAAAAATGGGATGTTGAAGAAATGATGAACAAATTTCATTCCAAATGCGTATCTCATTGACGCAGAGGTGTAGCGAACGCGTGGAGAATCAGGCGAATCTCTAGAGTTTGATGATTTTAATTCGAAAAATACAACTCGTAAATTTAACCTATTGAAAAGATCCACAAACGTGGAACATTGGAGATCTGTCACTTGTCTATGATGGCCCATGTCTCGTCGATTTGCCAGTATAAGAATCTGAAAAAAATGCATGATTCGTTGGCAGCTCTTTATGACCATACTGGTATATTCTTTGGGACATTTTCGCATTCCTTCTGAACGTAATCCCACGTCCATGGTTTTGTTATGTCAAATATCAGTATCACTCCATGGGAACCTTTGTAAACATCAACAAATGTTGCATCACACGCCGTGTTTTCATATGTCTAAAAGTTATCTCCTATCAATTATCTGTTTTCTTCTTCGTATCATACGTCCATGGAATCAGTGACATCGGTATTAGCCAGTTTCAATCCTTCGGCGCACACCCGCTTCTTTGTGGATTTATCGACAATATCCCATACATCAACTTTTACAACGTCGTCAGTCGCTTTGTAGTTCCACTGAATGCTAGCGACCTGAAAATTATTATTTATAGTCCCACCATTCCTTTAGTTGAGTTCACAAAGTAGTCATATGATGGCCTAACCGGTTTAACGGCAATTCCGTTTCATATCAGTGGTTTTTTTTGGCCCGCCATAGTTTCTTGACTTGTGAATTCTCACATCAGCAATTGATAATTTTACTCTGCCTGTCTAATAATCTAAACGATCACACGATCTATACGAAAAATTTTTCACGTTTCACGAAAAAAAAGCATTGATAAACGAACGATATTAAAGAGGCACTGAAATCACTTATCATTTTCGAACAGTGATATTGTGCCTCTTTTCATTTTGTAGATCACAGTTGACTGTTTTCAAACTTACTTGAATTTCTTCCGTAGATGTATATTCCTCTTGAAATGGTAACCCTTGCAACCGTCTCCATAAACAGGTTTTGCCTACATTTCTATCACCGCGAATCACAATTTTCACTAAAAATTAATCGGAATTCGTTATCATTTTAAAAACCACCATACAATTGTATTGAACACCTCTCGCGAATTTCCGCTGAAGTTCAAGATTGACGCGTTGGACCCCAGATGGCATGTTTTGACTGTTATGAGTATCTTTATCGCCGCCAAGCTTTTTTCTAATTGCCGACAGCATCTAAAATAAGTGTTGTTGATTGCGTAGCTGCGGAAAATTCAATAAATATTCAATCATGAAAATAACATGGCTGTAATGTTTTGAACAAAAAAAGAACATTGAATACAATAACAATTTATTAGGAGAATATTCTGCAAAAAAAGTAAAAGAATAAATATACTTATATATAGACATTAAAGCAATAATGATGGTAACCCAAATGATATACATTTGCCAATATGACAATTGATAACGCAATTTATCAATAAGGGCCCTTAGTCTTCATCGTCAACGGGGTGCGCCGGCTTGAAGGCGAACGCCTTTACTGGGTACATTCCCTTTGGGAAGCCCGTTTGAATGGCCTTTGACTCTAATTTGAGTCCAGCGCGTTCCGCGATGTTGAGAAGAAGTTGCTCTGGACGCGTCCAGCTGCTGTCCTCACTATCGAAAAGCGTGTTGCCCAAGCTGATGACGTTGTCCTTGAGGACAATACATCCATCCTTTTTAAGTCCCTTCTGAAAACATATTAATCATTACGTAGGATCTTATATTATCAATATTACGATGCATCTCACGAAAAAATCTTTTAAATCATCGTCTGTCAAATATCCCGACACCCACTGGATCCAGATGAGATCGTAGCGCTTCTCAACCGGCTGAAATGTCTGGAGACCCTCAACGTACTTCTCGCCAATTCCGTCATCAGTTCCTAAATCGTTCAAAATTGGGCTCTAGCTCTGACAAAATTGAACATTACCTATGTATTCAGAGCTTTTGACAATGAGCTCTTCAATGACATCAACCATGTCCACAGTTTTGTAGAATGGCATCAAAACATTTTTGGTAACTCTACCAATACCGGCGCCACAGTCGAGGCATGTCTCAAAGCTTGTGGCGATATTCTATAATCAAAACCAATTATGGATTTTAAAAAATTAGTATTAATGACTCACTTTTTTCTTCAAATTGTTAATGAAATTTTTGGACATCGCTACGTCTGGTTCATGAAGCTGTGAAAATCCACCAAGCATTCCATTCACATCCTGACTGCTGCGCGACCAGTACGTTTCAGCCTATTAAAATCAGTAATTTTCATTTGAATTCTTTGCTTTTTCGATGTCTTACAGCCTCGTACACGTTGTGAGGATTTGCAATGTTTGAATTCATTGTTTTTTACCTCAAATATCAATTTGTTTAACATTTGAAAACAACGAAATACGAGAGAGAAATCAAATTATTAAAACGGTGAGTGGAGAATTGGAAACGACGCCACACACGTTTGATTTAGAGACAGATATTGGAAAACGATGTAATGACACATAGAACAAAAACATTATAACGACGCGTCGCCATTTACACTGCCCTCGTTTTATTAGAGGGCTCTCTTGTTTGCAAATTTCTTTTCTTTTGCTTGATTGTTTGATGCACACAATCGTAATTAAAAATATAATTAACTTCGTTTTCAATTTAGGAAGCTGATGGATGAACAAAACGAAAGACCACAAGAACTTCGCCTTTTTCCACATGTTGGATCGTCGAACACAGGAAGAGAGGTAACTTCTTATTCTTTTTATTCATGAATTTTTCACAAATCTTTCCAGAAGAATGTCGAAATTGAGATAATTGTTCGTATAGAATAAAAATATATAAAAGTTAATTAGATAATTTTAACAAATTGCTAATTGTTATTAATATTACGACGAATCATTTCAAATTTGAATATGTGTGAGAACCAAGGGAAAACAAAAATTGCTGAAAATATAATTTTTCTTTGAATTCGAAACACTTGGGGAGTGTATTTAAAAGGAGCAAATACGTTAGAGAAATGTACATAAATAGTCTCTAATTTTTCTGAACGAACTTCCCAAATTTTATCTGGTATACATCGTCAACATGTTTAAAATGTGTAAAGCGATAGCTGATTGGAATCAGCTGTTTCGTAAATACTAAATTAACGTCGAAAACACATGCAAAGACGATAAACGTTGCTTCCAGATACATATAAATACGGAAGTACATTCAACAAAACAATCATGCCATAAATGCTCATCAAACATCTCTTATAAGAAAAAAAAACAAATCAGAAATGACCTGTTTTTGAAAAAGAATTTTCATATTATGCTTACAGGCTCGGGCGAGATTTTACAATCTCACATCATATCCGGTTGATATCATTTGGCTGCGTGCACCGGTATAAAATAAAGCAGACAACGAAATAATGAGAAATGTTGCAGCAAGTGGCTTTGAAATACGGAACTCTCACACATAAGCAGTATTTGGATGTTCGAACCTATCAGAAACACCCATGGGTCTTTCGGCGACACTTTGACGGCGCAATCATGCTTGCCAACAAGGAAGAGGTTTTTGACATGTGGGCATATGCGAATCATTCAAATTGCACTTTTAGATTTATTGGGCAACAGAATATTCTCCAAATGTGGTTTTGCGTGAAGCTGTTTATATTACCATGCCCAGTATTTAATAAAAAAATATATTGTTCGGAAATATTGATAATTATTTCAGTGTGGTCTCTTCAAAAAATGTGTGCATACAAAATTGCCAACTCACCGGAACTTCATCGAAACATTGATATTCTACCGACTCACGTTGCGGTGAATTTGCCCGAATGATAGACTCAATGCAATTTTGGTCGATTTTTCAGCAAATGGTGCGCAGAATCATTTACTGCAGCGATATCTACCAGCAAACTATGCTAAGGCCACGCAACAACATTCCCGATACTCATCCAAGAATGCGATTCCGCCCTTTGCATGAGCCTCCGCCAATTTTGCCACCGCCCCCTCAAAATTTGGTGATACCGCCGCAACATCGAGGACCCCAACATAATCTGGTTCTTGTACATCAACGCCCGGAGCGTCGGTCGATCCAAGCAGCTCAACAAGAACCGGAACGACAGCGAAATCGAGCAGATGAACAAGAATATGAGGGGCAATTGCAACCAGCAGCTCCGCTAAATCAGGTTGCTCATCGAAATGAAGCGGCTCAAGAAGAACAGTAGAACGAAAAGGTGCTGTATTAAATCACTTTGTTTTCCCACTGTATCATTGTATTTTTTCATCATTGTAATTACTTAATTTTCAAAAAACCTTGTAGTTCAACGCTTTAGTCTGTATAGCTGTCCTGAATTGTGATTAGTTTCGCTTTGCCATCTGATACCAATATGCCAGTCTTATGACTTTAAACATATGGGTGTTTTCTCGTCTGAGAGATTTGCCGAGTGAGGCTTGTGAACATAATATGTAATCCTATTCACATTCCCAAGTTTCTAGAACACTTAAAAGTATGAATCCATTGAATTGAGAGTTTACATCTAATAAATCATTTATTTTGATCAAATCTTTGCCACATCACTTGAGAATCAATAAATATAATGAGTATCAAATTATATGAAAAAAAAATGCAGAATTTATTTTATACAGAAATCAAATTACCCATATTAGTTATCACTAGTTCCCAAATAAAGTTGAAAGCAGAATATATACAATAAAGAAGAACGATATGGCTACATAGTTATGCTTTTCTTTCTGTCGCATTTCACAGATTTCTCGTCGTAGTTGATTCACAGTCTGCTCGAGTTCAGAGCATTTGAATCGAAGCTGCTCGTTCTGAAGGCAATAAACATTTTCTTTCTTTTTCTTATCACGATACCGATGTCTGGACGGTGTTATCAAAAGCTTTTCGCGATTTCTCCTCTTCTTCTGCCATTTCGTTGATACTATCTAGGACGCTTTTCAAGGAATAGTTGTTGACGCTTTTCGATGTGCATGAGCGTTTTCGGCATATTGGGCAACATAAAATCTGAATGAGGTGTTTATTAAAAACCGATAATCGGACTACATAATCCGATTGCAATTCATTTGGCTAAATTTTTGATAAAACGGAAATATGAAAATTTTTTAACTGAAAATATTTCATATCATGTTAATATCAATTTTTGTTTTGAAAAGCTATTGCTTCCAAAAAATTAAACGTAATTATAAATTAGCATTTAGATCAGTCAAAATATGAATTTTTCACGGAAACCCATTAATATTAATGAGTTGATGCTTGGTTTATACTATTTAAAAATTTAATATGCTATTGCAATTAGTACGCAGCTTAAAAAATTATAGTGAGGGATCAAGTTTTCATTTTTTAATCGCAAATTGTGTAAAATGTTATTTTCTTCCAAAAATAACGTATAATTTTTTGTAACATATAATTTTCACGATAACCATTTAACAAAGCAGTAATTATTCGTTTCGTTATAGTTAGCAAAACATTCAATTTTTCGAATATCACAACTTACATTTCGGTTGCGTTCTCGAGGATCATTTATAAATTCGGCATGTGCGGCATCTTCAATACATTTATGACAATATGTATGACCACATGTTAATGTTTTTGGAATTCCACGATAAATTCCTAGGCATATTGGACATCTTAGCGTTTTTACATTCACTACACATATTTCCGATTCGTCGACTGCTTTTAAAGTTTTCTAAAACCGAAATTTCAGCTAAAACATGAAATAGACAACGACTTACAGATTTTTCGTCCTTTGATAGTAATTTCCGAAAGAAGCCATGAATCATTTGCCGATGTAAGAGCGAAATTTTCTAAAGTTAATGCTAATTGTTATTGAACAATCGACGGCAAGAAATGAGTGGAATGAGACATTAAGGAATAACAAGAGATTTAGAGAAGCAGACACCTCACATTTTGTTCCGTTCCAACAGCACATTATTGGTTTTATCTTGTAAAACTCTTAACAATCCATTTTTAAACTGAATATGTTTTGTTAAAATCGGAAATGGACTCACAAAGCAGTTTATCAGTTGACAGTTAACGATATCAAAGTTTTTACGGACAATTATGACACATTGTAGACAATTTGAAAATAATTGAGGCATTGTTGGGAGTTTACGTTCGTTAAAGTTGCTAAACGAATGGATTCCCATTAACCCTGATTTAATGAAGCGATGCAAAATGAACAGTATGAGTACCATATGAGAAAAAGCTGAAACAAGGGTCTGCCACTGAAGCAAGTTTATTACAAATAAAAAGACGCAAAATGTGAAGATCAAGGGAAAATCGAAATAAATTTGCTTTATGTTGGGGAGTTTTGTAAACTGTTTTGATGAACACCGGAGTTTAATAAATCGATTTTGAATGGCAATTGTGAAAAATTGTGTCCGTTTGAAAAAATCAATATTTTAAAAGAAAAATCATGCTATTTAATAATTAAAATATAATAAGGGTTTTGAATATAAATAATTAAAGGAAATAGTTTTGATAATTCCGATAACAACGTTTGGTCAAACAGCAACATTGCGTAGGAAACTGTTTGTCAAAGAACGACTGTGCACAATACCACCAAAACTAACTCATCCCGGTGTGCTTAGGTTAGCACCAATGTGATAAATCTGATCCATTCAATATTTCCAATTATTTAAAATCAAATTTATCATTTCATCTGCCTGTAATTCAAAATCCAAATTGTGACTGATTATTTTCTTTATATATTTTTAAGGCTGTTTCTCATTTTGCAACAAATATCGAGAAAGATTTTATCATATAAAAATTTTCTCTTAATAACAATTTGCAAAACGTTTCGCTCCCGGGTGGGCTCGAACCACCAACCTTTCGGTTAACAGCCGAACGCGCTGCCTATTGCGCCACGGAAGCACGCAAGCGGCCGCGTGTTTGGGCAAATATAACCTAGGCACTGCCCTACTTTTTCGTCGATTCCTTCCAATCTGCCCATACTATTTCAGGCGTATCGCTTATGCCAGCGACAACCCGACGTTTCCCATATGTAGCAGAATTTTTAGAAAAAAAAATTAAATTATGAAACAAAAATAAAAGTTAATTTAAGATACTTCTACATTTGTTTTACAATTTCTTGAAAACATCTTATTTGCTGTAAATTCAATTACAGAATACAGAAACCAAACAAATTGAATAAAACGAGCTTAATTAAATAACTATTGAATACAAACGTCGAGTGAGTATTTAATGGATTCGCAAAGAAGCAAGGAGAAAAAAATAATTGAGAGGGTTATTTATGTATATTTAAGAAATGAAATAAAATATTTTCATCAAATTTCAAGACAAATTAATTAAGCAGAATGGATTTATTGTTAACAGGATTGATAAACTTCGAACAAATTTTCGGTATTGTCGGTGACTTCCATTTTTTGATAGTTTGAAAGCAGAAAACAGTCATCGTGAGGTTTTTTCGAGTGTTCTGGGTTAAAGGCGATCGCGTTACACGGCTCCTGTAATTAATCAAAATTATCTACATATTTCTTTAAATGCACATTTTACTTTTACTGAAGTCTTTTTCATAGAGCAAATCGTCCAACAGTTTTTTGCAGTAGCGGCATGAAGTGAGCTAGTAATGTAATTTTGAATCACACTTTTGCTCAGCTCAATTTTACTATTCTTTCCTATAAATTTAACCATAAGTAATAATTATAAATATTATTATAATACCAAATGACTTCCACGAGCACGCTTCTAATTTTTCTGGAATTGCAGCTGGAAGCGAATCTTGTACGACCTGATCACTTTTGTAACTTTTCAAACCAAATAATTCCTCAACATTTCGCTTCTACAATTAAACCAACAAAATTGAAAATTCAATTTATGCTACTTTTCTTTCAAACGCAACACATTCACAATGCTCAGTTCTTAAGTTATTTTTTGAAACTGATTTCATCAATGTTGCTTGGTTGAGTGTCGATGATTTGTTGGTCACATTATTCATATTCTATAAAACCATTATTCATTTAAAATTGGTTCTAATTCAAATTACCTCTGACGTTGTATTGGCTTCAAAATTGAGAACAATTGGGAGTGGTACGTTTGTTGTATTCTACAAAAATCGATAGAGTGTTCAAATTTTCTCATCCCTCCAAAATTACTCGTTTTTCTTCAATTCACTTTCGATAATTTTTAAATTTTTATTGCTCGTAAACAGACAAAAAGTTAATTAAAAGAAGCGTCGTCAATAAAGTTACGTCAGAAATTTGGAAAAGTATGAATATGCAAAAAAGTTCAATTTGTGAGACTGAATACGAAATATTGATGACCAATAGCATTAGCGCTTCTAGTTATAGTATAAGTAATTCACCAAATTAACATAATAGTAAGTAATAACCCCCTCAAAGATTATTTCAATTTGGATTTTTCATCAGAATATACTTTGCATTGAAAAATCAGTATGAGTTTCAGCAAAAATCTCGAGCTTGGTCCTCTTCTTAACATTCAAGTATTTTCTTCCCTGGATAACTAAAATTTGTGACCACGGGTTTCAAATGAGTTTCTGTTATCGCGAAGCAGATCTCCGGGAAAAAATGTTTTCGATCAACCACATTCTGTGTAAACATGGGAAATTGCATTTTATAATTATTTCTTGTGAAAATTTTGAAGAACAAACGGGAAACAAGACACTCAAGTGAATTTTGATGTTGATAGTTATTTCTTGGAATATATGTAACATTTAACTAGAAATATTCAGAAAATTATCGAAACAACGTCTTACGTTTTCGGGGTTGTATGTCGAATTGCGAAGGGTGCAATTACGATATTCATTCGAATAAAAGGTACAATCATCTTGCGGGTTGCCAGTTCCTCAAAATTGGGTTTTGTTTCAAAATTGTAGGGAAATTAAACCTTCGAAAAATTCCAAATAAACTGAACAACTATGTTTTTGAGACACGGTTTCACATTCATTCCATTGAATAATTGACACTCCTCCTGGAAAAAATAAAGTGTTCTATTAATAATGTCAACCAAATTGAATCAAAAAATAGGACTTAATTGAATAAAAAAATTTTTTGCTCAAAATAGACTTTGAAAATTTCTCTGGACAAAGATTTCCCCATTGATCTATCTTACCTACCTACAATTAGGAGCTCTGCCAACGCGAATATTAAATTTAGTATCGACATTGAAAATAACTGGAAATTTCTCATACGAGTGGCCAATTATAATATATTTAATCCGAAACATGACCACAATTTTTTAAATTCCAAATACATTGCATAGAAACAATTTTGTCAATAGCACTATTGATCTATTGAATTATTCAAGAATTGAAAGTTTGGGGGAAATTAAAAATATCAAAAATTCTATTATTAATTTGAAACCTCTGACGTAGATTTGGTTTATACAAAAAATTTCTCACGAATCTCACGAGGATAAAAACGTGTAGGTCGCCAAACCCGAATTTGCTCACTACACAGATCAACAAAATAACGACAAATTCGTAGTATAGAGTTTTTTCGTGATTATTATCCTAACAATCTGAATAAAAATTAGAAAAATAGTATAGCATACGCAAATGAAATGAAGATTTTAGATGTTTATCCACCGTTTAAATTGTTGAATTTTCCAAAAATTAAAGAAAATTAAAATATTTAAAACTATATGAATGAATTGTATGCAATCTTTTTCCCCCTTCATTTCTTTAAAAAAAAATTTTAAAAACGTTTTTAAAGTGGGTCATTTATTGGTGTGAAATGAATTTGTGTACAATATTGTGATGTTATATGAGATTTAAACCCATTATTACCGTGATTAAAGAATATTATGTTTATTGGCATCCTTCTTTATTTTCTATATCAAAACGAAGAAAAAAATCTTTTGATTCATAAGAACAATTTTTTCTTTGTTTCAACTCGGAAAAAAATGTTTGTCTATTTATAGAATTGCCGATTCAGTTAAGGCATGCATAACTCTAACAGTAACCCGGTCAGCTTAATTGAAACTCTGAATGCCGATCAAAGAAACACAACAATTTTAAATTCAAATATGAAATACAGAAATGATTTAACTTTATTGAAACAAAATATTTACCCGATTCCAATTTATAAGACAACTGAGAGAATGAAAGTTGTGAATCGATTTGATAGTATTCATTGAGAAGTGATCGCGAAGCGATTCGTTGTTGCAAACCATAAAAACTCGACGATGATCTCAATTTTACATTATCTGAATATATGTTATTTAACTATTCGCATAATCAATCTACGAACCAACTCAATTCAATAGATGTTTTCCTTAAAGGGTATAAACCTAAAGAAAAAACTTAAACACGCATTTGAAAAATTGAGCACAAAAAAGCGATGCTTTGTGATCGGGGATTGCTGACTAGAATTTTTTGATGAATTGCATTTTCCTCGTACACACAATTCAATTTTTTTTTTGGGTTTGGCTCTTGATTTTTAAAATTTTAATCTAACTACTCAAAATCATTTTGAATTAATCAAAATAACTGTTAAAATTCGAAAAATAGTCATTCAGTCAGTTTTTTTGTTATGGTTTTTATTTGATTTTTTTATTTGAATAATATTTTCAGCCAATATAAAACCGAATAAAATGTTGTTTGGCACCCTACTTGAACGTATTGAAGATTTTCAAGTTCTTTGTTTGCACTAGTCTTCGTCTTCGTTTCATTCTTTTTAAATATTATTCTCTGAATAATATCAAATTAAATGATCTCTAAGTCAGTATTCAGTTTAAAAGTTTAGAACGCTTTCAAATAAAAAAAAGGCGTTTTATGTACATCGAAAATTGATTCTATTAGTTGCGTAGGTGTGCGTGTCGAATATTGTACTCAATATTAATTTTCTTGACATTATTTTCTATTTGATAATTTTATATAATGTTTTTTTTTTTCTTGTACATATATTCACTTGATTATATGCGTATGTGTGAACGATAGAAGAAAGCCACACAAGCGGCTTATTCAGATGTGATTATATGCATAGTAGTCTCGGCGGGTTTTGGTCTCAATTCTCCATCAAAACAATTTAAGTTAATGGAATCAAAGAGGAAATGAATTTGATACTTATTGTTACGCCTTCTCTTCGTAATAAATGACATCGGATTTTTGGAATTCTAGTCTTCAGACTTTTTTGAAGGGCTTCTGACAGACTTCCGTGTTTCGCAATTTCGTTGCAAATACGATGGTTCTACATATGACTTATGCATTTAAAATTAGAATTTCTTGCACTTCAGTTGCATTAGGAAAATCCTTGAAGCCATTTATTTTCACTAGTTATCACCTTTGCAGAATCTAGATAAATCATATTTCCGTCACATGATTTATTATTTCTCTTCGTTCAATGACTCGCCTACATTTGGCTGAGCAAGAATAAACTCCGCCCAAATTGAGCTAACCACCGCGCCCACTCTATTTAATGTTTGTAGGCGGAGCCAGTCGCTGAGAGGCACCTTCGGATTTCCTAGTCATTCATCTTGGCAGTTTCTTTGACGAACAACGATGCGAGCCATTTTTGGTAAGTCTAAAAACTTTGAGCTCCGTAGCTCGAGTATTCAAATTTTCAGTTATTCTCGTCTTTGTCATTGCAATGGCAGCTGCCTCACCCATCCATGGAATCTGGACCCATTTGCCAGGAGCTCCAGTAAGTAATACTCAAATCCGTTTTTTTCATTTTCGAAATGGTCGTGCTAAAAGGGGTTAATAAGATCACCTATTTTGTGATGCATGTAATTGCGTTTTCGTTTTTTTTTCATCAAAACATCCTACGAATTCCAATTTAGCGAGGAAATTTCGAAATGTAATCCTTTCTAATAGAATTAAAAAAAATGCATCAACAGATTTCATTCGTTTTAGGTGAAGCGTCTCTACGGCTTCTACAATTATCTTCCAAGAGAAGATGATGACCGGGACAAGAGGAACACCATTTATTATTGGACACCGGGTGACGACTACGTTCAATATTAAATATCAATGTTGTATAAAATAAATTATTGCACAACGTTTGGCTTACAATCCATAAAAACAGAACGAAAGAAATAGTTGATAAGAATCAGTTGGTGCTCTATTTTGATAAGCAAATGTCACACGCTGTCATTTTTTCTCGGTTGTTTCATAATGCAGCAGGTTACCGAATTAAAGCAAATATGTAGAATTTGCTTACAAAAAGGAGATGGCATTCATTTCCAAGTTTATACATGCAGGTAATCATCTTTATACTTTTTTGGAGGATTGCTAATTATGTAGTAGAAAATTATCTCCACCTCCTTCTATTTTCCTGCAGAGTCGATGCAAATCAGCTAGACAAACAACATCTGCAATTGACATGTTTTACTGAAACTTTCGTTCAAGTTGTTTGATTTTATTTTAAAGTGAAGGCGATCGATAAAATCCTTAAAATACTTACTTAAAAATTTATTTTTATTTGCAATATTTAGCAAGTTTATCTCTTTACTTCAAAAACTTTGAAATTTTATTATATAGAGTTTTTTGTTTCGTTAACATTAGATTAGAAATATTTGCGTATGCTACTGAAAATCCGAAAGTTCTACATCCTTAAGTCATTCAGCAGACAAATCTTCTTAAAAGCTTAAAAGCTCGATGTTCATTTTCCAAACAATGCTGTATACTGTAAAAAGATCATTTCAATGTTCCGAAATATTAGTGTTTTAATGATCATTCTCATGATGTTGAAATGTCTAGAGCATGCGCTGCATTCTTCCGTCGCACGGTAGCACTGGGTTTGACATATAATTGCCGGAATAACGGCGAATGTGTTGTCGAACAAGGTATGCCCACGAACTGCGCAAAAATTTAATTATCTTTGTTTTTTTTTCCGCTCATCGCAATATGTGTAGAAGCTGTCGATACCAGCGTTGCATCAGAGAAGGAATGGTTATAACAGGTACAGATGACGTCTGAGTGCAAAATCTCTCCATATTTTGCAGACGTGCAACTGAAACGGGACCAAATTGGCAGAAGAGCTCGAAACAAAGTAGGTTTAAAATAGATTTTCGGGGGGCTTTCCGACACAATAAGGCACTAATATTACTTATTCACGTGGGTGAGAATTTGAAACGTAATTGATTATTATTTGCGACGTGGGAAACTGACCACGCTCTAAAGTTCAAATGTGCGCAAATATAACTAAGTATTTCACATGACACTGATGCGATTATACCCATTAGTAGGATATCATCTCAATGGTATTTTAATTGAACTCTGTTCGAGGATACCCTATTTTGCAGAAATAATGCAAAATTTGTTGTTTAAACAAAATCTTGCAAAACTCCGATTGAAACAAAACACTGCAATATATGTATATACAAATAGATGTATCGAAGGACAGCTTGTAAAAATTTTTACGCATAATTTTGTTCCAACATCTAAAATTCTGCATTTCGCTGGAATTTTTAATGAAAGTTTAGTCCTTTTTTAATACGAAACGTTCATTCATTAAAACGACAACATGAGTCAATCTAGAAATCACACGCAACAATATGAGGCACTACTCGAGAAATGACCAATAGTTTTGACCGGACAGTTTTCTAAAATTAGATAGCTTGAAACATCGTCAAATCTATAATTGAGGATGTCGGAGCTTTTTTGCTTTTGGGAGACTCTTATTGGACGATGCGTAAAGTCTGCAGAAGTTGCGCACAAATTCAACGAAGGTCTGTGCCTGTGCTGAGTTTGATGGCCTCAGCAGAATTGGCTCGCACTTTCAGAAGACGTTAATTTAAGAAGAATGTCCCAATCCGTCAAAAATCAATTTACGAAAAAAAAAACAATTAGCAATCATAACGGTTTTTGATGTAGTTGTAGCTACAAGAAAAATGAAACTATCGCTATTTTAATAGTTTAACTGTCCGATTCTAGGAAATAATTCGTCGTTTCAAACAACCAAACGAACAAAATTATATTGTTTTCAGAAATTATCTACTTCTATGGACGATGATGGCCTACCTTCGGCAAATGACTATGTCACAGACTTTCCATTCCGAGAATTCCTCAGCTCGACAGTAATTATAGAGCGAATGAAAAAAGGTTTGAAAATGTCAATGGGGCATTCAAAAGTACAAATTTATTTCAGGATATGAACAATTTATGTCTATGAGAAGAGCAACGAACAAGTTTTTGAAGAAAAACAACGTCACATCTTATTTTCAGACTGAATCTGAAGTTTGACAAAAATGGGGATTTGCATTTTTTTTGACAATTAAGGAATTAGAAGTGTCCCGATTTGATGTTGCGATGAAAGTTGGCCAAATTGAGACCCATTTAGTCACCGATGTTGTTAACACATATTTTTTCCCATTTAACCATGTGAAATATGAAGATAAGGTAAAAATTTAACCAACATCCATTTCTTATAATTGTTGTTTAGCTTGCATTGTTTAAAAATTTTTTCTGCTACTTCTCACACACAGACCGTGCTTATCAGTCCTACAAACATTTCATGTACGACGAGAGTAATTCCGTTTTCGAAATCACAAACTACAACAATTTGCCAATGATTTAGATAACGACAAGATTTTGATGCCCGATGGAGGGTTTATTAAAAAATCGGAGCTTGAAAAATTCTATGAGCAAGCTGAAGGAGTGCACAAACCGCCGAAAGATGCAGCCACGTTGAATTATCCAGTATTTGCAATCAATTAATCAAGAAAATTACAGAATTTTCCAACCAGTTTTTGATTATATTCTGGATGTGATTGTAGGATATATGAGATCAATGAAACTCGTGGACTTTGAGTATATGGCGCTTCTTGGATTCTGTCTTTGGGACAATGGTACATAGACAATTAACGCATAGTTAAGACACTAAAGCATATGTTATGTATATGTATTAAAGATATTGTTGGAATCTCCGAGGAAGCAAGAAAAATAGCTGAAGGAACACAAGCAAAAATGTTAAATGAACTGCATTCCTACTATGAATCTGAGGTAATCAATTGAAATATATAATATTTAAGGATTCGTATTGTTTCAGTGTATGGATCCTCTGGCTATCTCGCATCGAGTCGGTAAATTGCTTCTTCTCCTTCCAAAATTGACGGTTTTTTGAAAATAATGCCCTAATTTTTATGATCGTTTATATATTAACAGAAATGCGTCACAATGCTTCGCGAAAATTCCGTATTAGCTGAAATGTTTGATTTTTATGAGGCCGATGTCTGTTGCAAGAACTTCAAAAATGAGCAGCCTGTGGATCTCAATTGTCCATCTTCTTGCATTGCTCACACTGCGAAAGCACCCAAAAATGTTTAATTTTTAAGAAAATCATTTGAATATATGCATTAACCAGGTTGCAACATCCAAATATCTCTGAAATGAGCATTAAATTCGTTGAACGAAATTTCAATAAATATTTGTGAGAAATAATTTTCAGAAAAAAATCTTTTCGAATAATTATTTTTTTTGCTTTTATAGCAAAATTGTTGGATTGAAAAAAAAAACGAAATAAATAACATCAATTATAAAAAAAAGAAAAGAAAACGAGAAAAATTGTATTTCTCCGAGTTGTACCTTCTGCTTCAAAATGTTTTTTTCCGGGATAATACTTAAATCTCTTAGGTTGAAATAATGTTTATTTTCAAATTTTTGAATGTGCTAATTTGTGTGTTTGCATCGATGCATTTTTTTACTGCGTTGATCAAAAATGAACACGAAAACAGAATAAAATATGATTTTAATGAATAATCTCCATTGTTTGGTCGTCACCACAAATTTTTCGTGTCACAATTTTTTCTAGAAGAAAACATATCGAGGAAGGCTCAATGGTGATTGGGGCATAAATTACCACAACTCTGTTAAGAACAGATTATTTACACATATGATTATATTTCATCAAGGATCGTGACTTATGGTTACTATTCAAAGTGTTCTCATCCTGATATAAAAAAAGGTTTTTTAATTTAAAAATTATCTGAAATAGTCGCTTGAAGGTTTTTTTAACAACAGTCAACTAAAGATGTTTTTCTATGTATATTAAATGTTCTTCTTTACAAATTTCATCCTTTTATCTTCCAACGATTTTCCTATTATTCCAAGTGTTTAAATTTTTAAAAAAATATTCGAATCTGTCAAATTCTGCTGATTCAATTGCAAATCAAAGTTTGTTCGATGGATTGGGATATCACGTGGCTGGAATGAATTTACATACTCGTTTTTCTAGTCGTTCGCCGAATTCCCCCGTTGTCATTTTATATCAATTGCTAAAATGAATGAGAAAGGTCGATATCTGACCTGATAAACAAAATGACCCAATGCACTCTGCTTTTTTCTGTTAATATGGGTCTGATTTGTAGTTCTTCTGTTATCAAAAATACCCTCGATTTCTCCTTATTTCCAGACTTTGATAATTGTGAGGAGATATCAGATAAACAATGCGTCTTATCAATATCATAACAGTTAATAAGAATTGAAAAACGTATTAATTTGTTTCTATTGAAAACATTTTATTAAAAGTACACACAAATTATATAATTTTCAATTTTACATCGATAAAAATCTCATTTCGTTTAAACAGATCGGCTGTCCCCGAACGAAGAGTTTTGAATCTGTAAACCGGCGCCGAATAGGTTTTGTCAGATTAGTATTCACATTTTTTTTTCAGAAGTAAAGACGTAATGTTTAAAATTAAAATTGCACCATTACTTTTCAAAATTGTTTGTGAGCGAGCCAGGCTTCGATAATTATGCTATTAAATTTTATCAATTTTCTGTCATTTTTTAAAAATTTAAACAAGTTTGGTTATTGAATCAATTTAAATTTGAGGGTTACAACCGAATTTATCAAAAACCAATATTAAAAATGATTGAAGCTCGATCTGATCTTCACACTGTTTATTATTTCAAATCCAATGTTTTTTTTTTTGACAAAAATAACAGTGTCCCCTGATTGTATGTAAATAAATAGTGCCCTCTGTGTTCTATCAGCCCATCAAGACAAGGTCGAGTACGTTTCGATTTCGTCCCCCTATTGCTACTTAAACTCATCTTCATAATATCAACATTGATAGTAATATTAGTTTAGTCATATTTCATTTTAAGTCAATCAACAATTTCAAGCATTCTATGTCATCTGTTTTTGTGGGAAATTAACTTCAGGAAACTATTACACATAAATATAAGCTGGCTTCAAATTCATTGTCGTACGCAAAATAAGAAAATTAATAAAGCCAGCAAAAACTGAGTTTTCATTTTCATTATTGAAATTTGAAATTATTTGATATGCGTTATGATAATTTTTCGCCATAGTCCGTGTCAACTCAATAGCTTAATTCATTGTGCATCTAAATTTGCGCCAACATTTTTAGGCACTTGAATTTTATGTTGTATATGTTTTATCAGGTACAGAAAACTGCATTTCATTATCACTTGATGATATTATTTTGGGAAGTATAATTTCGAAATATTGACGAATATGTTTTTTTAAGTGCAAGTAATCTTATCGTTTTTCTCAAAAGCGCAAAATTCTAAAAAAAAAAAGATTGGTCAAAGATAATATTTATCAATTCAAACTATATGATATATCGTGATGTTAACAAGATCAAAAATCAGTTATGTGGAATGTGCGTGCTTCAAACTGGACTATTTCGTGTTTATTGAATAAAAAATGAGCTATTTTTTTCAGTTCCAACTGAAACATTTTACTTTGCCAAAGTTAGAAATATTCAATTTTTCAAAAGAAAATCAGTTCAGATTATGTGCAATATTAAAGGCAATAAAACAGTATAATATGAAAACCAAAACTGTTGCTCAATAATGAAATTAAATTCTGTTTCAACATCCACAATTTCAATATTTTTAATACTTGATGATTTACACTAGTTTATCCTGGTTGATATGTAATCCACGAGAGTTGCTAAAACTAGCGTAAAGCCAGGCGTTAGTGAAATCGAGGCTAAATATACATATGTGTAACGGAAATCCGATAGTAGATTCGGTTATTTAGAGATCTATGCGAATAAGAAGGACCTGACTCGCAAATCAAGCGTACCAAATAATTTATGTTTCGATTCTTTATCATTACGTTATTTGTTTGAATATGTTTTTGGTGATAAAATTTCTCATTTTAAAACACCTCTGGGAAATGTAGAAATATTATAATAATTAGAGTATGTAAAATTTGAAAATGTTTAAGGGTTTCTTAATCAATTTCTCATTCTTCTTTTCATGCTTAAAATCACAATTTATCATTTTTCATAGTTTCCTTAATTGTCGATTTATTTGCTAGTTTAAATATTACATTATGAAGTCAACAATTTTATATTTATAGTAATACCTTTACACTAATCACATATCCGGGATATTCTTGTGACGACATTTATATAGTGCTAGCAAAAGAAACGTAAAGCAAAAATTATTATTGCTCATGAGCGGGCATATGAATATATGAAGCTTTCTAAATTTTTTGTTTCTTTTTTTCCTCCTTGTACTTTAATTTTTTTCCCCAATCGTTAGAAGGGTGTTTCAAAAGTATCAAAGAAAGTTAACAAGAGACAGAGAAAAAAAAACAACGAATATTGTGGTTGCGGAGAAAAACGATCGCGATGTATACAACTTGTGTATTTTCGGCAAATAAAGTGCACAAGTCCGCAACGTCGCCTTCAGCTCCATTTCGAAATTTTACGTACTTTGTGTATTTATTCATCCCTAGCAGGCTTGGATACGTATTTCAGTCAAAATATCTGTAATTGAAATACGAGTTTCCATATATGTGTTTGTCGCGTGTTTACACCGAATGCATTTAATTCGACGACCATTTGAAGAAATGTGTAATTTTCACGTGATTGAGCAAATTGAATGCAAAATTTTTGGTGTTACAATGCCATAGGGAAAACAAATTCCAAGGAATACGCAAAATTAAAATCATTGCGGACTATGCATTTTATTTGCCGAAAATGCACATGTTGTTGACATTGCGATCGTGTTTCTCCGCAACCAAATAACGAAAAATTTTCGTTCTTCTTTTGATTTTTTTCGATTTCTTATCAACTTTCTATGATATTTTTTTTGATTTTTGAGGCTTCCTCCACTCCCTTTAAATTCACTTTTTTTGGTCGCTGTTTCCTCTGTCTTCATGTTGTGTTATCGTTTTCTCTAGAAATGTACTCATCCATCATTATTCTCACGTCTTCTCTTATCATTATTTAGTTTTGTGTTCATTTTTTATTCTCACGCTCTGGTATCAGATTGCCCAAAACTGTTTGCCAGTTTCTCATTACCGGTTTCACTCTTTTTCTGACTTTCCAAACAAAAAAAAATTGAATCAAAGTTGGCTAGTGCGCTTTTATGTTAGTTGGTTCGGCTTTCAGGAGAAAAGCGCAAATGAGAAAATAACGGCTGAGCAAAACTGATGAGCAAAATTTGGTGCGCACATCCTATTAAAACAACGCATTTTTTTTGCGTGCCCTCCCATTGTTTTTTGTTTTGTGGTGAAATGAGTGGTTTTGAATTAAAGAGGAAACGTATCGAGGGTAAAACTGAAAAAAGCTATTGTGCTTCTTCCTGCTCGACACTTACTTTCGGTTCTCATTACAACCTGCCTTATTTTTTTTTTGCTTGATTGCTTTTAATTGTTGCGGTTGCGCAATGCGAAATCAAATATTGCCCGATTTAATAGTCACCGTCTTCTCCCTCACATTTCATTTAAAAGTTGTGCCATCTCAGTTTGTGCAATTTCGCTTCTTCCAAAGTTTTATTGTTTCACACATCCACACGCTTTCTTTTTTGGTGTTGCATCAGTGCAATCCTAGTGTTTCGCACCAAAAAAAACTTTGGAATTTTTCAATTTCCCTGAACTTTTTCAATTAATTCCTTTCGACGTCTTCAGACGACGGCGATACACCAATCCAGTTTTTTCAGGACGAGTGAACCTACTCTGAAAATTCTGGATACTATTTAAATTCTGATTCTTTCAGACAAGTATTTCTATAAGTAGCATAACTGACTCAATATTATTTGGTCGATTTGAAACATAGCGAGCACAGACATATATAAAAAGTTTTAAAAGGAACTTAAATTATTTCTTTTTTCATTGGTTCTTTTTTCAATATTAAAGTAGTAAGTGCTTATCGCATTAAAGCATAGAACGATTTTTTTTATTTCTTCAAGCTACAATAAAATGTATGTAAAAAAAATTAAAAAAATGTACTAAATGTACTTTTTCTCGTTTTCGTATTGCTTTTTGTTGGATTTAAATCATTCTTTAGGCCGAAGAAAATCATTTAAAGTACTCCTGGCGTAGATGTGAAATTATGAACAATTGTTAACAGCCGTCCTAAACCATACGAACATTACCTACCAATCCATTTTAGAGATCTTTTTACTTCTGATAACGGAGAATATTCTTCTCTCTTCAATTTTTAGAAGTTGGTTTCAATTAGTTACTACTTGATACATTTTTTTAAAAGTTTTCTGATAGAAACAAAAAAGTATCGTAAAGAATTAAAAATAGTCTTGAAAACAGGACGATTATTAAATTTGGTTATACCTCCATTTTTCTATTAACATCTTCATTCTTTCCCTATCAAAATTTAATTTTCCGAAAAGCATTTTCAGTCAAGAAGCTGCCCAAAAATCTTCACAATTCTCATTAATTATTTGCATGGGGATTAAAGAACAAGCATTTTTTTAAACATTCATCTAATTTATCAAACCAAATTTATACTTAATCATGTTTTTCACCAGTTGTGGCTTATTACGTATTCGTTCCTTTCTACTATGAATTTATTATTGAATTCGAAATTTTTTTCAAAACGAAACCACAACTAATGTATGCTTTGTTGTGCTACCCTTATTTTCAATAGAGGAGATCGTTTTTTCTAGCTTCGTCTGCTCTCAAAGCTTCTGAAATTTCACAGAAGTTTTTTCAGTTTTTGTGTTCGCTTATGTTTATAGACAAATAGGGAGAAGTCAGAGTAATAAATAAGAAGAGAAAATTATCTTGTTTTTCGTTCCTCTTTGTTGTTTTGTTTTGAGTTCGCAAATTTTTTGAGTGCCTCGCTGCTTCTTGGAAAAGCCATTCAGAAAGCCGTATTGATGTAACGGGTCGAAAAAAATTATAGTTTGAATAATGTGTAATATTCAAAAAATAGTAAAAAAAAATTTTAATTTTCTGAACTCTTGATTATGCTTTATTTCGAAATATCGAATAAAGTGTTTTATTTTTATTATATAAAATCTTCACAAATCAATTTTAAGCGATTATTATACATTTCGTGCAATAGTATGTTCTCTTCTTCGTTAATCTGCCACCAATCTCCACGAGGTGGGTAAATTTTAATTCTTGGTATTTGTACAAAATTGCACAATGACATCGAATTTACCAGACAAATATTGATCTTTAAACGATTTTTTAAACTATTTCCTTCGTAATCCTTTTTTGTCAAACAAAAACAGAATGTTATTCACAGCAACACTTTGCATAATCCATTTTGTTTTTCACAATTTCTAATCTTTAATATTGAATTAAATAAATCGTACTTACTTTTGTTATCTTTTGTGTTCCTGGTATTTTTTTTTAAATTCTGATAGTAGATTGTTATGTCAATAACGTGCACTTTTGTATTCCAAAAAGCGAACACTTATTTTCACCTGTTGTCTACTCAACTCAATAGAACTTTTATTTAATTCAGATAACCCCAGTGGTGGGGGGGGGAGGGGCCCAAAGTAAAAATATCTTATTTCTAGATAGAGATGTTAAATTACTTTTAACTTGTTGTGTAATTTTCAATGATCGAATCAATTATTAGTTTGAATTCATTTAGAAATTAGGAATTAGTTAATTACTTTTCATACTGTACTTCGCAGATATCTGGAAAAGCCTTTAAAAAACTCTAGAAATCAAATTCAAAAAGTTGTTTTTAAACCGCTTTTGCGTTTTTTTTTTTGAAAATCTTGCTAATAAAATTACAATTTTTACACTATTTGAAAAAATATACGCTTAAAATACGCTATATGCTAATAATCAGATTAAATTTCACTAATTTCATCGAATTTCAATTTAAAATGTTACCCTGACGTGGACTTTGAGGTATAAATGTTATTTTGTGTATATGGTATTACTTTTTTTCTTTTATCCCGTCTTATGGATTCACTTTAATACGATTTCAATTTTTCTTAGAAAATTGATATGTGTTCGTAATATTTGTGGAATTATTCATTCCAAACGAATTATTAATTAAGCATTTAGGTGTGATTCAAAATGAGAATTTTGCTGTTATAATGAAGGGAATCAAGTGTGCAAGGATGAAAATCTTAATTAAGCTCACTAACTGAACACAATATAATGAAAACCCCAATTTTTGTATTCCACCGTTCTCTTTGTCATTTTCATTATTTTCCATTTGCATTTATTTGTTCCAACATTCTTCAGCATTTCGAATTTTTGGCGCAACACGTGTTCTTGATTATAATTTTTTCAACAATCTACATATTTCAAAACACTCAATTTTTTCTTAACCTCCTCTACTTTAAATTTGTTAACAATTATAAAAGGAACAAAAACCAATTAACATTTATTTTTGAATTGTGACAACTTTTAAATGATTGTCTTTAATGTTTTTTTACAAAGTGAGTAATGTTCTCACCGGGCCAAACTTCACCTGCCGAAAACAAAATACTCTGTGAAAAAAAAAATCTGAATCGCTTGTTTCAAGAGAGCTTTGTTTATTTATAGTAAGATACCTGATTTTTTATTTTGGTGGGATTAAATTCGAATCTAATACGCTATGAGAAGTGAAGAGAATACTTACTTCTTCCCTGAATTATCACTTGAGATAACACAATTTTTTTCCCAGAATTCGCACTTCTTTTTTTTACGTTACGTTACATTTCTTCGATAATTCCTCTCGTTCAAACTAAAAACAGAAATTAGCAATTCATGCGCATATCTGGAAATTTCCTTTTTATTCCTATTTTTGGCGCTAGAAAAATTAAAGTTACCAAGAGAAAAACACTTTACAAAGAAATTTTTGATATAATCAATTTTTTAATTTTATCTATTTTACAATGATAAAATGTTTGAAAAATCGACTAATTTGAATAGTTAAAATTTTTATTCACTTTATGTGTGAACTAGGAATTTTCAATTCATTTTTCAATTTAATTTCAACTGCGAAATTTGGAAAAATTAATCCAAATATTTTACATATGAATGAAGGAAGAGAAGAAAATATTTTGCACGCTAATTTCAAGTTTCAGCGCAGATAATCGAAATAAAAGCTATTAATTTTAAATCTCATCCCAATTCTGCTTTATGATTTTTTTATTCTCTAGCAACTGATTAATAACAATAATGACACTATGCAGATTACGCAAAAGTCAATGATTAACAGTTTTTTTTTCACAATCGGAATAGAAATATAAATTATCTCATGTATTTTCGTAATTTTTACTAACCAGCATTATTATAATTCTTTTTTTCAAACTTCATTTTTCAGAATGGGTAATGAAACCGAAACATCAAAACTAAACGAGGTCTCCGGTGCTTCTTCGGGTATACAATCGACATCCCGATCGGAATATGCAGATCTGGCTTATGATGCCGGTCCTGCACATGTGGACAGACCGAGCGCAATGTACCGTAATATATACATAGCAGAGATTCCGCCGTTCGATGAAACGAAAATTCGAAAACCCATGCCAAAGTCGAAACAGAAGAATAATTCACCAAAAGTAGAAACTCCGGAGATGATAGAGCAAAAAAATGCGAACATTCGACGATACATTGCCTGGCTTCGCGCTTATAACTTGCTGTCGGATGAGGAAATTGGTCAACTCAGGCCCGAGCATGTACCACCAACTGAGCAAAAGCTCGATGAAGAGCAAGAGCGTTATTTTCAAGCTAAACGTCTCAGAGCAACCGAACCGACGCCACAAGAACGAGGTGAACTGCAAGAGGTCGAGGAGTTTGAGTTTGCAAATAATGATGAACGAAGGCGGCAAAGTCGACCAGTGAGAATATGCACTGCATTACAAGAACGATTTTTAGCGGTTCGTGTTTTTTTTTGCTTTTTATCAAACTAATTTTCTATAAATTCCATTTTCGAATTTTTTCTTAAAATTATTTGTGAAACAAAATGCAGATTAAGAACATAATTCGCTTATCTGCGAAAATTGATAGAACACTTTTACGCATTCTTGTTTCATATATTGGAAATTAATGAAAGAAAATTGGTCTCGAGTTCAACTGTTGAAAAATCAATGTTGTCAAAACTTTTGGGGGATTTATTTCGAGCACTGATATCCGTTTTATTATTTTTCATTTCCCAATCAACCCAAATATTTTCAATGCCCAAAACGATTGCCTATCTCGATATTATTATTTTTAATTGGTCTCTGCTTTGATGATAATGAACATTTTATTTCAATTTGGCACGAGAGTTGTCCTTGTCGAACATTCCACGACACTAGCTTATCAACCTAATTGCAAAAAAAAAGCTGGAAGCGTAATCTTTGATCCCTTCAACAAAAAATTTATGACCACAAAACTTGATCAAGCAGGCAAAAAAATCATTCTACAAACCTCTAGAAACGTTGGATTCGTGCAAATCAAATCACACCCTATACAACATTTGATTTTTTTTAATTATGTGAAAAGAAGATTTGATAATATCGGGATATATGCAACATTTAATTGAATCCAATCTACATCTGTTGCATGTTTCCTAATAGAACATTATTTTCGTTTTTCCCGAAGCAAATCTAAAATTATACTACCCGCGAGGAATCGAATAACCAAATATGGAGTGTGAAAGACGCCTTTCTTGCAGAAAAAAAGTAAAAGTATGGATGAACTTTGATTTGCATTTAATAAGCAGAAAGACAGAGAAGCAAGCAAATAGTCAACCCCTCGAAGTGAAAATAGCAATAAATAGTGTAAATCCGAAGAGCATTTCTCTCAATATTTTTGCACTATTTTTCAATCCACACAATTAGATTTTAGATATAAATGATTAACTACCATAATACAATATTTAGACAATATTTTTTCGCCGGTTGATTTATGATTGACTAGTTATTTTTAGTGTCATATGCGGATAATTTCAAGCAGTGTACACAAATACGACTGCCTCATTTATGTTTTTCATTATCAGATATCAAACAAGAATGTCTAGTCACACACTTTGATTTAATTAATTTTTTTAGAAACCTCATATCTAATATGATAATTCTCACGCAAATTTGCATTTACTTGCCATGATTTTTCCCTCACACGAGATGACAAATTTGAGCGGCAGAAATCGGAATTTTCACATAAATATTTTTCTACCGGTGCGTGTATTTTACCCTGCAAAAAGGTTCAAAGTCCGTTTTGCAAAACGCGACTGAAAACCTTGCAAAAGATGAAGCCAATAATGATGCGTTTACATATTTATATCAAATTTCGTTTAGATATTTTTTTTTCGCTGCAAACGACCATTATCGAGATACTCGATGATTTATCATCATTTTTCATTTGGCTGTGTTATCATCAAAACGTTCAGTTATTTTGCGATTTGCAGATTTTATTTGCGGTTTTTGATAAACAGATTTTCCCTCGATTTGACATAAAATTCAAAATCGGATTTCTTATGCAAACCGAGATCAAACTGCTTACTAATTTCTAATCATGTCAGCTGAGTTCGTTTTTCCTCTCAAATTGAATATAGTATGCTAAACAAAATTAAGCCTAATAATGCATTCTCTGCTGCTTCTCGGAAGAAAATTTGCAACAAAAGGATAGCCTACCCTTTTGAAAGTGTCAACTATTGGTTTCAGACATCGTAAAATACTTGATTCCATCTGTCATGAGGCATTTATTTCGGCAAATGTTATTCAATCCCTCATTTGCAGCCGATTACTCATTCTCGTGATTGCGGAAATTGTTGACTAGATGATGATAAATTGCATACTAAATACAAATTCTAGTATTCATATTCGCTAACTACAAAACACCAAACATTTTGCAAAAATTGGAGCAATAAATGTTGATTAATATTTTATCATACTGTAGCGGCGAGGCGAGCGCTTCATTTTATGAATGTGATGACGTTTTGTTTTTCTTTTAACAACAAGATTAGTATTGCTACATAGATGAACAATGAAGTCACTTGTTAAATGTACCCAAGACGCGAAAAGGCATCCTCTCGAGACCGCAAAAACGATAAATACCCAAAACACTACCACAATTTTTTTAAAAAGTTGAGTTGAATTCACCAGAACTGAAGTCCATTGTTGTTCAATTACGTAATGCATTTCTGGAAGACTCAATTGTCGGTTATACTTTTTGTTTTATGTTTGGTTAGTTTCATAAATTTTCAAACCAAATTTCAAATTCGATAACTACCGCTTTATATTGTCGACAAAGTCAATTTTCAAACGAGCTCTCGGTTAAAAGCCGCTATCCTGCAGATGCGAGAGTGATTTATGGTCTCATTTCTATTCCGCAAAAATCATTTTCTCGGATTGATCGCATGTGTTGTGTTTAGCGTTTTTCAAACATTCTTCACAATATTTATTAATTTTTGTCGGTCAACGGCCAGCAGATGCGCACAATTTTGTTTACATACAAGTCGAATGGCATCGCAATTGACATTTGTTCAAAAATCGAATATTCTTAGAATATTATTATTGATTAAATGACGAAAAAACAGTTTCATCATCTTGATGCAACTCTTTTCAACATGATAGTATTGATTTTTCACAAAACGGTTTTAAAAATATTACTGTCAATATTCTTTTTAATAATAATTACATTACGCTACAACTTCCAAATAATTTCTAGTTTCTTGAGCTTTTTGAGGTATCCATGGCCGAGTTTTTTGGTGGCCTAAAAATGCAATAAGTGTGCTTCATCGATAACGATAAGCAATGACTAATAACAATCTTCATCATTTTCTCTATTTCTCGTCGTGTTTAGCTTCTTGACCCAGATTTCAAAAAAAGATTTCTCCTTTTTATTAAAGCAAATTATGTAGTTCTAGTTCATGTTATGCGCCCTTCTACCATTTTATTTCTATATTTATCAACTTACGATCTTATATAGGTAGATTTGGGAGTTTAAAAAATGTAAACTGTAATAGAAAGATAAAACTATTCATGCAAAGAAAATTTGTGATTTTTTCAAGGCCGATTCATTTGTGTTCGAGAGAAACCATTTTACCCTTTTGTTCTTTTACGAGTTCGCATTGCATTCGCTTGATTCAATCGATTGAAAGTTTCGAAATTTGGAAATTTTATAGGAAATTAACATGTTTTTTGTTAATTTTTATATAAATGCGATTGATGATTCATCAAAGATTTTTTCGTTCTTTCTTAACATTTTTATCATAATCAAATGAATAAATTAGTGAAAAGAGCTATTTCGCCGAAGAAGATTCAAGCCAATGAAAAAAAAATAAAGCCCCATAAGGACCCTTATTCGAATTTCAGTCAATGGTAATTCTAAAAACCGCAAATTTATTTTTTAATTTTTGGTCTTGATTTGAAAAATTGTGGGTGCTCGGTCGGCCCCGAGCCTCATTATATACAGCTCTGACGCCTTCTTCTGCTCTTTTTTTGACACTCCTGAGAAAACCATTTTCAGATCATTTTTTAGATTTTGCGAAACATAAGACTTCTTTTGGCGTATTCCAATAACAACTCTCGAATGTCAATACAACTTTGCACACATCAAGTAAACATGTTTAACTAACCTATTTTGCATGGGTGTTGGTAGCCAGCTTCTACTTTTGATCAGTGATCTCTCATTCTGCAAAATTGAAGCGAAGAATAAATGACTGAAAAACCTTCCGATGTATGGCACTTTATTTTAATTCAGCGGCGTTGTGAATAGACGCGCGTTTGTCTCATTTCACTGAATTATTCAATAGTTTCATCATTTGCAATACCCACAACCAATTGTTTCAATATGCAGCACAATAATAATATCGCCACAAAAATTTTAATGAAGTGGGCATATTCGTCGATTTTTTGCACCATATTTAAAGCTAAATTTCTTATTACTTTACATGGAGTTTGATGTTACAGTAGTATACATAATCGCATCGGGTTTTGTTATGCATATTTTGATAAAAATTTTTCCAAAATTTTTAAATCCGATTGCACTAATAATTCCCTTTAGTCATCAAAATTAATACCTTTTAAAATAAATCTCACTGTACGCAAAGAACACATGTCCTCTTTGACAGCCTGCGTCTGCGCCATTCAGCACAAGTATTTGCAAATCTTGCAAAGCGTCTGCAGTGATTATTCATATGCTCAATTTCGCGCCCAATTTGAGCGTCCAATTTCAGTGTTTGTTTGTTGTTTGCTGCCGACAGACATTAATTATTTGAACTCATGTTTATGAGAAATGAAATCCATGTACTGCTCAGCATCTTTTGTTCAGGTTGCTGCGGTTTTCGGCTTTGCTCTGGCGTCTCTATTCGATTTAGAGTGCTTTTTCAGCACCACGCCTGCAAATTTGTTTTTTTTCACCCTTTACATTAGGGGCGTGGCATTGCACAACGCGCTTCCATCAGGCGCCATTCATATCAGGCAAATGCATAGCTCGCGATTTTTGGTTTGTTCCATCAACCCGAAAGCCTCAATTATTTGTTTTTGTCATTACTGTGATGTGTGACGTCTTGATTATTATTCATTTCAATTTACAATTTCATTCATTAAATTCAGAGGGGAGGATGCCCAAGTACGCCCGTGCAAATTTAAAAGGAAAACCTAAAAAGGGGCATACATTCCGTCGTTTCAAGTTCTTTTCGAAATTCCAAAACATTTTTTCGCAGTTCTTCCGCAACCTTCGTGGCAGCATGCAGAGCTTCATTCAGCAATACGCTCCTCATATGGATGAGTACTTTGGAAGAACCGAAGAAGAAGTTCGGGTATGCATTTGTCGCATTGGGATTTATAAATAATTGAATGGCTTCATTGCAGGCGATCGATGAAAGAAAACGTACACAGTACATCGAGGAGGAAAAGCTCCATATTCACTTGCTCCATATGCAGCAAATGGCTACCGGCAATGTCACTCCAGCCCCGCCATTTCCGGAATACGACACTAACGGACGTATTAAGATCACCAAGGAGTATCTCGACTTTGTAATGTATCGCGATCTTGCGCCACTGCAAGAGCTCAAGAAACTTCGTGAGGATGAACGCGAGCTCATGTATGAGGTGACCAAGACTCGCGAGATTCTTGATCGTCTCTCGTTCGGCGACGAGAAGGGCAAGAAAAGCCGCAAGATGCTCTGTAATCGCTATGTTCCGGAAGAGGAACTTGAAACTGATGATGAAGAGATGGAGGAGGCGGGCACATCCAAGGCAACTGATCCTCTTCTCAAAAAAACTGACAAGATCGAGGAGGACTCTGAAAAGGTAGAGGATGGTCGTCCAGCGACATCGACCACCTCAATCATGGAACAGGTACATTTTTGAATTAAAATCCTAAATCACACGTTCCCATGCGATATTTCCGGTACATATAGAAGGCATATGTCTACAAATAGAATAGGTCAAGAAATGAATAGATCAATAATCAGCGAACTCAACTTTTTGGTTTTTTTAAGTATCAACTATAATTAGTGCCATTACTGTAGCCGTTAATTACGCCCACGATAATATTTTCGCTATAATTATTTTTGTGACAGTTCAAACATCTATTGAAGATGAATAAAGGATGACTTTAAAGCGTAGAAATGGACAATGTTTCGCAATTAATATTTTTCAGGAGTGAGTCCAATCACCGATCAATTCTTCATCAGCTTGTACGTCTTCATCATTTCTATCTTCTTTAAATATATCAACTGAAACGGCACTTTTTTCCAACTTCATTATACTTGTTCCTTCTTTCCACACCAGCAATTCTCATTTAGCATAACTCACACTTGATTGTTAGTAACCCAAGAAAATCCCTCGCGCCCTCCCAAAAATTTCTTTCTGTTTATCTTGACTCTCTTGTCTCTAAATAAACTGCTTTATCAAATCTATCTTGATTAAATTTAGAGCGTCGAAGATTGATTGATGAAATGACATATAGGCGTTTCAGTTCAGATCAGTATAGTTTTTGAAGACAGTTTTCGAAAATTCGCGTTTGTCGACTGTAGCGAAATGATTGATGATGGTCAGTGAGATGCAACGAGAAACTTAAGACGATTCGTGGTTTCGAGAAACAATTCTGAATGTCAATTTGAAACGTTTTCGAATCAAATGTCACTTCTTCAAATCTGGTGACGGAACATGTTGAAACGCTGCCAATTATTACACTGGTTTAAATCGAAAAGCACCGATCAGAGTTTGGCTGGCCGCAGTGATCTAACCGGTGTGCTTGCTATGATGTTGAGTTCACACACTTTATTACACTTTGGTTACCTATTCACACACATCATGTGCATCGTCCTTCGTTGGCGTTGACAATTTTCTTCATTTCTTTTTACTTTTTGAAGTCTCCAATCGCTATTGCATCAGATTGGAGTCACTTTTTGTGATAGACAGGATGTAAAAAATATAATTTATGGTTGGCCGAATCGTCCAAGAAAAAAAGAAGATATATTCGTAAAAATGTTGAGTCTAAATGATCTTTTGACGCGTTAAAATTGAGTTACTTAGAAGATATTTGATACCTGGAATCAAAAAAAAATGTTTTTTTTTTTCATTCTATTGTTCTCGGATAATATGGAATGAAATGCCTAGTTCCAAAAAAGTGCAAAATATAAATATTTGGCAAAATATAAATATTTAGCGTTAGGCTTCGCCTACAATTTCAGTCTAGAATTACCAAATATGTCTATTCGCCTCTCTCGATCCATTTACTACTTAGCGATTTGTTAGAAGTTTAAAAAGAGAGCGATTCCTATCTCCACGTGGGCATCGGACATCGAGAAAACAACATGTCAGAAAGGGATAGGGTATTTGGCTGTGTGCAAAAATAACCACGTGACCTTTCAAATATTCTTAATAGATAAATGTTTGTGGGGTGTAAATAACAAAATTTGCAATCATGCTCATTTTTATTAAAGCAATAAAAAGTTTGCTGAACTCTGGCAATTTTTTATACACTATTGTGTGCACGCAATTCATTCTTTATCAGTTTCGCTACGGTACAATAGAATTCTATTTATTCTATTGTACAAAATTTTGCATATTCTTTTCTTCAAAATTCCAAGAACCATACTCATTTTCTCACATTCAACGATCGCTATTTTCTTTTCGTAACGTGTCGAGTCATCAAAAAAAAATTTATTGGCATTTCTCTCCCACTCGTCGATTGTTGAAAGAATATTGAAAATAAATTGGCAAAAATAACTAAGCGCATTTACGAAATGCAAACGGCCGCGCTAATTGAAGCCAATTTTCTCGTAATTGAGTTATTTCTCGTATGTGCATTTCATTGCCGACCGTTATTCTGTAGTTGCCGCTTGCTCGTACTATTTATTTCAATCACATGTACGTATGTTTATAAACTGCACAAAGGAGGCTCGCCTGATCGCAAAAGCTTCATTATTTGCTTTTTTCAATTCGTTGCCTTTTGCCCCACCGCGTTTTCGACTTTTCTCCTCGCCGAAATTTATCTGCAAACGAATATTCGACTATTTCGAACTTTTTGACTGGGCAAACATGTGGACATTGCCCCCCCCCCACCCTTCCTCCTTCTCTTTCCTCATCATCCTCCTTCACCTTGGCCCTTCCCACCGATCTTTTTGATTTTGCACTTTTTTCACGCCCAATCGCCGTTTCAGATGTTCGGCAACCGACCAACAATGTTTTGCGTCGACTCTGCCCGCCCAATTTCAAGGCTATCATGACGATTTAAGAGGTGGTGTCAATTCTGGACAGATGGTGAATAAAGTCGCCCTTTGCCTCGTTGTTTCTATTACATTCATTCTCTTCATCACCGGCGGGCATCGTGGTTTTTTTTCTAGAGCTCGGCTGCCCTCCCTCGCTTCCTGCCCGGCGACATGCATTTCATTCTAACAAATGCAAAACGGAACAGTTGTCCTTTTAGAAAAAACCTGCGAAAATCTCGTCGTATCAAACGGCACAATTGCTCTTTTATTCCAGTCTTATCATTTCGCTGATGGTGCGACACCTATCATTAAATGAAAATTAAAAGCCTAGGCATGTAATCATGGACTTATCTTCCTGATTAGAATGTTGCATTATAAAGTTCAAATATCTTAAGATAAACCTTTTTCTCTCACATGGACTCTCGTCGTTTCTCGTTTTTAATTCTGGTTTATCTCGTTTTCAATCCTTTGTTTAATACGTAATCATAATTCTATTTATATTCAGATTTTCCAAACACGGGTATTCATCAACAATGGGTGAACGAAAATCTTCCAAAAATGTTGAGAAACAGACAGATCCTGAGCTTATAGAAAAAGAAATCGAGCAGATTGGAATCGTCCAGCCACCAGATGGTAAATTTCCTTTGTCCGATCACCCAATTTTACGATGATGAATTTTTTTCAGGAGGTTACGGATGGGTTATTGTTGTTGCTTCATTCTTAATCAACATGATCGTTGATGGTGTGATATTCACTGTAGGAAAAATTCTATTGCCGGCCTGGGTAGAAGGATTCAAAATTTCCGAGTCATCCGCATCGCTGACCATGTCAATTCTCTCTGGATGTTACTTCTTCATTGGTCGGTCATTAAAAAGATAAGATGAACACATGTTCACTCCATTTCATGTGAAAACTTTGATTTTGTGATTCGAAGGTGCACTATTATAATTTTGAGCACAACTTCAAAATTATGAAAGTCCCACGTTCTGCGTGAAATTCATTCAAATTTTCTCACGTTACTCATGTATTATGGTTTCAAGATAAGAAAAGAGTGGACATAAGCTGTTTGTAAATCAAAACTCTTATCAATTGTTAAGCCTCTTATCGCAATTTGGAGGTTTCCCATGTCTATCTATTTCAGCTGTTCACTTCAGGTCCAATAAAACAAAATCCACCTGCTAACCTAAAATTGATTACTCTGAAAAAATAATCAATTAATTAGCAAATTTAAGGACCATTTTCATCAGCTTTGTGCAATGTTTTCGGATGTCGTAAAGTCGCAATTGCGGGGGCTGTAATTTCCTGCATTGGATTCCTCTTGTCAATTCCGGCTCCAAATATTTATTGTCTTTACATCACTTTTGGATTGATTGGAGGTTATTTTGTGCGAAAAAATTCTGAGAATGAATTTTTTGTATAGGTGCCGGTCTCGGAATGATGTATCTACCCGCAATTGTCATCATTTCTCAATACTTTGCTGTTCGAAGGTCATTGGCTACTGGAATCGCCGTATGCGGTTCGGGAATCGGAACCACCGTTTTCGCACTGGTTTTGTGCGCAACTTACATTCCGCCGTACAAAAATAATTTTTGTAGCTCAACGATATTGTTTACGAGTTTGTGAAAGGAGATTGGAGGCAATTTTTGGTCTACACTGCAACGATTGCAATTTCGGGATTCGTTGCTTCCATTCTTCTTCGTCCTTTGAAGGCATCGAAGACTCAAATTGAGAAGGTTGTTCAAATTGTGGAAGATTATGAAGAGAAAAAGGAAAAGATTAGCGATTCACCAACTGTGAATCATAAGTATAACACTCCACTCCTGTCGACGATGGAGATGCAAGGAGTTGGAAAGCACAACGTAAAATCCGCTAATAGCCAAATTTGGATTTGAAAAATGAATTTTAGAATCAACTCAGCGGATCGGCTACAAGCATTATCGACGCTGTCACCAAGGATATTGAAGATCTCAATCGTCCACTTTCTAGAATGGATGTGTTCTATACGGGATCTACTGCTAACCTTCACACTAGAAGTCGAACTAATACTTGTAATACGTGTTGAATGATATTCATTAACAACGAAATAATATTCCAGTGAACAGAGAAGACGTCGAAGAAGCTTTAGAACATGCAAAAGAAGCGAGAGAAAAAGTTTTCTTGAGCAAATTGGACCTCAATGAAGATGTAGCGTCTTTGGGCGGAAAAAGAAGTGTCAAGGCTGATATTATTCAAGTACTCTGCAAAAAAATGTTTATCGGTTTGCAACAATATATTTGTTCAGGCTCTCCGCAATCTTCTCGATAGCAGCCTTTTAGCTTCACCTTCCTTCTTAACATTGGCCTTCTCCGGAACGTTGACTCTTTCTTGCTTCTATGTACCATTCATTTACCTCGGAAAACATTTGGATAAGGTTTGTGTCTTAAATCACAATGTTACTTTCAAAGTATCGTTTTAGATTCCCGATCTCACTCTTACTCAGAAATCATTCCCGGTGTCATTGATCGGAATTATAAATATTATCGCCCGTATCGGTTGCGGGTATGATATCGAGAAAAAATGCAACAAAACCAGTTATTTATTTTTAGTTATATTGCTGATCGTCCAGAAGTTAGTGCCTTATTAGTCAACAATATTGCTTTGATCTTTGCTGGAATTGCAACATTTACTGTACCATGGTACACTGAGTACTGGCATTTTTTGATTTTCTGCGTTCCATTCGCCATTGGTGTTGGTATGTACATGATCTCAGCAGCCTATTTTAGTAATCGAATTTTAGCATGCTTTGCTGCTCTTCGTTCCATCATCTGTCTCGAGCTCATCGGTCTTGAAAAACTTAGCAATGCTTTTGGAATTCTTCTCACTTTCATGGGAGTTGGCGCTATCATTGGAGCTCCAATTGCTGGTAAACTCGAGCAGCACACCTAGCAAATTGAATACCGTGCATTTTAGCTGCTCTCAAAGATTTAACTGGTAATTTCGACACATCATTTTACATAATGGGAAGTTTGATGGCGTTGAGTGGTCTTGTATGCATTCCTCTCCCTATGATTCGCCGATGGGAGAACAATCGGTATGCAGATCGACATTTTCAACGAACGGTTAAATCTTATTTCCAGAAACGAAAAAAAGAAAGATGCAAAATCGGACGTGGAGCTTGAAGGTCTTACCGCTAGTACCTGATTTATGAACTGAATAAACCTTGTTACTGTTTGTATAATTATATTGTTAAACGAGGTTAATAAATTCAGCTATTGATTCTGAAAAAGGAAAAAAGAACCTTTATTTATTTTTAACGGGCTTATTATTTTTTATTAACATTATTATTACCATTATTATTATTATTATTATTATTATTATTATTATTATTATTAAAATTATTAATTATTATTAAAGTTAAAGATCAGTATACTTGAGAAATTTTTTTTTTGGGGGGGGTTCTAATTAATTAATTGAGCTTAAAACTTTTTAACAGTCTCCGAAGTTGACTACATCCAATGGGTTCATTTCTTTCTTAGCGATTTTCTGAATTACTTATAATCAAGTAAACTCTTTCAACGATTTTACCGCTTTAAGGTATTTCTGCAGTTTCTTGTCGGGATTGTCAAAGAATTCTTGAGGATTTCTCACAAGAAGAGCCACATCTTTGCAATCTTCTTTGCTGTTCGTAACAAGTATGTAGTCGTAAGCGCGAACTCCTCCAGAACGAAGAACGCAGACTGAAAATTCTGTTTGAAATCGTGCTTTTCACAGTTGGGTTACATGGAAAACTGAAATTTTCGCCGTCAAAATCGGTCATTTGTACTCTGGTGTTAACATGATCTGTGGTAAGTGCATTTCCTCTCAATCTCATGATCTTTTCAGACGTTGATGTCTTGAACTGCCAGATCAGTCTCGCGTCTTGTGCGGCTACGGATTTGCGTCCAGCGACAACTTTAAATAAAACCGTTTGAACATTTTGTCTGGGTAGGCGGCTTACTATCAAATCTCGAACAAGTCAATGATGCCGATTCTTTTTGAACAAGGTTTGCAGTATGTTCCTCCATAATATTCACAACATTTTTGGAAGCCAATGCAATAAGCCATTTTCCGTTCATTTTATCTAATGATACTTGTTCGCATTCGCAATGGGATTCGAGATCTTCCCTATAAATGATATCTTCTAATTCAGCAATGATTCAAAACTAACTCATCACGCTGAACAGACATGCTTGGTGGAATCATTTCACTATCTGTGTTCACTGGAACAGTAGTTGGCGAATAACGGATATGATGGCGAAGAGCGCTGCTAATTCTAATTGGAGATGCGGACGATGACATCTATAAAAAGATGATTGTTAATGCAAAAGTACACGTATATGCATGCCTGTCGTTCTACGATTTCTTCCCGTTCTTCAGCGAGTTTGCGTTCATGAGATGATGGCAGAGCGCTAGTTTCTTCTTCTGTAGTCGTGCCTTCTGTTGTAGTAGTGATATGAGTCCCCGGAGGTGATCCCATTGGTTCCAGTTGAAGCTCTTTTGGAAGTTCCGGTCCTCTCTGCAATATATATCTCGTTTAAAGACTTAAACTGATAGTGTACCGGATATGGTCCGAATGAGCTGTGCCAATTGTGCAATTGCTCAGTCAGCTGACGTTCCATTTTCTGTTTCTCTTCTTCAAGCTCTTTTTCCTAAACAATCCAAATGAAAAATCTATTTTGATCATGTTCACCTTTTTCCGAAGTTCTTCCTCCATTCTCTTTTGTACTTCAATGCGTTTGCGCTGTTCACTCAGTTCAGTTTGAAGAACTTGAAGTTGCTTACGTTTAGCTAGCAATTCTTTAGTTTGAAGAGTTTCCTCATAAGTTTGAAGAATGTTTTGAAGGCGTTTGACATCCTAAAAAATGCATTTTATGAAATCATATTTTCACAAAGCATACATCCACAGTCAATCCGTAAGTTCCCTTTGTTCTCAGATTAGTAACAACCTCATCGATGGATGGATCAAGGGATTGGACAAATCCTGGTGGCCCAATATCCATTGGCCCAGTTGGCATATCTAAACATTTGTTTTCTGATAATGTACAAATCAATGATAAATCGATACCAAATTTCTGAGGAGCTCTTCTCAACAACTGATTAACCTCGGCAACTCTTTTGGGATCAATCATATTCATATCAAGAGTTCTGGAAATGTCAACCGTTGATCTTGGCGGCTAAAACAACCCGCTTAAACATTACGCTTCTGCAAATGTGATACCTCAGCAAGAATTGGGGTTTCTCTGCTCTTCAATCTTTCCAATACAACCTCAGCAACTTTTTCCGGTGTGAATGGAGTAGTGGTTGTTGGTGGGACGCTTGTGGTAAATCCGCTACTCTCGAGTTGGTGTTTTCTAGAAAAAAAATATTTTCAACAATTTTTAACATTATAGTAAATATACCTAATGAATTCATCAAAATTTTCGATTGGAACTCCGTCGACATACATTATCTTTTTTGTGGATGGAGCTGGAGACGTACTAAATGCCATCAATTATTAACAAAAGCCCATAATAATGAAACTTACAAGGCACTGAAAATGTTGAATCCCGCATTTTTATCGCCATCTTTGTCTTTTCCAATAGATTTTTCAAGAACCGTGTTGTTGATTCCCAAATCGTTCAGAGGAACTCCCATATTTTCGGCAACACTCATTGGATTAACGACAAGTTGACTAAGAAGGCCGTCGCCGAGCATATTAGAAATCATTTTCCTAAAATTTTTATTATGAAATATTTCAGCGAATTGTTAAATTGGTTACTTAAGTTCTTCCGGCTTTCCTTCCATTTGTCCTTTTATAACATTTGGAATTTGTGGAAGAGATTGAACAAGTCGTTCCATCAACGCCGGCTTCTCCGAATTATTAGGTTTATCCTCATCAGCATTTGAAGAACTTATTACTAATAGTAATAAAAATATGGTTTGCTTCTTCATTTTGCCGCGGACTCCTGGAATAAACGTTAAGATAAAGCGCGGTCAATCGAAAATAAATTTGGTGAAAGTGAATTGAGAAGTGAATGTACTTTCGGCGTCGATAAGATCGCTTATGTGTGATATCCACAAAAATTCCAATCAGTTGCAACACGGGGCGGGATGCAGTTTTCTCGAATCCGACCGTGAATTAGGTCGCCGTCTTTGATTAACCGCAGGTCAAATCACATTCGCTATCATCACTGATTGCTTCCTCGATAATCATTGAAGATCATTTTTTTCTGATTTCGTCAACAATCTTTCGGGGTGTTTTGTTTGTACTTCAGGCACTTGAAGAATATTTTATTTGAACGAAATCAAATGAAACGGAAATATGGTATAACTAAACTGAATTTCAGTTGAACATTGAATAATATAAATCACGAATGAATGCAGCGAGAAATGCGGATGAATATATTAGCTGATTGATTCCCTTGAATCTGAAGGGAATTTTATATATTCATCTTTGACTTGAAGACAAATAGAAAACAGTGAAAGAAATAAGAAAAAAAATAATAAAGAAAACATCTGGATCGATATATTTGGAAGACAATATGAGATGAATACTCGCAACGGTACAGAACTTGAAATTGTGAACTTTTCAAAATTTGCAATTCACTCAATGTTCACTGTTTTGGTCATGATACACAGGGGGACATACATTGGTTTACTTGAGATAACAGCTGAGTAGTTTTCATCAGGTTCATTTAAATAAATACGAAACAGTTTGTTTGTCAGGAAAAAATAACACATTTGATGAAAAGAAGTTTTCAACAATCATCAGTAAACGAGAACACATTGTAACTCTATGGCGCAAATTCTACACGTTTGAGGATTCCAACGAGCTGGTGTCAGCATTCTGCAATTATCTAATTATTACAGATGACTTGCACTTTCGTTTATTACCGTTGTCGGGTACTTGTGATTCAATGAATGTGGGCATAAAAGCTCATCAGGCTCCAGACATATTTCATTCTTTGCCTTCTTTCTGGTCAATGAGAATCCTTTACGGATTATCTGAAATGACTTTCGTTTTCATTCAATCAAACAATCATTAATCATCGCTCAAACCTTGATTCGGATAGTCGGCGAAATTTGCGGATAATTCTCGCTAGCGAGAAAATCGCGTTTATCGGCGATAATCTTTTGGCCGAGAAGTTGATTGAAATGCGACGTCAAGTGCCGGCGCAACAGCGTTTTGTGTGGCGGCATTTGAAGAATCTCAGCCAGCGATTCAGCCGTGAATGTCGGTTCATAGATCATCAATGCTCCGGGAACACCAGCGCAAAGGAGGTTCGGTGTGAATTCGGCGAGATCAATCTTGCGAAGCCATTCGCATGTTGCTTGATGATTCCAACGAACCACCAAATCCGGACATGGATAGCGGTCGATAACATTCTGAACATATCAATTGAAATCACTCATTGCTTCTCGCATCCTTACCGGATCTAGTTTTCTCTCAAGAGCATCGAAACGGAAGTCTGTCAGTTTTAAGAACTGGATACTCCTTGCCAATGCGGTGTAGTGATGAGCGTTTACAATCCTCATCTGTAAAACAAGCATTTATTCGATTCACGAATTGATTTTTGAATTTTTACCTCGATCACATCTGCAGCAGTCAATGCCAGTAGCATTGGACCATCGATGACATTCTCAGCAAAAGTATCTTTATATTGAGGAAGACCAATATCCTCAAGCCAACGGAGGGTTTGATGAACATCCCATTTGTTAGCCGGCTCAACAATATCCTCCTCAATTCGGCGAAGAAGGAGCAATACCCGTTTGCGATGGATTGAGTTTTTAATGCATAACGCAGATTCCAGTTCATGAGAGTTCATGTTCAGGAAGTGACGCCCACTGCGAACGTGCTTGGCAACATCATGGTAGTATTGCGGATAACCAATCTGAAAAAAATGGATTCAAAGGGAAAACTGATTAATTAGTTTTAACCTCTGCTATCCACTCTGCCAGCTGTTCTGATCGCCAATCAACAAATTGAGAAAGTGGCGGTCTTTTCGAAATTGAGCCATTCAGTGAACCAGACCCTAACCGAGCGGTTGATGTTGATCTCGCGGCGCTTCCACGTCGGAATGCGTTGCTCTGATCTTGTGATGTCGATCTAGTCAGTTTACTGAAGATATTGCGAAGCGAGGAACGTGTTCGGTCTCGCGAGAACGACTTGAGGTTTTGTTGTGATGCAGTGTTGGAGTGACGACCGCGCGCCACTTCATCATCGGATTCAACTGAACAAATGATTAGGTAAAACTCATAAATTAAAATCATGAATGCGACATTAGTTGGAATCCAACCAAACAGAAACGCACCGTGAAACAACTGAATATTGTTAATCAGCGAGAAAACTGGCGTGAGGTTAAGACATAAAAAGTAACAAACATAAAAACGAATATCGAAACGAAAACCATATTTGAGTTAGATTCACTCTCTGTTAGAATTTGTTGAAACTCTTCAATTAGTGATTGGATCGATCTAACCTAAATTTGGAGCACTAAGAGCTCGTTTTGTCCGCCTCAGTTTCTCAGTGATCCAACGATTCACTTGCGACCGGTAATTGCGTTTCGGCGGCAGAGCAATACTGCTCGACGAGCCTAACTCACCAGCGGATGTTCCTGAAGCGATCGAGAGCTTCTTCGCTGGAAGAGTAAGGGTAGACGATGCCTAAAGTGTCTTGTAAAACTAGCAGAACAATTGAAAATCGTCCAACCTTGCCAACACCTCTCGGCAAACTAACTGTGGAATAATTATGCGGTGAGCTATTTGCTTCGATTCCCATTCGTCGAAGTTCGTCAAGTTCGGCTGCCAATTGACGAGCCGCTGGACTGGAAGGAGATCGGTATCTTAAAAAAAAAGAATTCAATTTTAAACAATTATGGTTTTGTCTTACTGCGGCATATTGTTTAAACGCTGATTTGCTGACACCGGATGCAAATGTCGTGGAGTTCCAGCGTTTGACCAACTGTGCTGAGGAGAAGCAGCTGACAGTGATGAAGTATATGATGACGATGATTGAACTGTACTTCGAGGAGTTTTTCCAACGCTGTTTGTTGAGGCCAAGCTCACTGGGAATGAGGTTGAATGTGAGATCGCATCGGACGGTTCATCCTATTAAAAAATTGATTGAAAATTGTTTTTAAACGTTTGATACCATTAATAGCCGTCGAATCTGTGCGTTGACATCAAATGGCCCTTGTTCGCCCCATCGTTGGCTCGCATAGAACTCTTCTTGTTGCGATCTTGAACGCATTTGCTCATCTAAAGCACATTTCAAATTGTTGATCTGCATCGACTTTTGCTCATTGTCGGCCATCAATCTTTGCACAGTATGTCGAAGCTGTGTCATTTCCTCATCTATAAATCAAAAAGAACTTTTGAAAAAAGATATCATCCTATGATGAAACCTTGCTTCTCTCCGTGATGTTCTCTCAACGGTGACATGTACGGATAGCCGTTTGTCTGATGCAGTTGCTGTTGAACAACCATTCCATGCATGGATTGGTTGACATGATCCATTTCGTTCTGGAACAAGTACATGCTAGTGGAAGAGTCGGTTTTTGTTTGTGTGCTGAAATGTTTACGCAAAAGAAAACGGGGCACGTAGATAGGTTGGCCGGAAATTAAACCCATTTCGATGGCACACGAAATAATTCGCCACGTTTCCCGTGTGTTTTGATAGCTAAATTGGAATGAATTGAGTCTGACCTGTGAGAGTCGCAGCTTCTTCTCGGTCTCATTTTTCTCACGCTCAAGTGTCGCAAATTTGAGTTTCAGCGTCGAAACCTCGGCAAGAAGGTCCATTTTCTTTGACTCCAGCTCTTTGTTGTCGTCAATACGATGATACTTCTGAATATTTGATTGTCATAGGCGTGGGATTGATTGGAATTCAGCAAACCTCTTGAAGGAGCTCTTCAGTTGATGTGAGATTGTTTCTCTTGATGGCTAGAAGGTTCTCGAGATCACGTATTTTTTCCTTCTGCGCTCCAACCTGCTCACTGAGCACTGACACCTAAATGTCAACCGTAGTATGAAACAAAAAATCGCAGGCGTGAAAATACTTGTAACTGAAGACTGTCTCGAGCCATAGCAAGTCTGTGAAGCTTTTCTTGCAATTCTGGGTACTCAGGGCACGAGACTGTTGACATCGAAGGCGACGGGCTCTGAAAAATAAACAATTCGCCCATTTTAGTATGAAAATAATGCCAAGTCTAAACACATGCAAAACACAATACCAACACTAAACCTTCGATTTAGCCCGTCTCTGTGCCATTTTTCTCGCATATTAGACCATTTTGCTGTTTGGGAAGTTCCTGCTAGTAGTGTAATATACGCATATCCATGACAAACGCGTTAATTATTCAGAGAACAAAGTAAATAAGATTTTCAACGTAAGTAGAAATACATCGATCAAGTTACCAGGCAAAATTTAGTTTTTTTTCGAGTATGTGAGAATTGCGAAAAATGAATGTTGTTGGTTTTTTTGTGCATCTGTTAAAATTTTGACACTTTCAATGACCTCTGCGACAGACGGCGATACATCATTTTAATTTTTCAACGCACATCATATGCTCAACAATATCCATCGGCAATTGCAAAAAGCGAACGGATAGGATATAGCGGTGTCATTCGCCGCTGGTGGCTCTCGTCCACATGCCGGAATTCCGCACATTCCATTCGTCCGTATCTTCATCGTTTCATCACTTTTTTTCGGCATTTGATCGACTCGGGATACGCGTTTTATGTTTTTGTTCAGATTTTGAAAATCGAGCGGTGTATAAAAAGTGGAAAACGAGAAACATATACATATTGATTAAAACCGGCGTATTTTTGGTTCCAATTCCATCAGACAAAATGAAAAAAAAAATAGAGAAAGGAGGAACAAGTTGAAAATGAGCGCAATGATGTTATTTTTTAGGGCACGCAATGAGCACTCACACAAAATGTTATAATAGGAGAACTCTGCATGACAACTTGCCCACACAAGGAACGCAAACGAACCAGACTATTCCAGCTGGCGCCACGAGCACCGCGTTGCTGCTGCTGGAGCATATTCAACGGGGATGACATCAAAGGTAGGGGCATCATAGGTACCAAACTATTGATTAAACATCCCGTATACTTGGAATCACTGAGACTTCGATGAATCTTGTGCTGCGGTCGGGTAGGTCGTAATCGGTATGGTGGAGGTGGTGGAAGATATGAGCAACTTGAGCCGGCCGACGGCGCCGAACCAAAACCCGAATCCGAGTAATGCGTAACATAAGGCAAAACCGGTCGAGTACTACTATAGAAAATAAATGTTCTTGATGTGATGAATTATAAAAGGAAATAGCTCATTAGTCATGGAAATGAGCTAGATTCAGGGTTGGATTTTGAGAAGATTTGTTGTTTGTTTCGCATTTAAACAATTTATGAGCATATATGCAACATTTATCTAACATCACCGAAGCTGCCAATTAAAGCTTCTAAATAATGCACGCGCTTCCAAATTCCCACAAACGTTTTTCGAAAAAAAAAACAATGCTAGCCGAAAATTTTTTATTTTTTTGCGAATTTCGTTTTCATTTTGAGTTTTTTTCGCAATTAGGGTTAAACTAATCGGAAGAGGTGACAAATGGCCTATTTTTTTCCATCAATATGCAAATTGGTTTCGGCAGTGTCGAATGAAGACAAAAAGACGGGAGTATGCAAAATAATGTCGAGCTGACGACAAAGATCAATCAAACGAACCGACGGCTCGGTGACCTTTTTGGAAGTGATAAATAATGGGGACAAAGAAATGAAATGTGCCACTGAGAAAGTTTTTTTTTAATCCAAAGCGGGGGATTACATGGGAACGACACTAATTGCAAAAAAACTCTCACAGAAAAGGAAATTCATGTTTTTTTTTTAAATAAAAACTACTACTATTCATTTTACTGGAGTTTCAATTTTTTATCTTCAATGTTATTATTATTTAAATCATACCGTTTACTAGAACCCGCTTCTCTGAATATATTTCCGCTGCCTGAGCTTCTCAGTTGTTCAACTCCAGAATTTTGCGAGCTGACAGTCAGCGTTGAGCACACGTCTTCTTGAGCGCCGAGTGCTGATGAGCAAAACGCGTCGCCGATACTGTGCCTCATGTGCATTAAGAATCATGCAGCACTGAGACTGACTGAACCGAATACTAATGAAATATCAACCGCGGCGGAGGTGATAAGAAAAAAGGGAATTCCCTTCGTGCGGCGATAGAATCGTTAAGAAAGTGAGATCGCAGAGCAATGAATTGCTCGAGCTCGGGTATTCCGAGAGCGATGTTGGAATGCGTGAGACAACTGTTCTACTGCAAGGATCAATCACTACTGCAAGAAATGCTTGCATACGCTCGCGAAACAGGCGACAATGTGAGGGAGGAGAAGATTTTGTTGAAACAAATGCAGTACGAGATACTGCCGGTGTTCGATTTTATTGAGCACAGTTGGCTCCGACGGATGGATGACACGTAAAATGAGGCTCATTCTTCATCGTAATTGAATCGCGGCAAATTCAGCTGATGGACAGCTGGAAGTTCGCAACAACAAAACAAGAGACATTCTAATTTAAGTTGAAATTTGCATTTTTTTTTTGAAAACTAGCTAAAAACTGCCTGAAATGAAAATCTATTCTTGCAAAAAATCTTGAATAAACATTACTAGTAGTCTGGCCCATTACGACATATGATACTCCCAACCACATTAGGCTTCCATAAAGTTGCCCTTCTTTATTGTTTCTGTTTTTTTTTGCTCAGCTTTCACTCTTATGAAAATGTTACACCACGTTTGTATTCTAGAAACAATTGTATATTTCTATGTAGTTAGAGAGAGAGATATATATATACTCTCAGTCGAGAGTGGAGGGTGTGTGACGAGGCAAAAAATCTGACACCTCTCATCGAAGAAAATTGTCGCTCGTCGGAATACTTTCCAACTGTATATATTATCTGCATAAAGTAGAAAATAACCATATGGCAAAACAATGAGAATAAAAAAATACATGTATATCGGGGTGGTTATAAATGACTGCGGACCACCAAATGAATATCCGCTCCTCAATATGCCGCCAATTTCTTTTCTTTTCTCGGCATTCCTTGTTCGGTCCTTTGACTAGTTTTTCATTATGAGTAAGTCGAATATGCGTGTGCGTTTATATTACGAATGATAATATCACTAATCAAAGCTTAAATTTAAAAAAAATTGAAGACAATTGGTGGGTGAAGGTTAGTTTTCAAAATTATTGCGCTCCTGAGAAAATAATTGGAATTTTATTGCAGCCAACTTACTGCCGTTCTAAAGGTCATTGTAAACGAAAATGGCAATCGAATTGACTAGATAATATACAAGTTTTAAGGAACTCATAACAGGGATGAGCAAATAAAAGAACAGAAAGAAAAAGAGACAAGGAATAACATTCACGTAGTGAAACGAATTCTCATCCATTCGTTTTTTCCATTTTTCGAGTGCCCACTCCTATTCCAGAGTCGGTTAAAATGCCGCCGTTGGCTCTCTAGACTCCTAAATGACGACGACGACGACGAACTAGTCGAGCACCATCAGCACACTGGTCGACCTCCTCACACTAATTGCGTTAGTATCGGCACGCTGTCCGAAAACCGCAACATATAGATAGATGTGTGTATGTGTATTTTCGTCTACGAGGCTCATTTTTTTAGCCGTCAGCCCACTCACTATTTGACTCCGTACGGCGCCACAGCAAATTGAGTTATAATGTCAATTAGCTTGAAATTTTCAATAGTAGATCACATTGGGGAAAAGGGAAAGGAATAGAGCTAATCGCCGAATAAACTGCAAGGTAGGCAATTTCACAAATTTGCAACCAATTCCCAAATGGGGTTTAAGCAACGAGTTAATCAAGTAGTGAAGTTTTAGGGAGGCGCCTAATTTGGTTCACAGAACAAACAAACTCGCTGACAAACGTGCACATGCGCACTCATTCCAAAAATCAATGAAATGTGAAATGAAACGAACCGTACGACCAGCAACCCATTGCATGATTTTGAGACGAGTCTCGAGATCTGGTCTCTCTGTGATCATATGCTCATCGATTGCCTGAAAATTGTTATGAATGATTTAATTCAATCAAAAAAAAATAATCAATGTCAATTGTATGGTTTCATTTTTTTATTGCGTGAGCTAAATTCAAAATTGTGGAAATTTTCAAGGCGTATCGCGGGCAACCATTTTGAGCAAACAAACTCTGCTAATTTGACACTTTCCTAGGCTTCCAACAACATCACGAATTTGTTTTCAAGGGTCCAGGTGTCGCCAAGAAAATTCTATTACCGCATATTGAAATACGCCGGTGATGAGATTATCCGTATGCGGAATTTCAAAGAAAACAGTATAAAAATTGCTTTGAAAGTCGAATAAGATTGATTAAAATTTCTGGAGAAGACTTCTCTCTCTTTTCATTCTTTTCAAAAGCAGACTAGGCTATTAAAAATGTTTCCAAGCCGGAAAAGACTTTTTTCGTCATGTCTCTCGTTAGTTGTTTCCTTCTGACAACTTTATTGTTCCAAAAATTGAAGCGTATGAGTACCTTGACAAAATCTTGATAAATTCTTGGTGGGTTGAACACTGATGATGATGACGTTGGCAAGTCAGATGGCGGTGATTCGACTCCGGAAGAACCATCGGAACTGAACTCGGCGCGACCTTTCCATTCGGTTGTTATCCACGTCCTTGTACAATTTTCCTTCGAAGACCTCTCATCATCGGCGTTACCATTGTCAATGTCTAAGCACAATTATGGTTTTTTCGGGTTTCACATAAATCAATCATTCAGTACCGTCACCCAATGCATCTTGAGTTCTATGAATCACACTATTCTCCATCTTTCTTGCAACCAGAGTCGAGCGCAATGCCGGTGGTGGTGGAATGCAATCAGTTCGATGCTTAATCGAACTCGTGTGTTTAGAATTGCCTGCAATGAAAGAATTTGTTTAACAAAACGGCAGATTGAAATGAAATTTTGAAGGGTCATTCGTAGGCATCAAAACGCATCTTCATGTAGAATTTGGTGGTATTTTTTTAGAAAATTAATTTCAGGCCCTTTAACGCCTACACGATGACACTGCAAACACATTATGTTTGCTGAAACCAATAACAATGACAAAAGAGGGATTTATAGTACCAACAGAGGGCTTCTTAGATGAATTTTGCAGCAGTTAGAGTATCTAAAAAATATTCGTAGATCACGCATTTCGTCTGAATTATTACAATCCGGTACTATTCAATTAAAGAATAGAATTAAGAAAAAAATTGTTGATTTAGAAATAGTCTTAAAACATCAAATTTCATTCGAAGGTTCAAAATAACAAAGACGAAAAAGAAACACTCATTTGGATATTTGAAACGCGATTGAAAGACAATATTTCGACTATCTCGCGCAATTGTTTTAAACTTGCGAAAATATTATAACCGAAACGAATTTAATTCCGAAAACAAAGGCACGTTACGATTTTTATTTTATTTCAAATGTTGTGTTAGGTATGTACGGTCTGAAAAAATGAATGGACGTATGTTGCTAGGATGGCGGCGTTTTGCGAGAAATACAAACAAAATCTACCAGGTAAATCAGCAAAGTGAGGCAAACTGGTTGGTCAATTCGTCATGAAATGAATACTCGATGGTCAATATTCTCAATAGGAGGGAAAGGCGCAAAAAAATGAGTGAATGAGCGAAGATGCGGACGCAATAATTGCCTCCAATTCCATCAGCTAACCGTTCATTTTCATGAACGGTGAAGAATTCACGCCTTCACAATGTCAAAAAAAAAACTGGTGTTAAGGCAATTTGGGCTAGTATGTAAATATTCTGGCTGTTAGAAAATAAGAAAAAAAAACAATAAAAATTAGGGGCAATAATCTTTATTATGCCTATTTAATTGAATTTTCAATTGTTGGCAAACATTTATGAAATTTTATTTTCGAAATTGCATGTTTCCGCAAATATCATTAGGCGAAAGTGCTACGGTAATCTTTAATTTGATATTGCATAATGAATTTAATAATAAAATATTTATTTTTTTTATTTCTTTATATTACTAATAGAGTTTGAAGTTAGATTTTATAAAATTCTGTGGAAAATTAATTTCACTGCTAAAATATGATAAATGAATCCAATTACGTGATAATAATGAATACATATTGAAAAAATCTTGAAAATTTTTGATGATGAAGATAGTATTTCCCTTGAGGGCTCAGTAAATTCAAAACGTCACGAATTCATCGCAAAAAGGCAATTTATCTAATTATGAATGATATTTTCTGGAAAAGCTTACGTAAATCAAGATCACAAAAACAATTTTTTTTGTATTGTAGAAAAATTCCAAAGTCAAAATTGAGCTTGTAGTAAACCACTTACAATTTAATAGAAGAACAATTTTAGATTTAGATGTATGATTTCTCCGATTAGCACTTCTACCCTACTTATCGTTAAAAGTGAATTTACACATTCAATTAATAGATTCTGATTATCTGAATTCACGTATTGTAACAACCCTTCGCCGTCAGGTACATATTGCGATAAATACTTGGCCATACCATTCTTGAGGATATCGTCGAGTTGTTCCAGAGCAGTCGTGAGCAGTAGGTTTGCTTCGGCAAACCCGTCCATTCTATTCTGCAAAAAAACATTGCTAATTAGATTTTAAAAAAAACTTTTATTTGGGTTTTTCGAACGTGCGTGCCGGATTCTGGGCTCTCACTTTATCTATGTAGTTTTTCATTGACGTCTCATCTCATAAGAAAAAAGAGTAATAAAATGAACAATAAAAAATGGTGAAAAATGAGGAGACAGCAGTGTCAGGACCACGCGTCTCAATCAAATTGTTCGAAACAAAGCGGATGCGACGATAACCGTTTGAATGAAACAAGTCAAGTTTTCAGGGAATCAAACGGGACGCCAGAAACAAAAAGGCGGCTGAATTCATACGGTGATTCACAGGCAAGCAAAACCAAAGCATTTGTCATGCATTGGTAACCATGTGAAATGTGATGGGAAGACGCCGGAATATGGTTGAATCGTTTTACTTATTATACTTGAAAGAACTGGCAGATATTTGCAACCAACTTTGAAATGTATGAAATGTATCGATTCCAGCGTTACTAGGCAGTTTTCGCTTTTTTCGAAAATAATTAATATTCCACTTGATTTAAGAACATGTTTACAGGATAAAGTAGAGAGATTTATTTCGGATGAGAGGAAAATTCAACCAAATAAAAGAAACGCATTTTTTTTTCTTCTAAAAACCAATTCTTTCGATTTTATGATATTGAATTAAACTTTTCTATAAAGAAGATATTTTATTTGAAAAGAGAAGCAAATTTCAAGAAATCAGGTAAAATTTTGAGGCCGTGGAACGCAATCCGGCTGGTTACGTAACTTTCCCATAAGTACAGGGAACACCTTATTAAAGAATACACATTAAAGCAAGTGTTTCTGACAGACTGTCTTGATTTTAGCATTTCCCTCATACACATATGGAAGAAAAGCTTATAAATCAAATGAATATGCAGGAAAAGATTAAAAATTGGTAACAAGTGGTGCATATGGGTGTGCAGAGTGCATGGTACGTTATCTGGAGCGCTCGGCGAGCAGCTGCTCGCTTTTGTTTTATCGAAAACGACGACCACCCATATTCATAAGCAGCACCGCTTTTCATTTTACAAATAAACGAGCACCAGGCTGTCGGTAAATGTAATTGGCGTCCACAAGCACACCACCTTAGCGGCACATCCGTCCACTTGTTGTTGTCTTGAGAAAGAAGCCGACAACCGAATAATTTCAGAATAAATTATTAGAGCTCAAAGGAAGGGGGTCGACAAGGAAGAATTATGAAAAGTGAGCCTCTGCAACACACATTATTTATTTCCTTCGGGCTGCGATACCGAATGCTGAAATCATTAGCTAAAGTTGACAGGAAACAACTTTTTGCGTCTAATTTTGGGAGATGTTGATAATTAACTAAATTACATTCAAAACATTAATATCTTACCGTTTTTAAAAGCGACCGCTTCATCATTACGTGCAAATCAACTTGTGTGCGAGAATGCTTAAGATTAAAAGTGGAACACGAAGTGGTGGGTCTCTTGCAAATAAAGAAAGGCCGATTTTGAGCCGGCTAAGACGGGCTAGCGGACCGCGATCAAATAGTCAAAAGTGTTGAGTGGAGTGTGTGTATTCCGGACGGAATTGACCTACGATCGTACTGCCATCTATGTCAACTAAACAAGATCGGAAACTTTGATGGTTTAATTAGACAGTTACACAAATATAACAGACACTTGAAATCCTAAGCAGCGATATCTAAAGAAGCAGAAAAAATTGAAATGTCAATAATCTGTGGATATTTCGAATACTTTTAATCATATGTAGATACAATTGTTAGTCATCGAAATTATTTCCAATACGATTCGTATAATTTCGGAATATAAGTTAATGTATTATAGCATCGGTTTACATTATTAGAAAGTTAGGCGACATATGTAATTGGGGGAAATCTAATTAATCGAATTTTTTCCTGTGGAATATAGCAAAAAATTATCAAGCATGTGAATGTTTTTTATTTGCGAGCGGTTGACCAAACAGCACAAAGAATTCCTACTAGTTTAAGGATTTGTAATAAGCTGTACGAGGAAAAGGGTCGCGGGAAATGCAAAAACACGAATAATGTCTTTGTGTTCACGGCCCATCGGTTCTCGACTAAACATGTGATTATAATGTCAATGGACTACAAAGTGTAGGCCTTGAAACCATAACTCTTGCAAGATGTGCCGTTCGTCGAGAAAAAAAAATGGCACAAAACAACACATGTACAAACACAACAAATTTCGGATTTGCACATTTCTATAGGTATAATATTTGCAGAGACAGGCGGCGGGGAAATGGTATACAAATGATTTTGCTGATTACGCATTGCGCGGCAATTTTTAAACTTTAATTGACGCACTGACGGGTTTCCACAACGTCCTTTGTCAGCAGGCGCTAATTAATCTGATTTGCTTATTATTGAACATTCGGAAATTGACATGAAGCGTCAGCTAAACAAGGTGTCCAGTTTTTGGAGTCGTTAAATTCATTATAGAAATGATTAACAGTCGAAATGACTGAATCGTATTTGATTATTCGTTGAAATTGACGAATGCAAATTGAAAATAAGTCCGAAATTGCGAATTTTTGAAAAGGTCTCGCGCAATCCGTATTCAAAGCACTTTTGTTGCATTTTACCGGCGTGAAATAATATGAAATTGCAATAATAGAAGTTTGAAAATTCAAAAAAAAATGTGCCGAAATAATTAGAAAATCGCACTTGGAATTTCAATTCAGGTGGGAAAGCTAATTCGATTAACCGAACATTCTTGAAGTGAATATAATTTTTCGAAAACAAACGGATTAAAATTTTGAGGATTCGACGCATTTACAAACCAAAGAAAAACTATTAAGTATTTTCAGGAAATTAGAGAAATTTCGAAACCCTTCAAAAAGTTTTTGTAACTGCGAAAATTTTGTATTTGCATTGTTTTCTATCCCATATGATTAATAGTGCTCTCGAAACATACGATTTTGGCAATATGCCAAAAACGTAAATTCACGGAAATTCAAATGTTAGCTTGTAAAACTATTAACTAGAATAACAGATTTCGAAGTTCTTCTGGCTTCAAGCTGTGTTCTAAGCATTCAAAACACGACTGGAGTGACAGATGAACTCTACAGGAACCCTTTGAAAAAAAAGCCGAACCTCCATCTGTTGGATGTTTGTAATCGTTCCTCCCCGTTGTGATTGATCCTGCAGAAAAAAATGCAAATTGGTATTGTCGTTTGATTAGTTGAAAAGACGTCGTATGCATAAAAACGCGTTTCGAAATGAGGATTTACGAACGATGGAGGACATCAAGTCTCGAAATGTGATTGGTTCGACGCGCAATATTGTTCCTATCTAACACTTGGGCGATAATAATGAAAAAGTATTATTGTTAATTTATAAAAATTATGAAAATTTTATAAGGAAAATCGATAAAAAAGAATGTTCGTTAGAGTCTAAAAATTTTGAACATATTGTATGAGCCGATTAATAAACGGAATGCGATGCGAAAAATGGGTGTGGCGTTGCGAAGACGTAAACCGCATCACGTAAAAAAGAAACGCATTCGGCGAAGTTGTAAAACGTCAGGATTGGCAGGTTGCTGATTTGAATGATAATAGACGTTTTGAGTTTTCAAGGCGGCAATAAAAAGTTGTAACATTTCGAGAGAAACCGAATGGCCATAATTCATTGTTGCGATCAAATGTTATTTGGCAACATCATTCTGAAAATTTCCTTCTACGGATGAAACATCGCCAAATTTTCACATTTTATTAGCAAATTTCACATTTAATATATGTAAACGTTTTATCATGCTTACGATGCGTTTTGATAAGACGGGAATTGGCGATAAAAAATGAATTATATTGTGAGGATTTGAAAAATGGGTTTCCGTCAAGAATGACGATACAAAAATCGGGATGATCATTTTTCTTGGCGGGCCACTATTTTCATGAATAAAATTTGCATTGGTTAGAATATGATGGCATTTGAGCGCGTCCGAACAGTCTGTCATTTTCCCGCGAGATTACTACACCGACAAATCTGGGAAACACTCATTCAAAATAGGAGAAAAAAAACAATAATAAACGGTGAGGGAAAAGGGAAAGGAATCATCCATCTGTTTGCGGCAGATTCCTTTGACAATAAGCGACGGCGGTGGGACACGAATACGGTTCAAAAGGCATTCAAATCGCTACAAATTTATTGGAAAAAAAAAAACAAAAAATGCCACCAATTATGACAATTAGGGAGACAAAAAACATGTGTATACAATGAGAAATAACGATGCGCAAGGTACAATGCGGCAGTGTGAGTAATCGACTGTCCCAATGATCTCTTGCCAATTCTGCGCGCTCTTCAATCCGCGCACTATTCGTGACCATCAAATGCGGTGCACACACACGTATATACACCTCAATAACCTCTTTAGTTTCGTTCCACAGGTCACCACGATAACTGTTTGACCTGTTTCTGATATATCGCACGTTTATATCAGAAGTGGTGCCCTCAAGTTATACTAGTATGCGAAATTTGATAATTGTTGGGTTTGAAGGACGACAGTATGTATGTAGATGAATAAGCGTCCAGGTGGTGTTCGGAATAGAATGCATAATGAGCTCACCGTAAGGTAGATGAACGAACGACACACCGTATTTTTATTGCGGTGTTCACACGAAAAATGTGTCCCATAAAGCATGGATGGAATTGCGCTGCCGCCTAGATATTTAAATGGCAATGAAAACAAAAAAATTTTATCCAAAAGTTGAAGAAAAGAATTAAGTTGCTTTATAAAATTAGTGATTAAGCAAACTTTGACAAATCTAATTTGTTCAAATAATTAATTGTTAAGTTTCAAATGGAACTCACAACTTGAAGACAATAATATTGGGCAAATGCAAATGCATTATTGGCCATTAACGACACGTCAATTAAAACGTTAGGTCATTCCGGTCATGAAACAGTTTGCCGATTCAGGAAATGGAAGAAAATGGCATCGTTTAATGACCTTATTCTGGAAGAACTCAACGAG